CCTGATCTTAGGATATCCCTTATATATAGTAAAAACCTTAAAAAAAAAAAAAAAAAATACTTTTAAATATTAAAAAATAAATATATTTTTCTAATATTTAATAAAATTTTAATTTTTATTAATTCTAATATTAATATATAAAAATATTTTTTTACTTTATTTAACTAGTATATTAATTAATTAATAAGTTTATATTTTAAAACTATAATAACTCTAATATAATTTTATAAGTTTTTAATAATACTAAGTTATAAATAATATTAAATTTTCTTTTTTAGATTTTAATTATAAGATAATTAATCTCTAAATTAATAATTTTATTATTATATTTAAATTTTAAATTTTTAATATTTATAATTATATAGATTTTTTTCTTTTTTTTCTATAATAAATAGAATTAATTAATTATTATTAGTAAAATATAATTTTTCTATACTTTATAATTAATAAATATTATAAATTAATTTTTCTTAATTTCTATTTCTATAAGAATATATATAGAGCTTTTTATTTCTATAACTTCTAGGGTTTTCTAATCTATTATTAATATTATATTATATTATAGCTCTATTATAGATAATTTAAATTATTTTTTATTTAATTAATTTATTTTTAAAATTTATTTATTAGTAATAATATATTTTACTTATTATATATTCTATTCTATTTTTATTTATTAGTAAAGATAATTTCTAATTCTTTTTTATTATTACTTTTTTTACTATCTATAAATAAAAATTATTTATTTAAATATTAATTTTATATTTTTTTCTTCTATAGTTATTATTATTTAAAATATAATTTAATAGTATTTATATTATTATTATTATTTTATACTAATACTAATACTTTTTATTTAACTTCTTAATAATTTCTATAGTTTTAGTTATAATATAATTTAATATAACTATTATAATTATATATAGCTTAGTTTTTTATTTACTAGTAATTATATTATAATTTAATCTTATTATTCTTATAGATTTTATATTTCTATTTTTAATATATTTCTATTAGAAATTCTTTTTCTATATATTCTTTAGAGTATTCTTTTAGATTTTTCTTAAAGATAGTATAGAATTTTATTCTATAATATTAATAGATAAACTATTATATTTAAATTATATTATATTTTTTAGATATTTTTCTATTAGAAAATAAAAAAAAAATTATTTAATATTTTTTCTTATTAATATATAGTATACTAAATATTATAATAAATTATTTAGAATTCTAATCTATAATTATACTTTTTATTAGTATTTATATATATTAGGTTTTTATATCTATTACTAAAGTATTAAATAGTATCTATAGTATTCCTTCTATATAATATTATTTCTTATATCTTCTTAAGATTTTATATTTATATTTTTTATTAATAGTAGATATAAAGCTTATTATATTTAGCTTTAATTTTATTTCTAATAAATATATATTAATTTTACTTCTTAGAAATATATTTAATAAGCTTATTAATATAATAAAATATATATTTATACTTAATAAAAAGTTTAATATTTATAATTTTTTTTTTTTTAAATTTCTATTTAAGCTTTTAGAGAATATATATAATATATTATTAGTTTTCTTTTAATATTATTTATTTTTTCTTCTTATTATTAATTTCTAATATTTTATAGAATTTTAATATAAACTTTCTAAAAAATATAGATATTATAATAACTATATAGTTTTCTTTTTAAATAACTCTTTTAATTATTCTAAATATTTTAATTTTAATTTTTTTAATTATTTCTAATTATTTTTTACTTTTTTTAATAAATTTCTAATTTTTCTACTTTTTAGATTTTAAATATTATAATAAAATATATCTAATTTTATTATAATTATAATATTTATATTTTTTTATAGCTTCTAGCTTTATAAAATCTATATATATTTTAAATTCTATAAATAGTAATAGGATTTATTATACTCTTTAATTAGATTTATTTTTAATATAGTTCTAATTAGTATATTTATTTCTCTTTTACTATTATCTCTTATATAGATAGTTATTAATTTAAATAGTATTTACTATATATCTAAATAGATCTTTAGATTTATCTATTTTAAAAAATTAATTCTTAATTTCTTTTTTAAGTTTATTATAGAATATAGTTTTAAGAGAATTATTATTTTAATCTAATTAAATTAAGATTTTCCTAAACTTAATAATATATTTTAATATTAGTTCTATCTAATATAAACTCTTAAGATTCTTAATAATTTATTATTCTTTATTTATTTAACTAAATATTAAAATAAGTAAAATCTAGAAGTTTTTATAATTAGTAAGAATATTAATTATTTTCTAATCTTATAAGCTTAATATAGTTTTATTATTATACTAGTTCTTAAGATAGATTTAGAATTATTATTTTATAATATTATTAAGATATATTTCTATAAATCTAATTTTATTTTTATTTATTATTAATTTAATTAAAAAGAATTTAAAATATATTTAAAATTAGATTTTAAATTTTTCTAATTTATTAGTATTATCTAAGAAAGATTCTAAGAGAGTTAATTATATTATTTTCTCTTTATCTTTTATTTTCTTTTTCTTAAATTATTTAATTTAAATTATAAACTATTATATAATCTTCTAAACTATTAAAATTTATAAAGTATTATTTAATAATTTAATAAAAACTATTTTATCTTTTTAATATTATATAGTAATTAAAATAAGATAATTAACTAAATAAGAGTTATTAATATATAATAGTTAGATAACTTATACTAAATAGAATTTAGAATAAATTAAAATTAAACTAATTAGAGTATTATTCTAAATAATATAATTAGATTATCTTTTATTATATAATATAAATTATTATTAATATATAAGTATTATAGAGCTAGTAATAATAGATATATAGATAGTTATATTAATAACTACTAAAAGAAGTATTCTAGCTAATAAAATAAATATATATATAATAAGACTATTACTAGCTTATTACTTAACTATTATACTGCCTGAGTAATAGGTCTATACTTATTAGTTACAGTCTCCCAGTAGGCCCGTGCTTTATACGTAACTTCATACAGCCTGACGGAGGCCTTTGTTCGTAACAGAAGGGCGGAAGGAAGAGCCTTTCGTTCCTCAAGGCACTAACGTTCCTTCAGGCATTAAGGAAAGGACGGAATTCAGCAAGCACCTTGGCTTCTTTTTTGCTTATTATAGCTAAATACGTTCAACATATATCAGACTAGAGCTTGACGAGTCTGCTGTTACTGCTTTTGCTCTAGTCCCCTTCGCCGCTGGATAGGCTCATCAAGAATTCGACGGATCTCCATATAAAATTTCTTGGCAGTCCTTCGAGTACGAAACTCCGTCGATACACCGCACCAGCTGGATGGACTTGAGCAGCGACCCGTAGTGTACCTCCTCCAACGGATCTGGCAGCATTACCTTGATCGGTTGTGGGCTCCGGAGTCTAGTTTTCTATGTGGATCAGTAGGTTCGTCCTCTTATGTGATGAAGCTGTCATAACAAATTCGCGGCTGGAAAACCCAAAACTGATAATACTGACGAAAGTGTGTGAAGGAAGTAATTATATCGTGAAAGGTGTTCAATATTCAGGGTGTAGATAACCCATAGGGTGATACCATACTGCCAATAAACTTCAAACTCGTTATACTATAGTGTGCAGGGTAAGGGAAGGACATGGTTGAACTAATCTGAAGTTAAAGTGCTAAGAGAGTTTTTGATTAGTTATTTAATATTTAGTGCTTCTAGCCGGATAATAGCTTTTCCTTCCCACACTGGGCGAAGTGAACCCAAAACTTGGTCCACGTCAGAAACTTCCAAAATTGGGACTCATATATTCGAATGCAGTATCATATCCCGAATATTAACCTGATTTTAATTGTCTCACTTTAATGAACCGACTTTTACCTAGTTAGGAGAGGCAGCAATAAATTTCCATTTGTCGGTAGATCTTCGGTGCAAATAGAAGGGTGACAAGGCATGTCGGCCTCATAAGCAGACGTTGAGGAGACATCGGAGTTGTTGGGCTGGGGCCCTTGAAACCACGCCGTACAATGATTGAGCCGTGGAGCCCTTGGAATGCTCCTCGGAGTTCGCGAAGGTTTGAGCTACGTCATCCGATCCACTTCCTGCATCAAAGTTGTTCAGAGGTTATGCTGGTCATCGATGTTATCAGCCTGGCTATGCCTTAATTGGCCGAGCGGGGGGGGGGGAGGGGGGGTGTCTCTGCTCCATGCAGAACTAGTGGAAACTGGGTTGATCCTTAACTGCGGGAAGATGCTTTAACACATCTGTAAATTTTCATTAAGTTCCAAGTGGCCGGGTAAGCCGATAAAGACAGGAATGGCGGTATAGCTGCGTTTTGAGAGGTTTTAGATAATGGCCCGAACACCGAGGGTAGTAGCGCCGAGCGGAAGACGGTGGATATAAGACAACCAGTTCAAGGGATGAGCACATTACTGTTGAAAATAGCGTGGACAAGGCAAATTCAATAAGAGGAATGAATCATTGTGGATTTCATTAGAAAAATTACCATTAAATTATATATTCATCACTGCTCTTGTCGATGAGAACATTCAAAGGAGGAACACCCACAGGAGAGTGTTCACTGGTAATGGAGGCCCCAAAGTCTCAATGACAGACAGACAATTTTTCCAATTTAAATTCTCGGGACAGGATTCTTTACCTATTTCACAGTGTTCTATTACAAAAAGAGTTCCCCGTCAGAAACTAATCTAAGACATAAAGATGAGACCTTTGAGCCTCTACTTGATACCGGAGGACGTCCCCGAAGATCAAGTCTGAACATTCATTTCGGTTAAGGCCCAAGAAAAGGAATGAAGGCTCACCTGTTCAGTCACATTCTCTGCCTTTCGTGATTTCAACCGATTCCGTAAAACAATTGAATACAAAAGCTGGTCAACATCCCAATACTCAACGGATCCTCTTTCACTTCACGCCGGTCATCTTGTGGATTTTATTCTCTCACGTCAATATGCTGCCTCGAGTTTTTCCACTTGCCACCCTGCTGGCAACAGCCTTTGCAAAGTCTTCTTCCCAAGTAAAAGAGGGGCTATATGCACGGAACGGAGGTAGGGATACCAAAACTCAAACAACTTATTCTTGAATATGGTCATTCTAACACTCTTCTTTAGTCCTAGTCACAGACGAAGATGTTGAGAGATTTGAGCTCTACTCTGAATACGCTCGATCGGCTTCTTGCAATGTAGACAAGGGGCCTGACGATCAAGTTACCTGTGAGGTCAATTGCGACAATGTCATAAAGGACGAGGCCATTATCGACGAAACATTCTAGTAAGTTGGTGTCTATTTCGACTTCCATAATTATCAACCATAACTAACGATAAACAGCGGCCCCGTATCTGACGTCGCTGCCTACGTAGCTGTTGTAGAGAAACGAGAACAGATTGTTGTGGTGTTCCGACCAACAATTAGCGATGAAAACTGGACCACCAACTGCAACTACACAACCATCCCTAGTGACGTTGTGGAGGGAGGTATGGTTCATGGTGGATTTCACTACGCTTGGTCGGAAATATCCGTGGGCATCACTGCGAGTGTCACGAAGCTTCACTCGATTCACCCCACTTTCACTATCGTTACTGTCGGACACTCATTAGGTGGTGCTCTCGCATCCGTTGCAGCAGCGGATCTCATTGCCCTTGGTCCTCCGGTTGAGATCTACACCTACGGGGCACCTCGTGTCGGTAACGATGAACTCAGCTCTTTCATCTCTGCGACCACCACTGTTAGTCGAGTTACCAATAACTGGGATCCAATTCCCCTCGTTCCTCTTGCTGAAGGCCCAGTCTTTGGTGGCCAGTACGAATATCGCCATGTTTCTCCTGAGTACTGGCTCACAGGTCAGCCAGAGGATGAGGTCCACTGGCCTGCAGAGGATATCAAGGTCTGTGAAGGAGGTCTCAACATGGACTGCAACAGTGGTATTCCATGGATCAACTTCACTCAGCACTCGTTGTACTTTGGTCCGATGAACTGTAAAAGGTGGACTTGGGGACAAGCTAGCAACGGTGTTTATATCCCTGATTATGTTGAGGATGAAATCACCAAGATTTTCTCTGGTGATATTTCGGTGTATTCCGGAATTGGAGACTGTTTTCAGCCAAAGCCCAAGCCTTAAATAAAGGCGTTGCATTGCGCAACATTGTGCATCAGAAGCGCCAGTGTTGCCAATCGCTGAGGCGATAAGAAGTAACTGGACATCTTCTATGTTTAGTCTTAAAAGTAATAATCAATAGGGAAACAAATTCAGTTAGCTTGAATGAAAGTCGATATAAATGATATCAAACTTTCATATGAATACAAGTCAATATTCACAAGAATTTTTAGTCAGTCAAGATTCAGTAATACAACTTAGACTAGCGTTATATAATAGAAAGATGTCTATGAACGCTGCATATAGTCCTACCATCTCAATCGCTCAACGCTACTTTCCTCCTCCCGTTATCTTCTTTCCCTTCCACCTTTTCACTACTTCGACAATAGAATATTCCAGAACTCGAGAAGAAAGAAAAAGAAATAAATATAGATAGACCAATCATTACGCATCATTTAAAGTTTTTTCTTTCTTTTTTTTCTCTCACAAGAGTTTGAGAGAGAAAGAAAAAAAAGTAAATGTGTTTTGACCAACTGCTACTTTGTAACACCTCTATCCCTAAGGACACAGACGGAACCCCGGTCATACAGTAATAGCCTTATTCACATTCTATAATTTCTCGGCTGAGATATTCCGCAATGTCACTTTTCTCTCCTAGTTCTTTGAATGTATACTGTTTAGGTTGGTAGTATCAGAATATTGCAGAGTAAACAGTTTAAGGGAGGCGGTCGGGTCAAGCTCTGTAGGGGAGGGGTGAGGCGCGTATGGCATTGCCTGGTATGTCGTCGTAGCATGTAAATTTCTCCTTGCTATACTGGAGAAGACGGAACCTAAAGCAAAAGATCGGCATGGAGCGTAGCTACTGTACCGACTGTAAGACAATATACATAAACGATCCTCATTCAAATTTCTGATATCATTGCACCTACATCATTGGCGAACGTCCTGTATGAAACTAATGTAAGGGGACTTTTATTGAGTCAAAGGGGCATAAAAATTCCTGTGATCCGAGCTGAAATGAGCAGACCTGCCTGTTTTCAGATGTAATCACTGATCTATGGATAAGTATTATGTCTCGCATCTAAAAAAAAATTTATTGGTATAAGTTGTAGTAACAATATGATGTTGCTTAGTACATTCACTTGTAGGAACTCTTTCTGGCTGAATATAGAGTCCCCGACATTAATAAACATCAGTGTAGTGCATGTCGCATAATAGTAATATGTTTTCCTTGCTGTTGTAATCAATTAGCTATTATATATTTCCTTGAATGACTTAAAGTATACACTGTACATCATAAGCAATTATCGTATGATCCTGGAATGCTTGATATTTGCATATTTGCATCTGCGTCTTTCGTTCGGTCAAATTCCCAAGACACAAGCTTTTGTACTGTCGCTGTACAATTTCGCAAGGTACGAAGGGAGGGAAGAACTTCAAATTTCGTAGCTTCAGCGGGCCCCGAAAAGAGTACCTTCTTGTCTTCATTGAAGTGGCATCTATAATGAGCTTAACATTCTATCCCAAGGTCGGGATTATTGAGAGGCATATCAGCCTTCAGTGTTTCGGGTGTGGGATGCATTCCTGTGTTCGGACCAACTACCCAAAAAAATTTGATATTTCCATGCCGATCACTATCTCCAGACTTCTAAGAGTCTGTAATAAGCCTGATTGAGTTACAGGACTTATAAGAAATAGGGTGGTTAGTAATTTTCAGCTATATAAAAGATTGGATATCGCCAGGACCGGGAGCTGTTTTTGGGCAAAACCATCATCCACTCATCAATTCATCCAACTTCACATCACAGTTACCAATTCGGTTCACAAATATCTATTCATCATGTTCGCCAAGTACTCCTTCTTCTTCCTGGCTCTCGCTACAGCTGTGCTAGGGGGTGTTGCCTCTACTCCCGAATCTACCAACGACTCCGCGCAATGCAAGCCAAACGGCCAACGTATGTGGGAACTGCTACTTTCATTTGATGCCACAACACTAACTTCAACAGATTGTATTTTCAACAGGGAATGTTGCTCTAACTACTGCAGCTGGAGGGCAGGCTCAGTCTGCACTCCCCAAGTGCAGAAGGTCGACCCAATGGAGGAAGCTCTGAAGGCTGCCGCTGAGGCCTACCTGAATTAGGCTGAACGTGAGAGCCCTCTCGTCAACCGGATGCCTAGTAGTAAGTCTAGACCATACTGATTCCTATACTATAATCTGCTGACTTCTGAACAGAATGCCGAAAGCTTGTCCAAAGCTTGTCTAAAGCTACTCTCTAACTTTTGCTTAACGCTGAGGTTTTGGTCTGTACCCTGAGGTATAAAAATGGGGCTGTTCAGAAAATATAGCGGGGAGACCGGTGAGACTGGGTTTTTTTCCAATTTTACAGCTGGTACTTTAAGCTGTACTTTGTTCGATAGTTGTAAATGCCTATGTGTCTCCTTGTTAAGATCAATGTGCGCTATAATCGTGTGATTTGTTGAAAACTCCATCTGCAAAATGGACAAGGTAATGTTTTTTCGTGTCACTATAAAGCTAAGCGACCTTGTTCCGTAAGCCGATAATGTTGTCTGGCGCCTTTGATTTCTCAAATCTTCCACCCAGCCCAAATAAAGCTCGTCCTTTCCAGCAGTCATGGCCCGCTCGAGCACTAATAAAATACCGCCATCGCCTGTACTAGTTCCCGACCCGGATACTAGTAGCATCAAGGCCATTGTGTCGCCCTCGGTAGAATATGACACGAAGAAAACCCTTCATTCTGCTAATTGCCGGCGAACCAGACCGACCCGCTTGCGATGCCCCGGCACCACCAACCATAATACCACCACTACAGACTAGTAAAGGTATCCAGCACCCTTGGCTTGTCTACCTTAACCCATAGCTAGGATAAATGATCTGAGTCTCTTGCGGGGATCAATCATTCCCTAGTCTTGTTGTACTTCCCCTTCGAATATTTGATGGAATCCATCACAATAGAGTCGCGCAGATGTCTGTCGCTTGTCGGCTCGAAAAATTCGTAGTTCTACGCATAGCATTCCTTTGTTGTCAGGGCTCGTGTGTTCTCTTCCCCTAGCTTCCGTCAGTAAAGGCATGTTAGATGCGACAGTGAGAGAGCCCTACAAGAACACGACCATATCATTTTCGAGAAACCTAGAATCTCCTTGAAAGATGTGTTTGAGCGTGCGCTCGTACTTGGTATCTGGTGCTGTACCATTCCAGAGGTATTGAGGATGCTCGGTTGTGAATGGGCGCTCGGCTGTGGATGAATGCCCTGTTATGGATGGAGATATGCAATGCAGAGAGAAAACGAGATGAACATGGACCTCTAAAAGTGGAGTAGAAGACAGCGATGAAATGCGTGTGGTTGTAGCTAAAATCGAGGTTGCCCTACCAAAAGTCGTTCTGACTATTGGGATCCTTGAGGTGGAGATTCGGCATCGGAGAGCTGAGTGGGCAATTTACTCCTGGATGCTCGTCTGAACGCGGTAGAAGCCGGAGTAACCGCACACTGCCCTCCGGCAAAGGCTCATACTTATATGAAAGCATAGTAAAATATGGAAGGTATAGACCGGCTAGGTGAGAGGTACTGATGTCCCAAGAGGCATTTTAGGGAGATTATTACACCCAAAGCTACATCTTGCTGTGTAATGTGCTCCCAGTTGCGTTTCAAAGACGTACATAGTCCAAATAAGGTTCATGTTCGTACCCGTCTAATATCGTTCAGACAGCATCAACCAGGGAAATAATTGGGTAGTGAAACATGGGATTCAATTCTTGAAATTAGCAATCCGTCACTATAGGCATGCATAAAGCATTCTGGTCATTTCCATCTCAAACAGGGCAGTTTTCCTCATTGCCACGTAGCAAGGTTTCAGCGAAGGCGAGTGTAGGGTAAGCAGATCAGGCACATGCCGATCGAAATCTCAAGATTTAATTCCACCACCTATCGTAGGTAATAAAAAATAACAATGCTCTAAATAATTATCATAGAAAAAAAAAAGCAGGGGTATAAAAGCCACCCGTAGGTATATAAGGTTCCAAAGTTTGTCGTTCGCGCCGCCGGTTTTCTTCGCATCCCGAGTTTGGCTCCCTGGATGATGAATGTAGTCATCTAGCAGGGGCAGGGGATGGGGATGATGCAGCAGTTGCACGGGATTGGGCATGGGATGCAGAAGCAGAATCTTCCGGGGCACATGCCTTCGCCTTCCCTTCCACCGCGCAGGCTCAGCTCGGACTCTGCGTGAGGGCGCTGGGGATCTGTGGATGGTTAGCGACCGGTGTGGATGGTTTGGGTTGGCGGCAGTGGGAAGGTGAATGACAGCGACATACCCATAGCCATGTTCATCTTGGGCTGTGCGACCTGGACCTGCTCAGGGGCCTTGGGGAGCTCCATAGGCTGGTTCTCGATGGTAGGGGCCATTGTGAAGGTGGAGGACACGCGTCGTGGTCTTTAGGTGAGGTGTGAGGTAATAGGGGTGAGAGAGACTGTTGGTTCGAACAGGTGAGTGCAGGAGGGAGGAACGAGGTTTACGACGTGGTTGCTGGAGATAATAAATGCCGATGAACAGGCAAGGGTCAAAGGGCTGAGTTCGATCAATGCAGGCTAGCAAATAGCTTCGTCAGGTGGCAGATTTCCTGGCCCAGTTGTGGCTCAAAGCGGACCTTACGTATGTGTCCCCACTGATTTCCTCTGAGCCTGCCACAGCGCATTGGAATTATTTGTGGGCGTGGCCGGCAGTGGATGAATCAGCGTGCAACGCCCCTGGACGGTGCTGACGGGTACTGTGGCTGCTACGACGAAGCGCTGCACGTTGTGTCATGGATACGAGCCAGCTGAAAGAGGCTGAGCGGCTGGAACGTGGATCTGGCTGTGCACCGGAGTGGATCATCATTTTCCCGCGTTTATTGCCAGAGCTGATGGTGCTTCGACCTCAATACATATCAATAGTGAACAGTAAAAACAGTAAAATTAGTAAAAATATAAACCCGATGCCTCATATATTATATGATGGGCTGGAGTTAGTGGCGTTTTATTGTTTCGACATGTTTAAGATACATATTTGGCTTAGGTGGTGGACTTCTTGAATCCCCCTTTACTCAATGATGGCCTTACCCTAGACTTGCCGCCAATAGAAGAGGCAATGGGAACCAATTCAAGATGCAATTCCTAGATTGATCCTGAACTGGATGCTTACCAGTTAAGCGTCTATATAATTAATATTGGAACCTTCCCTTGTATCTACAGACAGATCCGGCCATCAAAGATTAAATCCATCAAACGATGTGCCAGCAATTCAAAGCTCATCCTTGCCAGAAGGCTCCTTCTTCTCTGCCGGCTCGCATGCGGCTGGGGTGCCGACCTCCATCTTGTAGACGCACTTCTCCGACTCACTTACTCGCCACAGCTCCTCCGTCTCGGCACAAGCAAGCCAGACATCCGTCCTTCGCTTGGGTCCGTTCCAGCACTGCTGTCCATCATCGTACCTGAGAACCATCCGCTTACCTTTGCCGAGGCTTCGCCCGTCCAGGCGCTCCTCATCGTCCGCCTCCTCCCAGTCGATGCGGTTGAAGTTACCCATCCCAGTGTGGCCGTGACCCTTCTTCGACTTTTGTGACGTCTTGGACAGCCAGCAGAGCTCGTAGGTGTACTCGCCTGAATCGACGCTGACGCACTTGTCCTTGAGGGCCCGGAAGATGTCTGACGGCCCGTACTCTTTGCTGAGGTCCCCCTCTTCCCTCTCAAGATCTTTCCTCTTGTTGTTGAGGTCTCTCTCGGCGGCTTCTACAGCTTCTCGCGCTGCTTTGACGAGTGCTGATTCGGTTCCTGGCTCGTGGTTGTCTGCCAGCATGCCGTTTTGGATGAGCCAGACTCGGAGACCCTCGAGCTTCGACTGGATGAACGAACGGAGGAAGGGTGGTAGGTAGGCTTCGATATTGTACACTGGGAAGGATTGTCAGCATATTTCTAGCATAGTTTAAACTTGTGATCATGTGAATGGTGTCAGACGTACGAATGTCAGTATCGCCCACTTGCTTCAGCTCCTCGAATTCCTTCCAGTTGACACCATTCGTCTCAGTGTCCTCTGCGAGAACACTGTCGATATCCTCCTCAGTAATATCCTCACTACCGGCGGCCGATTCCCTTGCGGCATAGTCCTCAAACGCCTTGACAGCAGCTTTGACACCCTCGTCGTTGAAGTTGGGGTTATACTCTTCCTTGAACTTGCGCAGGATCGTCTCTAGCTCCTCCACCTTGATTCGCAGGTCGTCCCGTTGACCGACTACCTTGTCAAGCGTGTCTCGGAGCTCCTCCACCCGTGCTTTGGCCACGCCAACCAGCACTCCAAGCTTGCCACCAGACCCTGTCTTCTCGCCACGAACGACCTTGGACTTCTCCTCAGTCTCGACCTCCTGATGCTTGCGGACCAGCTCCTCCTTTCGAGCCTCGAGCGCTGCGACGTCTCCTCTCAGACCTTCAACCTGTGACTCAATCCGCCGTCGCAGCTCCTGAGCCTCTGAAAGCATCGTCTGCCGCTTCTTGTCCGCCCGCTCCATTTTGGCACGCTTCTCGGCCGCCAGGCGGCGGTGCTCCTTGCCGATCTGGGAGCATTTGTTGGCACACTTGACGCCCCCCTTGTGGCCGAACTCCTCGGTACCGTCGCAGCAGAGGTCGTAGTCGCACACGCCGTCGTTGACGTACGAGAAGGGCACGTAGCTGCCGATGTGGCCCTTGTTCTCGCACCAGAACCCCGGCAGGACGTTGGATGTGTTGGTCGTGCTCGAGGCCGAGCCGGGGAGGGGTTGTTCGGGGGAGAGAGGGTCGATGGAGGCACAGGCGGCGGTTCCAGGTTCGTCAGAGCCGTCGGGGCAGTCGCAGGTGCCGTCGTTGACTTGGCTGAGGCTTAGCTTGATGGCGGCGTTGGTGATGCATGTGAATTGGTCTTTGTTCTGGTAGTGCGAGGCAACTGGAGGGGAGCGGAGCAAGCGGCCGGTTAGCAAACGTCAGGCGTCAATGGATGCGTTGGGGTTGGCAGGTTGCGGGCGTGTTTGGTTGGGGGTGGCCACGATGGCACTTGCTACGTACATTCGGGGCTGACTCCTCGGGGCAGGCTGCCTGCAGCCGCTAGAGTAAATGAATAGATGGCGTTGAGAAGCGCCAAAGAACTATTTGGCCGCATTGTGAGGGTGCAGAGGGAGGAGAAGAGCCTCTTGATGGGCAGATGCAGGAAGCGAAGTTGAAGCTTCCAAACAATCGACGAGGAGTGCTCTAGGTTAAGGCCAATTGGAGACAGCTCAGCAGCTCCAGAGGCGGTAAAGTGGCTCTTCAGGGGCGCTTCTCCCTGTTCCTCCACCAGCTCCACCGCCTCTTCCACCGTTCACAGCACAAGAGCCTTCAATCCAATGTTGGCCACATATCGGTGTTAATATCCATGGCAGCTGCATCTACTCAGTATATGATACCCATTGAAGACAAACATCTCCACTGATAAGCCTTCAAAGCTTCCCTAGCGACAAGACGCCCCAACGATCCGTCCAGGCTTAACTATGGCCCGTTCCCAGCATCTTCTACGCAAGCAGCACGATGGTTCGCCCAGCCATTCAAACATGTTCGAAGACGCATGGGCATAATGTTCAAAGTCCAGGACAATATACAAATCACCAAGTAAACGCAAACCGATGCAATTGCCTCCCATGATTCTTTCCTTGCCCATCCCAGCATGGAGATCATCTCCTTACGATCTGGCAGCTCCCTAACGGCCGTGCTTTTAGCGGCGCAGCACCAGTTTTATTAAATCGGGGTGGATTAACGCGTGAGCTAAACTGATTTCCGGGGAGCTGCCTGACGCAGGAGAAAAAAAAAAATGTGCCCCTCCATTTGCCCCTCCATGCGAGCCAGTTGACTCACAATCCTCTGCAAATCAACTTCGACTTCATTTAAATCAAGGCACAATTTTCTCTATCAGAGTCTATTCGCCATGCCACCCGCTTCAAAAGAGCCCAAGGGCCAGAAAGAACTCGATTTCATCGTCAATGCGACTCTCGATCTGATCCAACGCCTCCAAACCGTCCTCTCCGACATCAACCGTGACCCTACAGCGACTTCAACATCCTCAACCCAGAGCAGCGGCCAGCCACCTCTCAACAGCCTGGCACTCGCCCAAGACTCCGCCGCCCTCGTTCGAGCGCACGCTACCAAGGTCTCTCTCCTCATCGTCAACGAGCCTTTCACCCCGAGCGCCCTGGTTGGCGTGATCCGAGAGCTCGCTCAGGGTCCCTTACCCTCCCTCGCCGCCTCCGCCGAGACCTGCACCGCCGATCGCTATACCGCAGTGTTCCGCAAAGAGCTTGCATGGAGATGTCGCTCGGTTCTTCTGGAACTGGCCAAGCTGCTGGAGATGATTCCAAAGGATGGGAAGGCTCTGTCAGCATCCGAGCAAGGCTTCTCTGCCGATAAAGGAAGCATTGCCCTGACCGGTGTTCTCTGGGCTGCGTGCGACCAGGTCGCGGCTCTGACCAAGGGGGGAGTTGGTGGGTTCTTTGTCAAGAAGGTGGAGGAGTGGCGGGACACTCTCAAGGATGTCATGGAGGAGCTCAAGGAGTGGGGAGAGCAAGAACCCGACGACGACGACGAAGACGAGGAGGATGACGATCCAGTCCACGACAGCTCCGAGGAGACGAAGCAGAGCCTGATCGACGACTTCATGAACTCCGACCGAACCATTCCCAAATCCGACCCCGATAAGATTCGTCCCCGTCTCGAAATGTCTCTGAAGCGCCTCCGCCTCGTCACCCTTCTCTACCAAGCCATCGTCAAGCGTCGCATCAAGAAGCTCCCAGTCATCCCCCCAGCCGAAGATGCAGACGAGTCTGCCAGAGCCGTGCCCACGAAACTTAACGACGCCGCCCACGTCCTCGAGGTGCTCCCCGACCATTTCGGGGACCTCGCCGCGGCTATATACGATTTGGACCCCGAGGAGATCGACGAGATGATGGACCAGTGCTTCACAGATGCCGAAAGAGTGAGCAACGTGCTGGGGCAGACGTGGGAAGGAGGTAAGGATGAGTTTACAGAGTGGACGGAGAAGTTCAAGACGGAAATACGCAAGGCATAGGCTACGACGGAACAAAAATAAACGTCATAATCAAGCAAGTTAGGATATCCACGACCATACATCTTATGAAACCCAAATCAATGCTTTTCATTCTCATAAACGCTGATAATCATAAATATATACTGGTAAGAAGAAAAAAAGTTGAATACAATGATGCTCATCAGCCGGACTACCCACGACGCATCTCAATATCCACCACCTGTTACAGAGCAATGGCCAAGGCGTTGAAGTTGACGTATCCGGTGGAGGGGAGGTTGTTGGTAATGGAGGGCCCGACAACGGACCGGTCGCCCAGGGTGAGAGACACGGCGCCGGTGAGCTCGCCAAAGGGCACCTGGACGAAGTTGGCCGGCTGCCCGCCGCTCCCGGTGCGGAACGTCTGGGAGCTGCCGCCTATGGCGACCTGGATGTCCTGCTCGTCGACGGTAATGGTCAGGACGTTGACCGTGTCGGAGGTGCCGAGGCTGGCGGACTGGGAGCCGCCCTGGCCCCAGACGGTGCCGCCGTCGCCCCCGAGGGACGCCCTGGTGGTGCGGTACCACGCGATGGCCTGTTCGCCGTTGCTGGGGGAGATGGCGCGGTTGCCGGCCTTGTAGGCGGCGGTAAAGTAGGGGAGGACGGCGCGGAAGGCCGAGTGGTCATAGCCCTCGACGTAGGCGTTGGCGCCGGAGACGATCTGCTTGCCGACGATGTCGCTGATGTAGCTGGACTCGCCGAAGTCGTTCCAGGTGATGATCTCGATCATGTCGGGGAGGAGGTCGATGGCCTGCTGCCAGCGGTCGTACCAGAGGGAGTCGCCGGTGGAGAACCAGTTCTTGCTGTACTGGGGGAGGTCTAGGGGAGGAATGGCTTGTCAGTAATGTGCGTGTGTGCTTTTTCTGGGCTGGGATACGCACTGGTGTAGAACCAAGGGCTGATTCCCATCATGTAGGACTTGTCGCCAAGGATCTCGATGTAGCGCTCGTCTTCGACAGAGGTCAGGTTCTTTGATCCGGGACCGGGCCAGGCATTCCAGGAGACTGTTGATGTCTGTCAGCGTCAAATTCTGGCGTCTTTGAATGGGAGGCGACCACGCACAGTGTCCGTCGATCTGGTCGAGCTTGCCAGCAACGCCATCGGGACCCAGGCTGCTCCAGTCGGGAACAAGGTAGATGCCGCCCGTCCCTGATCTTACTGTGGCCCAGTTGCCGGACCAGCCAGGGCCCTCGAAGGTGCTGATGAGGGGAGAGCCATTCCTGGTGGCATGGGCAGAGGAGGACTTGAACTCGTTGATGATGTCGATGACAGTCTGCACACCCCATTCGCCGACGGCCATATCGAAGGACGGGAAGAGTGTGAATCCGCCGACGCTCTCAGCCGCGGCGAAGGCCAGGCGCATCTGCTCCAAGGTGTAGGAGTCAGAAGGGCCGATGTTCAGAGCAAATCCATCGATGCCGACACTCTTGGCGTCGTTGATGTCGTTGGTCCATTGGTCGCTGGTTTGGCCGCTGGTGATACCAACCTGTGATGGTATAGCGTGTTAGTGGCGAAGGTAGAAGATGTCGTCTTGGACAGCCCTCGGGAGGGATCATGTACGCCAACTCACCATGTAATGGGCATAGACTTTGCGTTCAGACATTTTGAGTGAATGAATAGAGTTGGTTGAGGGAGTGTATCAAGTGAACGACGTTCCTTCGATCGATGAGCTCTTGAAGATGTCCAGCTCGAGTATTGGGTCACTTGGGAGCAGCGGATGAGGCTCTAGATAAAGAAACCCGCCGAGTTCTATTATTGAACCCCGGTAGTGGCTACCGGTAGTTTCGATGCGACACCTCTCATCCCAAGCCAAGACCCATCCCATCGCCTCTCGTACACCAGCCTCTCAGAATGAGGTGCAGCATGGAGATGACCACCGGAAGCGAGGACTGGGGGTCTGCCAGGATGGACCGTGTTTCATCCTGTCCCTGGTTAATCTTTTGGGACCCGCCTCAGCCCAGCTGAAAGCCCAAAAAACGCAAGTTTTCCTTGACTAACGCGGGCGAGACTTGGCTTGTGTAAAATCGTGGTTGAGAAAGGTCGCAAAGGCTCTGGTTGTCTAATGATGTGATGCCATGGTATCCCGCCCCGACTGCAGAAGCATCATCGGATTCCTCTCCAAGTTCAGCCCTCCCGTATTCATCACGACATTTACCTGATCTGGCAGCACTAAATTATTACCCGTTCTACCGGTGGAAGGATTCTGGCCATGCTTTAACCCCACTAACTCACCGTCCGAGACCAGGATTCAGGTCTGCGTACGCAACTTCATTGCAACGCGGCGCAGATTGGGATACTAGAGTGCCCCAGAGGCGGCAGGAATGTTCATCTCTTGCGTGAGCCATCATACAAGGTGCATGGTATGGGCAGGGAGCGGAAGGCGGCGATGGACACCCTGGGCAGCAGGTTCGATTCTATTTAAAGACAGAAACTCAACACACCGCAGGCAATCAGAAGAAATGTTGCACGTCTGACCCGACCCACGCCTCGTGGGCTGATTTGGGGTATCCGTATCTGGCGACTACCCCTTGCTGCCTTGTTGGATCTTGGCTTGGCTCTCGTCTTTTATATTAGCGAACCGGGAGCCAAGACTGGACCTGCGTGCGAGGGAATCCTTTCGCATTCTGGTCCACAGAGGCCAATCGCTCGCTGCGTGATGATACACGCCTTTTGTTGATTCCTCTCTGGGCTACCCGAACCAAGCCGCCAATATTGCGGATCTGCCCACATGACGTGCATTACGACACTTGAGACACTGCATGCGCGGTGATGTGATGCCCATGCTTCAATGAATTATCCTTAATTTGGTTCGGTTTCGATATTACCTACCAAGGTCGCGAGCTTTGGTGCTGCTGGGTCTTGTCTCTAGCATCTTCGCCCTTGTACTTAAGCACATGGTACTCGTGTTTAGCTTTTAATTTTTACCGATAGAGCCAATGAAATGTAATTTTAGATTTACACGGGCTTGTTTGATTTTCTCCAACCCCGTTCCGGTGTTGCGATAATCACCGAGCACCCCAGAAGGATCGCCGCCGTCGGTGAGGTAGTATATATAAACTATTTTTTCTTGTGACGAGTAATGATGGAAATCGTTTCTATAATAGTACTTCTCTTTTTGTGAAGCTGGTGAAGCAAGGCTGGTCCGCGTGTAGGATCACTCGTGGGACATCAAACCTGCGATACTTGATAAGACAGAAATCCCTCTCGAATTTTACCACTCTCTAGCCTTCCTTGGGCTTCAATGTAGACGCTTACTATATGCTGTCCTGTTCACTCGCTCGATTCAGGTTTGGCTGGCATTAATCACTATGGTGAGAGTAAAATTTGCTATCATAAGCCTCTTTTCTTGAAGTTTGCTAGACAGACTCTTATGACTGCTTCTCTGGTTTCCTTCCTCATAGATTGGCTCGCCTACTCCAGTGCCATTTTCCAAGCCGCAGGTCCATTTCCATTTCGTTTTGAGTAGATACTTTCGTTACCTAGTAGCTTCTCTTCAACCGTGCTCTTCTTTCTAAATCTCTTCAGAGCGGCCCGTTTACTCCGTTTACCAGATTCCATGGCTTAGTGGTACGGGCAGTTCCAATGATTCTATTTTGCTTGGCTGACTAGTTACAGAAAGCTTTCTAGTATCTAGTACTCAAGGCTGGGGTATCTCATCTGGAGGTAGTGGGCGTCTATCCAGTAATGTCATATGGGGAGATATGATCGATTTATTGACTTCTCGCTTTAGACTGACCCCCCCCCCCCCCACCCCTTCAAGAGTTATGATGTCTCCCAACATAAGAACGGAACACTATTGTGGAGCTATAGTTAGTATATATATTGCGCGCTACTTATTTTATCTGCTAATTGTACTGCTTCGGGTCGTTCGCGAACTTCGAAAGCTTTTCCGTTCACACCCTTGAATGAGGCAGTGTTATCTACATAGGGGTAACCGAGAGGTGCGTCGAGTGCTTGGGTGAGCTAGATCTATGAAATAGTCTTGGCCTGCTCGACAGCAACAACCTTCTCATCTTGCTGTTCTCTTGTCTGCTCAATATCCTCAGTATCCTCGCTCCGGTTTTCGACTAAAGCCAGTTGGGCTTCCTTTTTCCGGTCTCGCCACAAAAGGTACTGAATCGCGCCTGTGACCACAACTGAACAGATCTGTTAGATTCTAAACAACTCGCGGGAAGATATCATGTTCAACTCACCCAACAATCCATTAAGTGTACAGCTCCAAGTGTAGCCTTTTGTCGCCGCTGGAAAATCGGTGGTTTTCCAAACGAAATTCGGAGCCTAAGGTTAAGACACTTGTTAATATGCCGGACGGCCAAAGATCGATCGGTCAGCTGGAGACTTACAACAGCCTGGACAACATAAGCGAAGTCGTTGCCCATTGCCACAAGCAAAGCTCGCTTTTCAGTGTCTGCTGAGCAAATCTCATTGATCCAGCTCAGGATCAGAGGACCTGCGCCATTCTGAGGACAAAGTTAGGTCTAGTACTCGTGGGTTCACCTTTGTGAAACTTACCCCGATATTTTCTAGCCAGTACACAATCTTTCGGCCCTCGATGTTGGAGTACAAGGGCATCTTGAGCAAAGCCATGTTGAAAATGAACTGTGGATTGTCGATTAGCCATGCGAGCATATGAAATCTTAGAGATTGATATCGACCTACCGGCACGACTGCACCAGCGTAGATGAAGGGATACCGGCGCCCTTTGAAAGGACCATCGGAGAGCCATGCCCAAATCAAAGACATGCCAATAAAGATACCAGTGGTCGGCAGAGGCACTGGAAATATTGTAAGCAGAAGAACTCGATAACATATATGTTAGACATGGATTGATCGTACGTTGATTGATTTCTGGGACGGTGAAAGAGACCCCGGGAACAGGGGGAGGGTTTGCGTTGAAGCTCTTCAACCAGTATCCCATTGCGTTTTGTGAGCTGGCATTGTTCCAGACCACATAACACATAGCTGTGACAAGTATCAGTTTAGGTTCTCCCTATGTGGTCAATGGAAGACAACGTACGGAGCAGATAAAAGTGCCAGCTTGAAAGGATCCTCTTGAGTTTGGCCTTCGTCCACGGTTCCTTGCCCGCTCTTCCAATAGCTTTCATTCTGGCCTGAGACATTTGTTGCTCTCTGTCGGTCAACCACCAAGTTCTCTTGCCATCCTGAGGTAGGTTGGGGAAAAACACGTAGCCCAGCAATGCGAGTGGCAGAGTGATGATGCCATCAATGATGAAAAGCCAACGCCCTATTCTGAGTATTAGAACAACATCTTTAGAAAGTTCCAACAATTCGCCTACATCCTGAACGGCCATGAACGCCATTGAGATTCGTATATGCTGCTGCTTGCAAGAAGCCACTGAACATGGTGCCAATAGACCCAGCTAGCCAGAACATGACGGCGCGCTTTCCAATCTCGCGGGGTGTGTACCAAGATCCAAGCATGTAGTGAATGCCGGGGTAAAATCCTGATCTAAACAGGAGGTATCAGCTCATTGCTCGATGTGAGTCTTCAACATATGGAGGCTTTACTTACTCGAAAAATCCTACGAGAAACCGTAAAGCGTACAAAGCCGAGTGGGAGTGGACAGCTGTAGTGGCAAAGGTAGCAATTCCCCAGCCAACCTCCAGACTAGGAATGACCCAACGCGGTGACAAGCGAGTGAGGAGGAGATTGCTTGGGATTTGTCCGATAACATATCCGACAGTCCAGATAGACGTGCCTATTTAAATAGTTAGTGATTGGTCGAGAGCGATAGTATTGTGTGTCTTGTCTTGGACATACTTGTTACCAACTCGTTTCCGTACATATGGAGTTCCTCCTTCATCCCGCTGAGGAAGGCATTGTTGATGTTATTTTGGTCTAGATATTTGAGAAAGTAACCGAGAGATGCAAAGGTAAGGACGAATGCATCAACTTTGAACAGCATCCAACGCTGGTCAGGAGGAAGATCCCAGGTGTCCCAAACGTATCCCCTCCAGGTTTGCACAGGTTTCACGACAACATCAATATCGGAGCCAGTAGCCTCTGTGTCTGATGCATCCTGAGCTGTAGTAGGAACGCGTGTCTCCTTAGACGAGCTCTTCTCGGCCATGATAGGCAACACGCAGAGAGTGCTCTGGTAGACAACAGCAGTAGGAAATGGTTAAAAGCAGGGCTCTGTGGGCAACATAGGGAAAAAGCAAACAGAGAACTCGAGTACCCCAGACCCTCTTATACGATCCATATAATAAGGCTAAAGATATGCACTCATTCGCCCATATAATCACGTCAAGTGGCCCTTACTCCTTTATGCTTATCTTAAAGCCGTGGGTAGCGGGACCACGTTCGTTGAGTCCATAATTCTTGTTACAACGAACGATAATCATATTCGATATCAGCAGACAATCTAGTTCCATTTGAGCATGGAGATGGAGTCTCGCGCATGAACGCAGTGGTGAAATTCTCTGCCGGGCTTGCGCCATTGCGTACTCTGCCCAGTCATGATAAACCAAACCCTGACATGATATGCATGCTCCCCACCCGAGCGAGGATAAACCCCACAAGATTTGCCCTCTGCGAACTTTTTGACAAGGGTCAAATGTGCGCAGAAGGTGTTGGGTTGGTAACGAGACTCACTTTTGATTGTTGCACTCATTGCGTGGACCCCGGCTAGCTTGCTGGAAGCCTAACTTGGGGTCTCGGCCCTTCTGGCTGTTTGAGAATTGAGGCTATTTTGACCCAATGTTTGAACGGAAGTTGAGGTCAATATTGCCAAGAGCCAAGAGCCAAGAGCCAAGATTCATGACTTAGTAGCCATGACGGCTGTGACATGCATCGGGCCAAGAGTTTGACATAAGCCTCTCCCGCTGTCAAGTGGCTTGGTAGCTTCGGGCCGCTGCCGAAATTCGACGATTGAATGGTCTTTTCATCTCAACGACCGAAAATGTCCATGGTAGCAGCGATGGTAGGTCGAGGCCTCCAATTCTCCAGTTCTGGAACCGAAGCGGGACCTAACAAGTCATGTTCTCAATATTGACCACGACATGCATTGTTAATAGCTATGATACTACATCCTACAAGGGAGCTACTGGGTTAGCTGGTTGGGGGTGAACCTTGCTTGGTTTCGAGCCGAGCTCGGAGGGTGGAAAGGCGTCATCCCGACAGATATGTCGCAATGTTGGAGACTGTTACACTTTTTAACGGCACTAGACGCAATCCCAAAAGATATGTCGCAATCTTGATCACAAATCAGATGAGATCCCTGTTAGATCATGTCTACCGTAGATATTAAATCACGATTTTTCGCTGGTATTAAATCCACCGTTCCCAGCTACTTCTTGAAGATCTACTAAACGTTTAAACATTATCGCGACTTCATAATTCCTAGAAACCGCTAAAAAAACATCAGGTTGTGTCACTCTTCTGTCGTGTACTAACACCTTGACCTGGACGAGGACAAGATCGAGAAGAGGAGAAGTCACAAGTTGTAATCTGTCCTGAAGTGCATATCAACCTTGCCAAACTTCAACTATCCATGGTTCACTTAAGCGGTTCGCTAGCACAGGGGAAGTTTACTTGAATAGAGCTAGGTCAATGGCAATCCCCGGCTTTTAGATATTAGCCACCTTTTGAAGTCGCGGGGGCATCTAACCAAGTGAATCCTGAAATTTTGCATCATGATGGAACTGTTTAGAGAGGAGTTATCACAGGCGTGTCTATTAACCTACGAACTGCTGAAGACACCAGCAGCGCCCAGGCATAAGTCTTTTCCAGCAAAGGTGCGGTGTTTCAACATGCTTGAAAACGGAAAGGTAACCCACTCGTGTGGGGACTTAACCCATTGATTTCATAAGGTTAGATAGAAAACTTAGGAGATTGTATTATTATAGGGATGCTTCGTGGTTTCTGACTAGATATTTTTTAACGTTGGCATACTTAAGGCAAGCATACAAAGGCCCCAGTTATATTTAGCCAAAAGCTAAAAGAGGGCAAATATCTCTTGTTTTAGCTAACACAGCACCAAGTACGTGTTTGTGTTGAAAGCAGGTTATCGAGTCTCATGGGTGGATTGCCGTGTCTTTGAAATACTTGCGGCGAGTTAGCAGGTTTAAACAGGATAATTTCGTGTTAAGCAAAAAAAGTGAGGCAGTGAAAAAGACGGTTAGCAATCGAATTCAACTTTAATGTTTGGCCGCCTAAAAATAAACCAGATCAGAGTCGTCTGCATCTTGATCTGGCATTTTATCTCTATCTAGTCATAAGGCATCTCGTGAGATGATGATAGGTGACAATCTACTATCTGATAGTAAGTAAGATCCCTAGAACGGCGTTATAGATCCGAACAGAATTCAAAGCAACAACGATTACCTATAAAGATGTCGAATTGAATTGTAGTTCTGTAGCTAGTGAGCTTATAATCGGGAAGCGTGTTGTGTTAGGAACAAATTAGGGCCGATAGTCGACTGACCAGCTTAACACAGAATCACACCCTTTAAAAATCGAAGAATGACCACGTTTCATATCATATTTGAATTTCTGGAGGCTCTCGGAAGACGTATTGTTCCTCAAGGTATATTGGTACGTGGAATTGACAGCTACTTGGCATAACTCAGCTTCTATCAATGATGAGCGATGTTATATTACACATTCAACTTTAGTCATGCACCCTCTTGTATCATTGCATCACAAAGACTATATATCTCCTGAAGTAACCTGTTTTATCAAGGTAGTAAATGCTTATACTTTAGCGCTTGGCTTGCGTCTCTATAGCCAACCCCCAGCATTATTCTGCAGCAGTGACCACGCCCAAAGATGGGATTGGCCCATATCCGATTTTGGTTTGATGCCTGATCCATGGGGGTTTTCACATGTTTCGAATTCCTAATACCCCGCAGTTGATATCGGTTGTATTGAGCGGCGTGATAAGCAGGAACAGTACAGCAATAATAGCAATACTAATGACTTAGTACGATATTTTGAATATTCGTATAATTTATGATATAAGAAGGGAAAAGAGTAGTAGTAGAGAAACTTAAGAGTAGAGTTCCAAATAAGAAACAGGCCTAGTATCCGAGTCCCCGAATTCGTATTGGTTCCGATTCCAGTTGATTCCGGCCGTGGGAGATATGACATCAGTGGGTGTTGATTGGGCAGTTGGGTTTCCACGGGCCATGATACATACCTGCATCTCAGCCGCAGCACCAGGGCATTTCCTGTATCGATCATCACCTCGTCTTCTCATGACAAGAACCGACATAGTTCAAGATGCTTGATAATGCAATCCCAGAGCATTTGCGGGGCGATAGAACCCTCCCGGAAAACACACCCTCGGCCGATTTCCAACCAGCGTACCCATCGTACAGCGCTCGGTTCCCTGAAAAGGCCACCGAGCTTGTCATGGGACTCATTGGTGCCCAATACAAGACAAAGACTGGAGCGGACGCGCTTGGTCAATCCAAGATCTCTAGCTTCTTAGTGTCCGATGAAGCAGCCCCTTCTTTCCATGAATGGACATCGTTCATAGACAACAAGGGATATTACAATTTGGTGGCCTTTGCCTACTGGCCGAGCACGGCCGATTACGAGACTTGGAGCAAAGAGTCAGGATTCAAGAAGTGGTGGGAGTCTCTCCAAGCCGAAGATCACTCCAATGGGTGGTTCTTGGAGGTATTCCATCCCCCCATGCAGCGGTTCGAGACCCTTTTCAATACCCAGACCCCTGAAGGTTCAGGCCATCTGCGGGAGGCCTGGAGTGGTGAGATCCAGCAGCATGGGTATTGGGGTAGTATGCGGGATAGGCTACCGATATCCCTCACAGATAGTCTGGATGGGACCAAGATAAGCATCGATCCTTCTCCAGGGGTTGAAGGCCGCGTGCGTGTTCCCGGCAAACAGAATCTTGCAATCATCCGTTCTGGCCAAGACTGGCTCATTACCACACCTGAGGAACGAGAGCTGTATCTCAATACCATGCAACCTGTCCTCATCAAAGGCATGGACTTCCTGCGAGACCATGGCGAGGAGGTGGATTGTTATAGCTGCCGGTTCATGGACGTGATTGACCCAGCCACTCGTGCGGCGGATAAGGATCGAACATTTGGAGTCGCTTACTTTAGTGATCTGAAGTCACTTGAGAGCTGGTGTAAGAAACACCCTACGCATCTTGCCATCTTTGGTGGATTTTTCCAATATGCAAAGAAGCTGAAATACAACGTCAATCTCCGGGTGTTTCATGAAGTAATGGTTCTGGAGCCCGATCAGCAGTTCTTTGAATATATAAATTGCCATCCGGGTACAGGAATGTTACAGTGATAAGGCCTGTCAGGAAAGAATCAAGCTATTTAGTAATGCCCACTCACCGTGTTTCTTGTGTTTCTTGGATATGAATATGATTGATAACTGTCCTTAGCTGCTTCCATTCAGCATTAATAATAGTCTCAAGTAAGACGAGCCGCTGTGTTCAGAAGATCGCACGGCGAGGGAAGAGAATTCTCCTTACGACAAGGCAAGCATATCGTACCTACCAGTCAAGATTGTCTCATGCAGAATTCGAAGTATATATCCATCAATGTGAACATGAGTAGGTCAAGAACATGTATTGGAGAAAGGAAAATCTATGTCATAATCATTATGTCTACTTTATTCATTCATTAGGAACTGCGGCAGTGGTGGACTAGACAAAACCACTGGGTCTTTTCCCTTCACCTTCACTGAATTCGACCGTGAAACCCCTGGACGTAGCTCAAACATCTCTAGCCTTGGCTGGTGATCGGGTTTACGATCAAATTCGACTGAGACCTCCGTCTTTAGCGTGATACCCCCGCCACGGTGGCCATGCCGGCCATCTAGGATGCTGCTTTCGCTTGCGGTGTCGTCAAGGAAAGTTTGATGGCGAGAGTCGGAGTTCCTTCGTGATTCGGGTCGAGGTTGGGTCAAGAATCGGTTGCCATCAGAGCGAACGTACCCAAGTACTGTCGGGGTTGATCCATATCTTGTACCCAAAGCTATCTCCCCGACGAGGACACGAAGTATAGGTATCGAGGCTGCGATGATGGTCGAGCATGGCTCGGCGAGAGAGAATATCCAGTACAGCATGAGGTGCCAATTAACTATAGAAAGGGTCAGAGATGGTTTAAACAGCCGGTAGGGGTCGTTCTTACACTCTAGTTCCAGTGGGTTGAGGATTCTGATAGCCTGAACTGTCTTCATGACACCAAAAGCACACCCGCTGTGGTATTGTCAGTAAAGCCGAGCCATCACGAGAAAGAGCCTACTCACAATATCTCAAAGCTCATAGCAACACCGACACCAATTATCTTCTTCTTCTCTAGGTTGGTATTCCAAATGACTCGCCATGGAAGCAGGCCAAGGAGAAAATCTGTTGCCGCTGAAAAACCTAGAAACTTGTAAGACTCTCGTACAGCCGAAGCAGAATGAGGAAAAACAATATTACCTGAACCTGTAATGTTCACGATGCCCAGGTCGTGGGCTTCCCAGCATGAACCTGGAAGAACGTACGGAACTGTGTCACCGCAGAGAGCCCTCCATTGCGCAAACACGTGGTAGATGGAGAGCAAGTTGATTGATCCGACAACGAGCCAGATAAGCACTTTCTCGACCCTGGACGAGAAGCGTAGTAAGGAGACGGCAAAAGAGGTCTTAGATAAAGCCAGCGCTAATAGATGAAATGTGTGTGACAGGCGGACCAAGGCACTGACAGTCGGTGCCTCTTCACTGTCTGATATGAGATGCCCGTTCTTGAGAGCAACAGTGAGTGTTGATCCGGCAGCGATAAGAAGGATCCAGCCGATGATCAAGAGATAGTCGTCCCACCATGTTTGTCCACTTCGTGTGATGCGAGTGTAGATCTTCGAGCAAAAGAACGCTGTCATGATCCCCGCCATGGACCAGATCGCCGGGATGACTATCGAGTCTGCATTTTCGACAGGTTTGCGAGAGTCCATGGCATGTGCAAGTTTAACATGCGTAGAGCGAAGCCGTTAAGTAGGGAGCCGTGCCTCGTCGACGATACAGTTCATTCTCGTGTCGAGCGGTTCGTCGGTTCCGTGATTATTCTTTAGTCGTATCTGTCGTTCCGTAGTTATAGAGTGACAACGAAGGTTGGCGAGGAATGGGTCGATCGGAGAAAAAAGGCCGGGAGCCTCAATCTTAAAGATCCCCGATGGGGCCAACACCGCATTTACAGCCCAAGTCTCCTTTCAAGGAAGCAAAGCAGGGTAATAAAACGTGAGCTGCCGGATCTGGCGGCCGCTTGTTCTCATTTGGCGGTCCGGCCCAATGCAAAGGACAAGCTTCCTGGGGAGCCGCTGTCACCGGGTCATGAACGCCCCTTATCGCGTTTCAAGCCGGGCAACGTGCTTTTCTGGATGCTGGTGGCCTTGGACAAACCCCAGCTTCCCCCATGATGTCTTAGGAAGTGATCGCTCGGTCAATCGCCCCAAAACGAATATTCTCCGTTGACAGTATTTAGCCTACATAGACCACCAATACTTGACAATAACCCGATCTGACGAAGTCCATCGGTCAGCCATCCGTGGCAATTGCTCCTCTACACTGCAGTTTCAGAGAAGTTTATTGTTCTGATTATTTACAGGAAGTATATTGAATATCACACGTCATTACCTGGCTCAGAGGTCCGCTCACAGAGAGTCATCATTTCCCTCTGTGCACATTGTCTACTCGAGGGCGCTGAATTGAGTTGCTAGAACAGTTCCTAGTGCCGTTGTGAGGGAAATTCCTCCTTGTTTCCGTGATTAGGCTGGCAGGGACCAGGATGTGGTCAGTTAATGCTGGCAAGCAAGAGGCGCTAGGCCAGCCCTTTGTGCAATCAAAATTCTCAGCATCCCTGCTGTCTAGATTTCCATGATTCTAAAGGGTAATCGTGTGCTTGTCAGCAGGGAATGATGCCTGTTGGCAATCTTACCAAGAAATGCAAAGCTACTAAGGGCACAACGGTCACGACCCCCTTACCCGAGCAAGCTTGTTGTGTGATACGTAGCACATGTGCGTATCGATCGACGATCAAATCGTTTCTGGAAATGTGATGGATCTTAGTAGCTATACTCAAGGACATGGTCATATAAACCATCCACCAGAAACAATGTTTGGTCTCTCAATCATGCTTTTTCAAATGTCACATCAATTTAGCAAGAGTCTAAAAGATCTTAAAACATCAATAATATTCTCCGAATTTCCCGTGGTTGTGTGAAATTATTCATCAAAGCGACAGGGCCTGGAGGAGGTGAGGCTGATATCTCGGCTGACTTATTACTTTGCTCCTCTTAATGATCCTTCCATTGTTTTTCCACGCGCTCTGACTGGCTGTCACACTCAGCTCTCAGTATCCCAGTTAGTCATCTGGTGCATGGCTGATTGCACAGCTGTCACCACTTTGCCCATCTGGGCGCATCATTCATGCAACGGCCCATCCCTGGTGGCTAAAGCTCCTTGTTTCACACCATCCCAACTCAACTCGCTATTATTGCTTCCTCCAGCTAGTCCACTGATGTCTCAGCCATATTTAGTCGGGGTGATTTGAAAACTCCTGTCAAGATTTCCTCGAACCTGGACTGCACGCACCCTCGCTCCAGCACCCGCTTCTGACAGTTACTAGTTCCTCTTATTTGACACTCAAGGTATCCCTCAAGTTCTGTAGCACTGATGCGTTCATTTATTTGTACTTGTTGTTATCCGTAATCAGGCTTTCCGCCAATGAGGCATAGCAATTAGTGCGAGTATGCTCTTCTTTTCTTTCGCTGGTATATCAGAATCGTCTCTGATAGTACTTGTATGAAAGACAAGATTCAGCGGTGATTCTTCCTTGAATGGATAAGCAAACAACAAGGACAAAGAGTCACATTCCTGTGCTCTTTCAGCCAATCTTTGACATAATTCCAAACCTCGCTTGTCACCCCATCACGCGTCTTGAGGCGGCTCCAGCATCCCGAATTCTTGTCATTACCGCCATCACTGTCGGTTGCTTCAAAATGGTGCATATTATTATCAATAGACTTTGCAGACTTTAATAACTTATATGTGACTACGTAAAAACTTCTTGAGGGACCCATAGCAGGTTTCTCGAGTAGCAAGATGTCCAAGACTTTCCTCTGTACTCTCTTCTTCTATTTCAAAACATTAGCAGAAAGCGTATCGAATAAAATATAAAACTGGACCACAAATGAAAATATGATAAGAGATACTTTTAAGAAGTTGGTTCAGATATCGAAAGGAGTAATTACGCTGGATACAGCCAAGTTCATCATTCTCGACACAGAATTCACGATGCTTATTCCCCGGAGCAACACCAATATCATCATCTTTATTCATTAACATTATGGCACATTCTATGGTGATCTGGAGCAACTATTGGCTCAGGAAAATCGATAGGAGAGCTACCCTTCAGCGTCTAGTTTTCCTCGCTGTGCTTCTTGGCCTTCTTGGCAATGCGGTTCTTCCTCTTGCCAGCTACCTTCTTGTTGTTCTTGCTGGCCTTCTTGCCCTTCTTGGTGTGGTATTTGGAGGCCGAGTCGTGTTCCTCGGCACCACGCTTGTGGGCAGTCTGGGCAATCTTCATTGAGGTGTCGGCAGTCTTAAGAAGACGGTCATAGGTCTTGCCCTTGTTATTCACAACAGTCTTGGCGACAGTCTTAGCAGCGCCAGTAACAGCGTTCTTAGCCTTAACAGCGCCAGAGACAGCGCCAACAAGCTTCCTGGATCCCGGGAGAACGTTCTTGATATTTTTGAGGGCGGGGGCAACAGCTTTGACGGCATTGAGGATGTTAGCACGCTCCTCGAGATCAGATTCATCATCGCGCTCCTCAAGATCCCACTCATCACGTTCCTCAAGGTCCTCCTCATCACGCTTTCCCTGAGCAGGCTTTTGATTGGTCTTGACCGTCTTGGCAACATTCATTGAGGTATCGGCAGTCTTAAGAAGCCGATCGTAAGTCTTGCCCTTGTTGTTGACAACCGTCTTGGCGACGGTCTTGGCGGCGCCGGTAACAGCGTTCTTGGCCTTAACAGCACCGGAAACAGCACCAACAAGCTTCTTAGAACCTGGGAGAACGTTCTTGATGTTCTTGAGGGCCGGAGCAACTGCCTTGACGGCTTTAAAAATATTGGCTCGCTCCTCGAGGTCCCATTCGTCACGCTCCTCGAGATCCCACTCGTCACGCTCCTTGAGATCCCACTCATCACGCTCCTCGAGGTCCCACTCATCACGTTCCTCGAGATCCCATTCGATGTCACGCTTGCCCTTAGCAGTCTTAGCAATGTTCATCGACGTATCCGCAGTCTTGAGGAGACGATCGTAAGTCTTGCCCTTGTTGTTCACCACAGTTTTACCGACTGTTTTAGCAGCACCGACAACGGCGTTTTTGGCCTTGACGGCGCCTGAAACGGCTCCAACTAGCTTCTTGGATCCAGGGAGGACGTTCTTGATGTTTTTCAAGGCAGGGGCGACAGCCTTGACGGCACTGAAGAGATTGGCCCGGGGCTCAAGATCCATTTCATCTCCGTAAAGAGCTCGGACCAGGAGATCGAAGTCCTCAAAATCGCGCTCGTCAAGGTCGAGCACGAGGCCACGAGCGGCCAAGTCAAGGCCGGCGAGCTCGTTGACATCTCGGACGGCGATGTCAGGCTGAGGGGCGAGAGGAGCAGCTGCAGCAAGGCCGACCAGGACGGCGGGGATGAAAACTTGCTGAATGCCAACCATTTTGAATGAAGATGATATTGAGGTATAGGGGAAGTTATTGACCAGCAATAAGAAAAAAAGATAATAAAAATAAGGTGAAAGAAGCGAAAAGAGACCAGCTCTATGTTATTTTGGGTACTTTGGTGGTGTTTGATCTAGTGATGGGGAGAAGAGATCTCGTATGAAGGAGAAGATCAGTCTATGGGTTATATACTTGTCAGTATGCTCTCTCCGTATTCCACAACTACATCACAGTTGCCAGAGGCTATCTTTAGCTCCGCCACATTCCTGCGTGGTGGGCCTTGGCGGAGCTGTGATGTATTTCCATTTTAGTATGCCTATTCTAGATTACACGTTCTCCCATACTAATTGATCAGTCATGGCCGTTGAACTTACCGGCCAATCAGCTGAATCCTAATGACCACGCCCACCGCACACAAATGGATGTGATCCGCGGTGTTACCGAACCCATCTGCCACAATCGTACAGAGTAGGTATGTGAATAATGAAATCTACTTAGTATTGTATTTGTCCCTTGCAGTTTAGCCCCCGGCCGCATTCAGCCCTTTTCCTTACTACGTATGGACTAGGAAGCCAGGCAAACTCCCCAGCCAGTGTTGCGTTTTGCGTTGAAATACAAGCCGGGGGCCTAGACGTACAATTTTTGACTGGAGTCCAGGCTTGAGATCCTTTCTGTCTATTTTATGGCAAGCTTCCCAATACGGTTTCTTCAGTAAGGATGCTTCCTTGATATGACCCTAACCAACGAGACATGAACAGCACATGGTTTGCTTTGCCTTACCGAAGCATATCTTGGTTTAGTCTATGGAACATCTCTGCTAGATAAAGTGATGAGTTTGGTAAGTACTTAGATCAGAGTATTAACGTAGATATATTTAAGCATTATCGTGCCAGTCTGTATTCGTTCGGATGGCCAGATGCCATGATCAACAGGAGATCTGGTCATGATCCCATGAATCTCATTCTGGCTCTTAGTGCTTATCCGGCGTTCGTACTTCCTACCTAGTTAGGCGTTGTAAGTCAAAGAAGGCAGTAAATTCCAGCCCTCTTTGGCGTGACAGGTGTCCAATCCATGGAAGTTCATTGGTGGTTCTGGCTTAGAATCCTCCTAAAACTGGCGGAAAAGCTTAGCGTTCGCCATCCCTGTCTGACTGCCGACCTCAAACCAACATATCTACCGAGCAATGAGAAAACGAGCTGCCGTAAGGAGCCTTTTTACATCCCTCGTGTCTCTTCTGGCATCTGAAACATTTGTGTAATGTCGTATCGCTGGATTAATGTGTCTGCCTAAACACTGAGCAAGACTTATCATTGGAAGCGTTGCTTGGAGGCCTGCCACTAAGGCCAGTAGGGGCAGCTACTTTCCCGGTTAACCGGCAAGGCCCACAGACAAAGGATTCGGTCTATAGCCATCTCAGCCGCTTGTTAGCAGAGGCCTTCCGTTATTTGCTAATAATAGTTTCAGCCATTCAAGTAATTTTCTCTGTTCTCGAAGCTTTGCTTCTCTTGGTAGCTAATAAACCTTATGAATGGGTTATGTACGAGATAAAAACGGGGTTTGGAGTTCAACTGCCAGGGTTGCTGCTCGTTTGGAAGATCCCTCGTGAGTTGGAAGCCCACGTGGGTTGGCAACCCACAACGTTCCCGTCTTGGCCACCCGTGCACCTTCGGGAATGCTGAGGTTTTGACCGACCGCGTTGTTTGGATTTCTGATTACCGTACAATCATACCGCCAGGGCTGAGTTAAGGCTGGGCTGGCGATAGCGTAGACGACTTATATGGTCGTAACAACTGAGCCTCCCGAGCCCTTGCCAGGCCCCTTTTCTGGGGGGATCAGGTCACCTCACCTAACACCATCAGATTTGGACCGAATTCTTAAATTCATCTTCGAAGTCTAATACTCTTAATTGATTCTGGATAGATGAATCTTTATTTCCCTTGACCCAGCTGTCCGGACTACATCTAATAGCACGCTTGATCACAGCCCATAGATACAATTGAAACCAAACTATTATCTTGACTTTTCTTTTCTTTTCATGCCTGAAAAGCTGACCTAATTAACATGACTAAATATATCCTTTCTTCTCAATAATATAGGAAGAATTTCCGCCAATTCAGCACGTCTAAGTACAGACACCACTGTTCCAACAATGTTCAAAAGCCAATAGCGCCGCTCAAGTTAGGAAGAGATCATCGTTTGGTTAATATTGATGAAATTGTAGCACTTGGGGCAGTGCTAGAGTTATGGAGTAAAAAGGCATTGCTAGGGTTATTGCTGGCAGAATTGGGCCGCGGAGACTCAGTGATAGCAATATGAATGCGACGAGCAATGTATGAGAATGGGACTATAATGACTTCTCGTTTCTATGCCAGTGAGAGATCTTACATGTCTTTCCAATCTAGAAAGTCCTCAGGCCCTGCTATACTTGTCTCGCCTCGATCTTGCTCTTGGTTTTGGCTTGTGAATGGCCCTCAGTTCTCAAACTGCTCGGGTCCGAAGGTAGCGTTGAACCGCATGGTCAACAGATCCTTACTAATAATTTCCTCTGCTCGAGCGACCAGCTCGTCAACGTCCCACTCGACGCTAATCATCCTCCCATTCAAAAACATACTCCTGGCCGGGTCCGCAGCCAACCACACCAAATTTCCACCCGTCAGCGAGAAGTCGTTCCAATTGAGACCGGCCGCCCTCAGGCCCGCCGGGACTATGTCAGTGTCGTTCATGCCGGGGTTGATCGCGATTGTGAAAACAGTGCCTGGATAAGAGGCGGCAACAGTCTTGGTGTCCTGTATCATGGCCAACTTGCTCCCAGTATATCCAGGCAACTCGGGCCAGGTGCCCCAGGCAGCTCCGCTAGATATATTGATTACTGTAGCTGGAGTAGCTGTAGAGGCCCATCGAACTGCAGCTTTGAGGTATTGCTGGGTCATCATGTGGGTGCCTTTGACATTGACTTCCTAGAGGTAGCGATTGGATATTAGCCTACGAATCCTCTCTGTGGAAGACCAGATAATCACTTACATAATTTCTGAAAAACTTATCCGGGTCTTGCTCGTGAGTCTTGTTACTATCTCCGACCTCGATACCTGCGTTGTTGATGAGGATATCAACCTTGGTATACTTGGCACCAATCCCAGCCCACGCGCTGGTGACCTGTTCTGCAGATGCGATATCCACAGGCAAGCAAAGGACTTGAACATCAGGATTGATGGCTTTCAGGTCTTCCTCAACTTGGGCTAGTTTGCTCAAGTTCGTAGCGATGAGCACTATAGCCCTGACACCGGCTTTGACAAAGGCTGGTGCAATGGCATGGGCTCCTATACCTCTGCTAGCGCCTGTCAAGACTACTGTCTTTCCTTGTAGCGAGTTTTCTGGATTGCCAGGATCGATGGCTGGATAAACGGAGGTATAAACTTTCCGGGTAAACTGAACAGCCCTGACTGCCCAGTCTTTGGGAAGGGATCCAAGAGCGTGGTATTCATTCAGGGAAGCCATTGTGGGAAGTTGTTTGGTTGTTGCTGATAATGAAATTTACTCCTGTAGAATTTGTGGGAAGGGATATTGAAGGCGTTATGATGCTTGAAGATAACTACGAAAGCTAGAACGGGATTTGGCCACCTATTTATGCCTTTTCACATCACCCATACATTGATTGAGCTTTCTCACTTCTATTTTCTTCAGGTGTGAGACCTTCTCTGATTCGAGGATACAAGTTACGAGGAGTGTCTCCTCATTTGCTGGACCGTAAACCTCCATCAACTGGTGCAGGGCCGATGCATTTAGAAGCCCTCCCAAAAAGGGGCCTCGTGATTGGACATAACATGTTACGGTAAACGAAATCCAATTGGCCATAAATGTTAGAGAATTATTAGTGTAGCCTATTATAGATTAGACTGCTTACTTTCCTACGGATGAGTCGGTCGGGTCAGTACTCAGCATCCGAAAACCCGACACTTACCAAATTCAGTCCTTCTAAATAAACCCACCGCTTCGTGAATAATCGACCAAGATTGTCCATATTTGTTAAGGTAAATATGCTACAAGCACATCGACAAGTGGTCATCGCTCCGAAGCCGGTTGGTATAACTTCTGTCGCTCCTCTGCAACCCAAAAAGAGACGTGCAAGTAAGCCCAAAGTTCGTACTGGGTGCGTTTCTTGCAAAATTCGACGGATCAAGTGTGACGAACGGAAACCTACGTGCCAGAAGTGTGAGTAATTCTATCCGTTCAAGGGATTGGGTGATGGGCCACCGTTGCTCCTTCATATCAACGTTGGTCTTCTTATCGAATTCATAATTAATCAGCTGGGCACAGGTAGCAAGGACGGCTTCAGTTGCGATGGCTATGAAGGGCATTCACATAGCGCATCAACCGCAAAGGCATTAATGCCAAGATGGCCTCATCCACACTGGATAAACCCCTATCTATCTCGGTTTGCCAAGCAAGACGACGCTCAGTACTTTGATTTCTTTAGAGGTCAACTAGTGTATGAGCTCTCAGGATACTCACACTCCGAATTCTGGCTTCGCATTGTGCCTTGTGAGAGCACCTTAGACAGATGCGCCTTGGAGTCTGTCCTTGCAATCGGAGCACTTTCGACTGCTATCAGACTTGCTCCCCGATTCAGTGCACAATCTGTTCGACGACCTTCAGCGCTCCATCCTTGGTCAGTTATGGTTGTGGCCAACGTCCATCATGAAGCCGCCGTCCGTCACTATATCAAAGCCCTTGCTTTGCTCCGGAATCGACTAGAAGGGGAGATGGACAAAATACCTCCTAGGTCACTGTTCATCGTGTCGCTACTACTTATTACTTTTGAGTTGTTACAAGGTGATATGAAGTCAGCTGACAGCCTTATCACAAGAAGTATAACTCTTCTAAAACATGCACTCAAGTTGCATAGACAAGGAGGCCTAGTTCAACAATTCCAAACCCCTCGCTCTTCAGAAGACGACATGGAAGACATGGAGCATCTTCTACCACTCATCTCCATAATGGGAGGGTATACCCCGTTTCTTTTTTCCCAGTCATCCAACATCCAACTGTGGGATACTTCCTGCGGAATGGATCTTCCTCATACCGGCCAGCCCAGCATCAACAAGCTCGATATCCAATGGAACAAGTTTCACGCGCGTGCGGTCGCCTTTATCGGAGCGACCATGAACTTCCAAACACTACCCCTACCACAGCAACGAGAGACAAAGGAACAGAAAAACCTTTTACTTGCGCAGCTCAGGGTCTGGCAGACAGAATTCGACTCTTGGTGCGGGGCAGAGAAGACATGCGTAGAGCCAGCTCACATGAGAACGTTGCAAATCATGCAAATACAGCATCAGACGCTTCTGATTTGCGTCTCGTGTTGTCTTGATGCTACGGACATGATGTACGACGACTTTGAAGCTGAATTTCATGTTCTCTTGGCGCGCTGCGTGGAATACCTACGCGAGTCACGTCCCACATACCTTTTCACACTTTCCACATCAATCCTCAGCGCCCTTCTTGTGGTAGTGAACAGATGCCGGGTCCACAACATCCGCATGATGGCGGCAGGGATCATTCGTCGGATACAATGGCGTGAGGGCGCGTGGGAGCCTGCGCTGATGCTAAATGGCAAGCTGGGCGGGGTGTTGATGGAGGAACGAAGCAGAAATAAGGATGGGTTCATTCCTTCGGACTGTCGTTGGTTTTGGGCAGCCACAGAGTGGGAGGTTGGAAGGAAGCAGCTTATTGCTACTTATGTCAGGGCAGTACCAGATGCTAGTGGTCAGCCTGTTAACAAGACGCTGGTGCTGGATCCGGACAAGATTCTTGACGTTTGCTCAGATATTGGCTGTCGTATAGATCATGATATAGAACACTTAGACTTACTATCGGGCATAAGGTGAGATCAAAATAATGATGAAACAAGAAAATCAATTTCATGGTCTCGGATATCTTAGTTCCAGTTAGGTTTGGACTTGAATATAGAAATGTGAAAGTGCTTCGCCAGTCAGTCTTTTCATAATAATAACTTTCTCACAGTCCGAACTTAGTATCTACTGAGAACTTCACTAAAGGTTCAAGTATCTCCACATTCTCATTCATTAGAATGGTGTCCTTACATATCTTCAAGAGCCAAGCTCCACGCGCAAGATATTAAGCAGCTCTACTTCAAGGTGCCTTCTTGCTCAAAGTAATATCAATCTTGCCCTTTACGCTACCAGTGCCCCACTCCACAGTATACAAGCCCTTCTTGCCCTCGACGGGGAGCGCAAACCAGTTTGAGAGGCGCTTGCCACCCTCCTCGTAAAAGGCCCGGTCGCCATCCAGCACGAATCCAGTCGCCCTGACGTCCTTGGGCATCTGGCTATATGACGTGAAGCGTGTCTGGGTGGAGGAGGAACCTGCTCCTGGGAGATAGTAGGCCCAGTCTGAGAAATCGCCCCCGTCGCGGCGGGTTGCATACCAGATACCGTGCTCATCTCCCCATTCATACCCTATCAGAAGAGCGAAAGCATCAGTTAAGGGATCCCCCACCTTTCAAGTAGAATAACTCCTATAAATTCTTTTTGTGGTGAAACTTACAGTCAAGCTGCATTGCCCCCTGGTCAGGAGCATCTTTGGTATTTCCAAGATAGGCACGGTCTAGACGGAATGGTTAGAGCAGGAATGAACTCGTGTTCAGGAAAGGAGGAGCTGACCGCCAGAATTGATGACTTCCAACCCATTGATACCCTCTCCATAGGCATAGAGGTAAAAAGTAGGACCGGCAAGAGCTTGGGCGGCCAAGGCCAGTGGCAGAGCCAAGGAGAAGCGCATTTTTCTCGTGTGAGGCCGAGGGATTGTTGTTTGAAGAATCAAGTGAAATGGTCGAATCAACCCTGAGATGAAAAATATCGATGGATCGCGGACAGAGCGCGCTTTTAACTTGTCGGTCCACGTCAAGTGTTCTGTAACAGTCCGCGGTCCGAAGAAGCTAATGTGGTACTCATGGTGGCGGTGCTCTCGGGACTCGACAAAAACGTCTGTAAGGGGGTTGACTTGGAGGGTCAATAATATGGTCAGGAACCTGCTTATTTAGGGCTATAGAATCTAGCCGAGACAGAAGATGGTTGTTGCAACGTTTCATTGCGATATTCTTCGTCGTGGCTGACTTAATGTCCGAGTCACATTTGGAAGGAGAATTATATTTCAAATCAATGCATTGCTCCAGGGTTTTTAGTGGCGGCCGACTGTATGTCACATCCAAGTACATCAACATCTTCACTGGGTGTTGTCACGACATTGGTGTGGCAAATGCCCAATGTCTTCATCCCATTTTGGAGATCGCCGCCTTGTCCCAGATAGATTAATTTAGGATCGGGTCGCAGTAGAATGGCCCCTAAATTCCGCGACCTGCCTAGTTAGCTATCCATGAAGGCTGCTGACATATTATTCAATCACTTTATCGTAGGAAGAGTAGGTAGATCGGGCTTTAGCAAGCCATGCTGTGATCAAGGGCGTCGATCATATGGGAGCATATAGCAATAGCAGAAGAATTCCCATTCTATGTCAGCTTTTACTGGTGTATCTCGCTCTTTGTGTTGATTAGAATAGAGGTAGGGGACAAAGAGCTTATCCTCCTCCACCCCTTTCTACAACTATACCAACACTAAGAAGCCCTTTCCGGGATCCCAAAACTAAGTAAGGGGTTTAAAGCAAAGACTACCGTAATAGCGCGTATCAGCACTTCCAGAAGCTAATCTGCATTACTGTCTTATCCCTGACTTTGGTATCTGCGGCGTATAACAATCTTTGAAGAAGTTCAAGGAGAATAAGTTACACTAGTAATTAACTATAACAATGATGACTCAATATACGATCAAAATACTCCAAATACACGCTACGAGCAAACCTCCTGGTTGGCCATGAAAAAAACGCTACTACCGAAAGTTGTATGGAGCGAGTCACCAAATTCAATTGAAAGAAACAGAAAAGATTCATTCTAGTAAATAATCGTCCTCAAATCTTTGCCTCCTCACAAAGATAAAATGGCCCAAAGCACCGAGGGTATTTCAAATGTCCCCAGTCTCCTCAACGTTGAAGCCCACAACTTCAGGATGGGCCTTTTCAATAATCTTCCGGATTTCTTGGAGCCGGCTCCTGATGTACGCAATTTGTTGGTCATACATGTCCTCTACGGCTTTCAGATCATCCAAATCTGTTGCAAGCGCTGCACTGCCATCTTTGAAAAACGATCGTTGGGAGTTGAGGTCATTGTGTCTGACACGCTTTTCAGGCTTTGGCACTGGTGTGCCTCGGCGTCTCATTTCCTAATAATGGTCCCGAAGGTCTTCTTTTTCCGAGTTAATAAAGTCCAGCGCTTTGACAGAATTTGTGAGTAGTTGCTGAGCTCTCATTTGAAGCCCAAACAACTCTTCCTTCAACTTGATTTTCTCGGAAAAGTCGCGAACCAGAGCGAGGTGTTCAGCCACTAAATCATCGAGGCTGACCTCCTGATTAGGATCAGTAAGGTCGCCGGAATTGTTGCCTTGCGTGGATTCATTCATTTTCGTATATTCGGTCTGTGAATTGCGCAAAGGGAAATATAATCGGTGAGAGGCGTAATCTTACTAGCAAAGGGTCGAGATGAAGATAAGCTAGGTTGCCGGGTTTTCATAGCTGGAAAAAACACTCGAGAGCCCCTAATTTATAATGGAAAGAGGCCGGTTCATTTCAATCGATGCTACACAAAGGGCCTGAAGATCGAAGTTCCTGCAAGCTGATGACAGCTGCTCTGAACATTGAAGGTTTACTAGGACTTGGTGAGGGAACAAGGACAAGCTCTTCTTTTACACCTAACAATTCCTGAGAACGATTTCTCAATGAATATGGAATTAAAAGAGTTTGTAATTTTGCGTTTCTTTTCTCCCGTTTGTTCTGTTTTTTTTTCGCATGATTAACTGAGAATCTTCTGCATTCATGTCTTTGATTGTTCACTGTTGATAGGTAGTGCATAAGACATATCAGTGCTGTATTGGAACGTGGGTGATATTGATTCTGGCTCTAGGACAAGTCTATGAACGCGAAGCAATCGGTCTTTAGATACTGAGAAAGCCAGTTACTGACTCATTTGCTTTCCCCGCTCGAGATTTCATGTGGTTGTCTTGTTGAGGGACAGGTAGGCGTTGAGTGACTATAGGGTAATTTTTTTCACTTGCATAATAATTGTACAAATTTATGCAGTCAGTAGTGCCATCGGGGAAACCGCCGAAATGGATCAACTTTGATCCGCGCCAAAAGCACGCAAATCAAGCGTGGCGGATTGGATGGAGGCTGGGACCAGGATAAGGTCGAGAATCTAGATTTGGTCGAGAAATGCGCGGATATCGCAATCTGAATCCCATCCCTCCCTCTCCAGCGCCAGACTTGCAGCCCAATTAGGTTCCCAGACCAGCCGGACGCAGCAGCCATGGGCATCCTCCGCAAGACCATCTTCACGGGCCTGCTGGGCACCTCGACGGCCTGCGCGTATCTCGCGGCCAAGAACCCCGTCATCTCGCCCCTCTCGCCGTCAGACCCCATCTGGAGCTCGCGGCTGTACAAGTCGCACAATCCCAACAGGAACCCCGCCACGCAGGATGTCTGCATCAAGCGCATCCCCGTGAGCAAGATCCGCCCCGAGCTGCTCCAGAGTAACGGCGCTCTGGCCCTCGAGTTTTGCCGTGGTGTCTGGAGCGGATACGGTATGTCTTGTCTGTTCTTCGGTTTCACTGACGCCTGTGTTGTTCGTATTCCGTGATTTTTATGGGACGGCTTATGTCATGACTCTCGTTAATACCACCATGTTTCGCTCTTCTCATCTTACCTCTGCCCCCTCATATAAACCCGGTTCGGCTAGTATACTGATAACAACTTCAACTGAAGGCCTTGCTGTCCAGCGAAAATATCTCGCATGGAAGTGGCGCGGCCCGGAGACAGAGAACCAGCTCTGGGAGCAGGAAGACTTTGCCACCAGCAACTATGACAAGGGAACTCAGCTCATGAACCACTTTGAGGTTGTTGAGAAGACCCCGACCTCGATCACTGTGCGCTGCGGCGACTCTCCCCACAATCGCGCCCTCCGCCCCTCAGACGGCCTCTTCACCATTAGCGCTACCGTCGACAAGGTGCGCGGCGAGGTCGAGCTTAGCCTCAGGAGCTGCCTCTTCTCTAGTGAGGGTAAGGTCGAAGGAATCAGGGGCCCTATGCCCCCTCACATCGAGGAGCTTCACCAGTGGTATGCTCGCCTTTGGTCCGAGACTGGATCCTGGAAGCTGCTGAAGTAAGATGGGAGAAAGTTGGGATTAGGCAATGGTCTGCTTCTTTTTATGTTCATAAACGTATCAGCAATGTCACTGAAAAGCACTGTATTCTTCTCTTCCCTTCCTACTAGAAACCCTTCATTCGTCAATCAGCTGGGCGTGATATGCTAACAAAGGGCAGAGCCCGGACACCCATGATGAGCCCCGTTATCTTGGATGTGGCCCGGCTTGTCTTCGCCGGCTTGTAGCCGCGCAATCTAGACGTCAATTAAGACATAGACTGATACTTAATATCGATTGACAGAAAGAGTCCCGACAGGAGAATAGCGAGGAGATAAATCCCGAATTCCGCCTAGAATTGCGTCAGAAATCCTATATATATTCCGGCCTTTTCCTTTTCCTGAGAAGGGGCCCACCGTTTCTGGTCCACGCGACACGATAATTATCGTCAGATAATTAATCCTAGTCGGTAAACGGTTGCTCCGACGGGATACAGCAGCTTGGACGTCCATTCCCAAACGCCCATTCCTGATTCTCTCACCTCACTCGGTGCTTCTGCAGTGTCGTAACCTGGTGAGCCTGCGGCTCTAAATCTCGGTATGACGACCCGCCTGAGGCTCATTTCGGGCGTCGTCTTGGCCATTGCCATCCTTTGGGTTGGTCCACGTAGGGGCTCAAATGCTATAGTTGCGGAAACCGCCGTACCAACGGGACGCGATCCCGCCCTGAAAGAAGATGTCGCCTTGTTAGACCGAGCCATCTCCCGCCCTGCCCAAGTTCCAGAGGCGAAAGAAGTCGTGCTGCTCATCCATGGCACCGGCATGACGTAAGTTATGATCCTTCATACGATGTGGAATTCAATTGTGCTCATCATAGCGTCAACAGCCCAGAGATCAATTGGGACCATACTCTACTCCCACCTCTCGTGCAAGAAGGATTTCAGCCCTATTATCTCGAAGTTCCAAAAAGACTCTTCCTCGACATCCAGCATAATGCAGAGTATGTCAGCTACGCCATCAACAAGATCGCAAGTGAGCATGATGCTCGCATATCCATCATTTCCTGGTCCGCTGGCTCGTTGACCACCCAATGGACTTTGACCTTCTTCCCTGAGACCCGTGCCAATGTCAAGCGCCACATTTCGCTGGGCGGATCACATCGTGGTTCCTGGATGATGGTTCCCCTCTACTACTTGAGAATGTACTCCGCCGCCGTGGTACAGCAACTCCCTTGGTCCAACTTCCTCGCAACACTCGCCAGGTTTGGCGGCACGAGAGCTCACGTCCCTACTACCAGCATCGGAAGCAGCACGGATCCATTCGTGCAGCCTGGCTTTTACGGCGAGGGCTGGCTCGGACACCACGACGCCTGGAGGCTGGATGGGCCGCTTGCCCAAAACATTGACTTGTTCAAAGTGTGTGCTTCCAAAAGACTCTCGGAGTGGAAGCTGCCGCGCCCGATTCTCCACGATACACTGCTGTGGGACCCGGCGAGTCACAAGATCATCTTTGATGCTCTCAGGAACGAGAAGACGTACGTCGGCTCAGCTGGTGTGTTGGAGAGTTCGGACTGCGACGGCGGTATCGCACCGCATCTGGGATTGAGATCGAAAGAGGCTCATAAGGACATCTTGCCTGAGCTTTTTAAGTTTGCGCCCACCCAGCCGCCTACTGGTTGGCCAGAGGTTCCGCTTCGTGAGTATGCCCAGTAGGGGGAACGAAGGACCATGTAACATTAGTTTATTGTATCTTCATTTCGAAGATATTCTCAATTCTTGATTACGTCCTCCTTTTGAAACACAATGGAGTGCGCTTTGGATGACTCTCAGTGAATGATCCTAGACATCCCGTAGACGAGTACACATACATGTCAGGGATTTGGTCATACAGTTTGTATATCCTTCAGGAAAACCGAGAAAAAGGAGATTTTTTGGAGAAAAAGGTTCTGGTAGCCTTTATGAGTGGCATTGCTCAAAGAGATCTAATAATCTCGGTGGGTTGTAGACAGCAATTGCAGACGCTGGCCATGTTATTGTGTGATGTTTCCTACATTCAGAGCAACCTTTGAGGGCAACTATGAAGTCAGCGTTTCTCGAGAAACGACATAGCATTCGAATTCTTCTAAGTTGTCTGGTTAATTTCCGAACAGTCAATAGGATATAAGAACCGTGATCCTGAAGTAACAAGCAACTTGTTGTCAGCATGTACCCAAGTCTGCCCTTGAACATCCGTATATCATAACTTTTCTGTGATGAACAAAGCACAACAACAGCATGGTGTAATCTTCAAATTCTCTTCATTAATCGTGAGCTAGCTGAAATTCGAAAAGCAAAGGCCTTTTGTGCTCCCAACACTACAAATGCTCCCTTCACGTGGTATAAATCACACCCCCCTCGCAGAAAACACTAAATCATTCTCCATGTCCTCCCTCACTCCCCTTGGAACAAACGGGCCACATCGGTCTGTCGTAACCTCTGTGGCGAAATGAGAAGCTCTGGCGGGAACCAATCCTGAAGCATGCCACCTGGGCGTCCCGGCGCCTGTGGGATATCCTCGTTCTCACTTCCAGCTACCATGATACCAAGAGCAACGCCGCAGAGCCAGGCAAACACCATTCCCTCGCCCGAATATCCCGCCGCGATCCACTCTCCTGGGCTCGTCCTGTCCGGCTCTGAAGTCTTGTGCTGCTGGTCGATTATTCTGGCGGTCAGCCCCTCATCGAGACGACCGACCAATGGTAGCTGGTCTCCAGTCATGCCCAGGATCCCCGTCCAGACCTTCTTCAGCTCTCCCCCGGAGCCCCAATTGGGGTGGAAAATGGAGGGGAAGATGCCCGATATGTGCGACGCCGCCAGGGCCTTGGGGTACGCACTGTCGTCGTACACGCCCATCTGGTCGACACCACTTTTGGCCGACCGGCGGAATCCCCCGCCCAGCAGGATATCCCCAGGCACGTCGCCGTCAATCTCGGACGGCCGCTGGGTGACATAGTCGAACCCGCCCGGGTAGATGACGCTCCAGGAGCGCTGGCCCCAGGTCTCGGGGAAGACGTCGCCGGGCCTCTGGGAGGACATGTGAGCCCTGGCGCCGGTGATCTTTCGCCGCAGGCCCGGGACGAGCTCGCTGGCGAAGGCGTTGGTGGCGTGGATGACGTGGCGGGCCAGGATGACCCCGCTGGGGGTCTGGACAGCGAAGGGGAAGCCGGGGGCCGAGGGCCCTGCGGAGATGTAGGTGACGGGCGTGTTGGTCTGGATGATGAGCTGGGAGGGGAACTCGTCGAGGAGCTGCTTCCAGATGGAGACGACGAAGCGGTACGCCCAGATGGTGCCCGCTCGCTGGGAGATGGCTCCCACGACGCCCTCGTTTACGCCGAATTGCTGGTCGAGTGTGTTAGTGACTCAGAGAGAGCATACAGTGAATAGGGATGCAATGAATAGAATGACACGTACCTGGAGAACGTCTTCCTTTTCCCACTCGAATACCTGCACCTCGGGCAGCCATTTCCTAGACTCCTCCACATCTCCCACTGCGTCGTGGAACATCTCCTCGTCGACGAAAAAGTCGACTGTCTCCACCTCCCTGGCTTCAGCGATATCAATCCTCTCTTCACGGCAAAGCTCAATCAGATAGTCGACATGGCTGGCTTGGAATCTAGTAAGGGCAGCTGCCCTGTCCTTGGGCATGAACGTAGATAACTGTGCAAAGGTATCGTACGGAGAGGGTTTGATATGGCCGCCATTCCGACCCGTAGCACCGCTGCACAGATCCCTCGCCTCAAAGACGACGACCTTCTTGTCTAGATCAATCCCCCGGCGGCGTCGCTCATGTAGCAGCGACCGCGCGATGGACGCACCGGCAATCCCAGAGCCGATGATGGCGACATCGACGAAATCCGGCAGACGCTGCCTGCTCTGGATGTTGGTCAGCTCTGGGTACGGCGGATCGTCGAGCCAGTAGGGCTCGGTTGGGTTGCTGCGCGGGATGCCAGGCGAGTCCGAGGCGCGGTTGAGGGCATATTCGAAGTCCGTCGAGATCTCCTTGAGGATCTTGATCATGGACCGGACCTTGGCTACTTTGTTTCGCAGCTTAGACGAGACGTGGCCCATGGTGACGGATCAGCAGAGGCGCCGCGCTGCTGCTTCTGCTCCTGTCGCGATCAAATTGCGGTGTAAAGGTGAACCGTACGATGAGATGCTGCAACTCGCCGGTATCGAGGAAATACAACGCATTGATTATGCATGGACGGCTATCCGTGTGCGACTAGTTGTCAGAGGGTTGCCCAAAGCCCATTCGTGTGATGCCCGGACAGACGATCAGTCACTTCTAGGTCGCACAGCTTTTTGCCATTTGTTTATTTATTTTTCTTCCCCGTCTCGTGATTTACCTTGAGAATATCCCGGGCGGTTTTCTGGCGTTGGACCCTGTGAAAATTAAGGGCATGCAGAAAACAATTTATTTTTCCAGGGCTGCAGGCAATATTACAGGGGTGGGCGGCATGATGTGAACTCGCCACTCCTCGTTCGCAATGATTTATGCAGCATATTAGTTTTCTTTCTCTAGTATCAGGTCTCTAATATCAAGCTCAGCACACAGACACTTCTTCAAAACATGTAATATTCGCAAAGAGAGGAGGGAGTGAGGTGTTGCCTCCTCGAGTCTTGCCTCTCCCAGAGGCCTGTCAAATAACTATACCCATGCACCCGCTTGCTGATCCTCTGTCAAGCCTGTTTTCATACAATAAAAATACATTCCTCTCTGCTTAATCACCCTCAAATATCATAATCAGCCTCAATGCCGGAGCTCGCCGCCGTGAAAGAAACCGTCGCCTTAACAAACGCCTTCCACTGCTCAAACTCGGCCTCATCCCGCGGCGCGTAGATCAGGACGTAGGTCAGGGGCAGAATGCCCAACCGCCCGCTGAGCGCATGCCGCTGGGCCCAGCCCTTGCGCGTGGCCAGGTCCGCATCGGCAACGCTCAGCACCATGTGGGAGCTGCCCTCGTTGTGGACGTGCACAATCTCCCCGCGCGTCTTCTTGGCCAGCCACGACGGGAGGGGCACCGACCCGACCTTGAGCCACAGCGAGGGGCTGTCGTGGTGCTCGAGGTTCGAGTTGCGGTAGGCGAGGAGGCCCGGGTTCTTGTCCTGCAGGGCGAGCAGCCAGGCATTCATCCGCGTGATGAGGGCAACGTCGGCCACCTCGGACGTCTGGCGCTGGGGGACCGTGTACGAGGGCACCGTGGGCCGGTTACCACGGCGCGCCGGGAGGGAGTCCTCAGCAAAGAAGCGGAAGCTGTCGTAGGGGGCCGTGTAGTCCGTGAGGGCCTTGGGATCTCTGAATGGCGCCGGGTTGGTGCTGTTCAGGTCTGCCCAGGGCCTTGCGCTTGCTTGGAACAGGTAGCCGAGGAAGCTCTGGGGGACTCCGCTGGGCCCGAGGCGATGGAAATCGCAATATGAACGGTATATATACACCGCCAGAGGAGATAGGCCAACGGCTGCAGCGACCCAAGGCCGCCCGCGGATTTGATCAAGTGCTTTATTGAAGGTAAGGGTCATGTTCAGCTTATTGGAGAAGGTCGCTGGGAGTCAATTCAGTGGACTGAGAGCAAATGAATCAGTAGCAGCGAACGCCGTCTTGGGATGCCGGACTATATTTGTATAAATGGGATAGATAGAGCCTAGATCTACACCGGAAGACTCAACGCTGGATGAGCCGGATCTTCTCGGACGGTCGCATAATTTAGTACGATCTTACTGCCGCATGAACTAATCATCACTACCAAAGAGCAGTATAATCTTACAGAGGAGCAAGCGCTAATCCCAGTTTTGGAGGGTTTCATGCCAACGAATTCCGAAATCCGTCTCTAAAAAGTTGGATCCATGCAGGATGTTGCCCAAACTGGATAACGCCGAGCACTTTGTCGGAATGAACACGGCTTTTTCCATATTACACATTCTGTTGCGCTGGATCATTGTTATATAAGAGTATATTCTGCTTGATATCAGAGGTATACCCAAATCCCGATATAGTGGGATGGTCAGCTTCCGTTTATCAATCCATCTTTTCCTTCCTAGCAACTTGTTATCTCTGAGATGGAATTTACCACCATATCAGCTTACGCCGAGAAACATGCTATGGTTTTGCCGAAAGGTTCTTTGCAAGACTTCCATGCATGATTAATTCATCACTTTCTCAGCATCACGATGAGTGATGTTTGCGTTGGAAAGTGTTGGCCAATTTGGCAACATCAGTCATGTCGCTGGGTGAACTATCAAGCGAAGGCGAAGCTGGCGGTGGACGTGATTACCAAATGAAGAAGCTCATCAGAAACATAAAGCCCACTAGTTAGTTCATTCCGCTCACAAAACACCTAGATGAGTGAGTCTTCAAGTAATAGAATGATCTATCTGCATGGTCCATCAAAGCTGAAGTCTCCATGTTTCCAGCTCAGTTTCAAAACCCCATTCATTGTTTGACCCAGTCTCTACAATCTCAAACCCCGCCCTCCTATAAATATTCCGAGCGGCAACAAGTGACTTCTCCGTCCCCAGATATACGGACTCGTAGCCTGCTTCTCTCGCAAAGTCGACGCACTGACGGACAAGTTCTGAGCCAACACCCTGGCCTCGTGCCTTGTCGCTCACGAGTAGGAACCGCAATTTAGCAGCCTCCTCACGTTCCTGGTGCTGGATAAGCATGACGCAACCCATGAACACGCCTCCCTTTTCTGCGATCCAGCAGCGTTCCTTGGCGGGGTCGAAATTCTCGAGAAAGTCCGCTGCGATCCTGGCGAGTAAAGCCTCGAATTTTTGGTTGTAACCGAGCTCCTGGCAAAAGACTAGGCTTTCTTGGTAGACAATGTAGCCTAAATCACCTGGGAGGTGTGTGCGATAGTTTACTTGCTGTGAAGAATCCATTGGGTTTAAACAGTGAACTTGTGTTGTCTAACGGTAGATGAATAAGATCAAAGAAGATGTGGGTTAAGATACATGTGCGGACGTAATTTTCTTTTGAAAATCAATCTATCGAACCTAGATGCCGGTTAATATACATCTGCTGTCATGCTGCTTACCCCAACCTATCTGGGAAGTCAGCTTTGGTGGCCGATAACGCCGGGGTAATGAAGCAATATGCAGGCCACGTTTCTTCCATGTTCGACGGCCAACACTAGCGCATGTCACAGGGCGCACTGGTGCCAAAAACTGCCGGATGCGCGCCCTACAGTCTTGGCAGGATCTCAATGTTGACAATGACATATTGACATTGCCGTTGGTGGACAAATTGGGAGACACCCTGCCGCTCAATTTCTTTACACGTATGGATTGACAACCCAACAACCCAACAATGCAGTGATAACAGTCACGATAAGCGAACAGAAATTGATCACGTATCGTGGATCATAGTAGTATTTGGTGTTCTTGTCCTAGTTGTTCCGAGATCTCTGTCAGGATGTAGACCTTGGTGTGTCACGTTTACGTCGTGCGTGGCCCTGTATCTTATATTCAGGGAATAGTTGCTTGAACCAATATCAAGACTGAACATAGGGAGGCTGGGTAGTGCGAGACAAAATCCGTTTATCGAGACCAATGCAACTTCGTAGGTGAATAAAACTTGTTTCTGATACAAGTGGATTCTCCGCACAGAGCGATAAGAACTGGGACCCGGCCTGCCTAATATTCCTTCAAACTTTAGTTCCCTTGTTGTCTATACTCTTTATGGCTAATCATGCGACTTTTGCAATGATGTATAAACGTTCCGACCTATCTCAGTTTGCTGCCCTGGGGACTACTGGCCAAACTAATCATGGAAGCATTCATCGCACTTTGATTGCCCAGGCTTGTATTGAACAAATCATCGCTTATCACACCACTTTGAGGCTTAGGAATGATTTACAAAGGTAAGAGGGATGAATGCGCTTTTGAATCAATTGATAGCGATGTTGGTAGTGGAGAAATGGAAAGAGGAACGCGCAGGAACTAGAGGGCTGAGATCCTCCTTAGAAGCTGTTTGAGCTGGTTCCAGATGGAACAATTATATTACAAGCCCAGAAGAAAGTTATTCTTGCTGGAATAGAAAGACATGAGGCAAAAAATCACCGATCAAGCACCACTAATAAACAGTTCCGTTACCTTGCAAAAGCTTGCTTAGATTGCTCCAAACAGCACTCTTTCCAATGGAGTTTCATGTGTTCTTTTCTCAATTGGCTGGTTTCCCAAAAAAAAAACTTTTTTAAACACATGGTTAAAGGAAAGAAAATGTCAAACAGACCTGGTCCCCTGGCTCAGCTTGCCCTGGCACAATGGATGGAAATTGCAACACCGCACCATGCGATCCCAGCGTTGGACGCATAAAATCTCAGGATCAGACGACGAACACGAGCATTTAATAGAAAGGTGCCCTCTCTTGGTAAGGTCCAACTCTCACTATTTGTTTCTTCAGTACTGGCGCGCTATATTATTGGTAGGATTATGCATCGTAGCCGGGCATCAGACTCAACCTCAGAGCACTGATTTTGCGACGAGATCGTAATTAGACCCAGCCATCTATAAATGGAGACTCCCAAAAAGATAGACTCGTATTCCCCATCTCGAGCTACAAAGAACAAAGCGCGGACTGGTTATTTACTGCAAACCGGCACGTGTAGCCGTACGTGGTGGATCGCTCTCCTGATTAGCGGCATCCATCAAGCTGTTTGAGGATTCGACAAGACTCCACCGTTCCAAAAATAAAGCCGGAACTGCTCACATAGGCAAGTCGACTCAGCTGCGTTTCAGGAATCGGTACCGAACCACTCGCATTGAAGATCTGCCCGCCGATCAAGAGGCGTATGGAGGCAGCCAAAGGAATTAATACGACCAAGTCCCCGAGTTTATGAACAGTCATTCTTCTGCACCCAACCAAGCTGAAGTCAACTCTCACACTACTCTACGCCTAATCACCACCCACAATGAAGACCGGAATCGCCTATCTTGCTGCCGTCTTGCCTCTGGCAATGGCTGAGTCTCTGTGCGACCAGTATGCCTACCTGAGCCGCGACGGATACAACTTCAACAACAACGAGTGGGGTGCCGCTACGGGCACTGGAGATCAGTGCACCTACGTCGATAGCACTTCCAGCGGCGGTGTCTCGTGGCATGCGGACTGGACCTGGTCTGGTTCCGAGTCCGAAATCAAGAGCTACCCCTACTCTGGACTCGACCTCCCAGAGAAGAAGATCGTCACCAGCATCGGCAGCATCTCCACCGGGGCAGAATGGAGCTACTCGGGCTCCAACATCCGAGCCGACGTTGCCTACGACATCTTCACGGCAGCTGACCCCAACCACGCTACCAGCAGTGGTGATTACGAGGTTATGATATGGTATGTCTTCGCTCCGTCTCGTCTTTTATGAAGTAATCAAGACTAATACTTTGAACAGGCTTGCCAACCTCGGTGGTCTCACACCTATCGGTAGCCCCATCGGCACTGTCAAGGCTGCCGGCCGCGACTGGGAGCTCTGGGACGGCTACAACGGCGCCATGAGGGTGTACAGTTTTGTTGCCCCCAGCCAGCTGAACTCGTTCGACGGAGAGATTATGGACTTCTTCTATGTTGTCAAGGACATGCGCGGCTTCCCTGCCGATAGCCAGCATCTTCTGAGTATGTCTTATCATTTGAATCATCCCTTAAACCCGAGCTGTCTACTAACTATTTTGTTTCTGCAGCTGTTCAATTCGGTACTGAGCCCATTTCTGGTAGCGGCGCCAAGTTCTCTGTGAGCCACTGGTCGGCCAAGCTTGGTTGAATCCCGGAAACGTCCGAAGCGTATGGAGGTTTTGTGAATAAGTTGACTATTGGTGGGATTTGTACATTATATCTATGGCTAAATTGGGTGCATTAATTTAGAGGAATGGTATAGAGGCGTGAAGTGTTATACAACTACGAGGTAGAGAATAAGAGAACCAAAATGCCCAGACATGAATAACAGTAAGGGAAGACTTCAGGGCAAATTGCGCTGAAGGAAAAGGAGCTACAGGGCCTTACGTAATATTTCCAATACGAACAAACCTCCCTTTAATTCCATGACGTGAGTCTTTCCTCCTGCACTAGAAGACGTAATGATATACCCACCGGCGCAGCGAAGGAACCGATCCTTGCATCTGCACGGAATCCAGAATGTCGACGAGAATAGCCCCGGAATACGACGCACCTGTTGCGATCGCTCCAGCCCCTGCAGGGCACTCCGCTGATGGAGATGCCTCCAAGACTACCATGCCTTATTCTTGCCAGACATGTGCAAGACGCAAGGTCAAATGCGACAAAGTAGCTCCCGCTTGCTCCAGCTGCCACAAGAGTAAACTAGACTGTTTCTACCAGGCACCGGTCCCGCGCGCGCAGAAGCGAAGAGTGACGCGCGATGTGCTGCAGCGACTCGCCCGCTATGAACATATCCTGCGCCAGCACGGTTTATTACCACATGAGGCACATGAGACAGCCATCCCATCTAGTAAGAAGAACACCGGAATAGAAGATCAAGTCGCCTCCTTCCGTTGGGACGACAACGGAGCTCCTAGAACTGGAAAATTAGTCGCGAGTAAATACATTGATAGCAATCTCTGGCACGACTTAGGGGATGAGGAGATTGCATATGCTTCCACCAACGGGGAAGGATCAGGCGATGACGAGGAATACGAATTACAGGACGCCGAGGAAAATGAAAGTATGAACCTTCATCTGAGCATTGGAGACAACATATCGGATCCCCTCTGTGGAGCGTTTCTAGGTTCTCAGCAAAACCTTCTCCAGTATCATCCAACGCATGAAAATGCGATGATCATGTGGAAGGCCCATGCCGAGAACGTGGAACCTATTTGCAAGATCCTTCATATTCCCTCTACCTTTGAGATGTTGGAGAGGGTATCCCAAAATCCCTCAACAGCGACAAAGAATGAGGAGTGCCTAATATTTTCCGTCTACCATTTTGCCGTCTTTTCTATGAATGATGGCCAATGTTTTGAGAAGTTGGGCCAGCCACAGTCCAGACTAATGAAAGAGTACCACTTCGCTACAAGACAAGCACTGGTCAATGCATCCTTTCTAAAAACTACCGAGATGTCTGTGCTGCAGGCACTAGTTCTGTTCTTACTTTCATGCCGCTATTTCTATGATCCTTCCACATATTGGATCTTGACTGGCGTGGCGATCCGTATCGGGCAACGTATCGGGCTTCACCGAGACGGTGAGAAACTCGGGCTACCACCATTTGAGGTTCAGATGAGACGCCGTTTATTCTTTCAGCTCCTGCCCCTTGAAGGAATCGCAAGCCAACTCTCTGGAACGGGAATCACTGCCGTGCCTGATCATTGGGATACGCTCCCTCCCCTAAACATCAACGACGACCAGATCTGGCCCGGCATGACAGAGAAGCCACAAGAGCAGAAGGGTGCAACAGATATGATATTCTGCATGGCTCGATCAACTGTGGGCAGCTTTCTAGCCAAAACTTCAGGATGGCTCCAGCCCGCAGGATCACACCAAGCTCAGAGTTTTGACGAGGCAGAGAAGATCATAAACGAGGCAGAGAGCGCGGTTGAGGAGAGCTACATCCGATACTGCGATATTCTCAACCCGTTACACTTTCTAACAGTTGGATCGATCAGATCAGCTATTACGGCGATGCGACTTCGAATCCGCCTCCCCAGAGCGAGGAACAATACCGCCAGTGAGACTGAACGGAGGGAAATGTTCAAGCTATCACAGAAGATTCTTGATACAGATGCAGCTGCATATGCACATGCAAGCCTGGGCAGATATCTCTGGCACGTGAAGCCCTTCTTCCTCTGGGGCTCATGGGACTCTCTCATTTATACCCTGACCAGCCTCCGTGAAGCGGCTGAATGGTTGGCGCCAGCGGACATTGACGATGCTTGGACTCGGGTGTCACAAGTCTACGCCAATCATCCGGATCTTCTCAGGCCTAAACAACCTTTGCACGTAGCTTTTGGGCGGCTAACGCTCAAGGCTTGGGATGTAAGCCAATCAAGCAACTCCAAGAATAAGGAACCTGATTTCATCAAATCGTTGCGGTCGTCGCGCAAAACCGAGGTTCAAACTCGTAAAGGGTCGAAGATGCCTAATTTTAAAGGACCTTCGGGAGGTTCAGCCCCTACTTGTAATCCTATATCATCTCTGGCAGAAGGATTTGAAAACACACCCTCTGACAACTCTTTGGATGCTATCGCCCTTGATGCGAGCAATGGCATGGACGTTGACTTGTCCGACTGGGTGTTTTGGGATCAGTTATTGCATGATTATCAGGCTCAAGGGAACCAATAAGAGTAATTCTCTCCATAGCCCATCCTCTTTTTTGACACCCATTGCGAGATTTTTATATCTTATTTATAAACATGAAGGGTGTGGTGCATGGTGGACAATCTGACCTCTGATTGGTCCAACGCTCGGGTCTCAAGACGGCCGAGCGATCGGGAGTGAGATGACCGAGATGATATCAGATGCTCCCGAAGAACCAATCAAGAATCAGCCGTCTCGATCTTGGGCTTTCACGATACTGTCTATATAATCATCACTCTCCCACACAGCATTCCATGACCTCGACTTATACATACCATTCACAGCAAGGCAAGACCACATACAATGTCTCAACACAGTGTGCTCATCGTCGGAGCCTCCATCGCCGGTCCCATGACAGCCTACTGGTTCGCCAAGGCCGGAGCGAGCGTCACCGTCATAGAACGCTTTCCCCAACTGCGGCTGAACGGGCAGAATGTCGACATACGCACCGTGGGCGTCACCGTCATGCGGAAGATACCCGGGATGGAGGAGGCCGTGCGGGCCAAAACCCTGCCTTATGAAGGGTTCAGCTTCGTCCACAGCGACGGGCGTCCTTTCGGCACCATCAAATCCACCGGCAACGCTGATAAACAGTCTCTCGTCTCCGAGTATGAGATTTTCCGTGGCGACTTGTCTCAGGTTCTATATGACATGACAAAGGATAACAAGAATATCCGGTATATCTTTAACGAGCAGGTGGCTTCGATCAGGCGTACGGGAGGCGAGGATGAGGCCGTCATCGTCGAGTTTGCCAACGGTCTACCGAGTGCGGAATATGACCTCGTTGTCGCCTGTGATGGTGCAACATCAAGGACAAGAGCCATTGGCCTTGGATGCGGCGTCCGAGACCACATCAAGCCGATAAACTGCTGGGCGGCTGGCTTCACCATCGAGAAGGCCATCCTCCCTGATCTGAAAATGGGGCAGGCATATAGCGCCCCCGGGTGTCGTTTCATTGCCATCGGCTCCGATTCGCCCAGTTCAAGCCGGATCTCTCTTCTTGGAATCAACAGGTCTGATAATGCAGATGCCATGCCACCCTTCCGCGAAGCTCAAAAGCAAGGGGACGCAGCTCTCAAGGCGTTCATCTCTCAGCACTACAAGGGGGCTGGTTGGAAAACAGAAGAGATCCTCAAGGAAATGATGACGTCGAGGGATTTCTACGCAAACGAGATTATGCAGGTCAAGCCCCCAACCCTGCACAAGGGTCGTTTTGTGCTGGTCGGTGACTCGGGGTATGCCCCAGGCCCAACTGGCGCGGGGACATCTCTTGCCATGGTCGGTGGCTATGTGTTGGCCGGCGAGTACCTACGAAACGGGAGAGACATATCCGCCGCGTTGAAGGCCTATGAGACGCAAATGCGGCCCATCATTGATGATCTGCAAAAGATACCTCCCTTGATTCCTGGTGTGCTGGCACCGCAGACAGAATGGGGGATCTGGCTGCGGAACCAAATATTCGCCTTCATTTCTTGGAGCAGAATGATGGAGATCATTCCCAGGTTTTTCGTCAGTTCTTTTAACAGCGGGGATAAATATGCTCTGAGAGATTACGAGTGGCCTAATATTGAAGCCTGAGTTCTTTTCTCCAGGGGCTTTCTTCGTTCACAAAGCCAGGACTCTCTCCTCCTCTCGCATCCTCTCAATGAGGCAGTTTCTTTTCCATATGTTCCGCGAAGCGAGGCCTGGGACATCCGCCATAAGTATCTGCTGCGAGAAATAGCTCGGCCAGAGTGCTGGAAGCTTATAATAATACATATTACTTGTCATTAGCTCTATCATTAAGATGAATATTCTATACTATGGCGCCGCCTCAGAGGAGATAGTGACCTCCCTCGTTTGCATGATCTGGTTGGGTTTGATTGGCCGGAGCTCGACCTCATCGCTCTCGTTGTCGTCAACAGCATTGTTCCCCGTCACACTGTGCGTACGCCAATATATACCCGAGCCTTGGGTATGCGTAGGTTTAGACTTCCCCGTCCTGGTCCGAACAGTCGTAGAGGCGCCGTATGTCCCATAGTACCTCTGGTCGCTGTCGCTGTTTGTGCCGCTCACGAGCTGGGCTATCTTGCGCAGCAACGGCCGCAGCGCAGTCAGTGCGACGACGGTGAGAGCTACAGAAATTTCTGAAGCCGTCCACAGATCTATCAAGGTTAAGGGGTGTTAGATTGCTTCAGATATCACGGGGATGTGAACAAAAGAAGAAGCGATAGGTGACTTACAGCTGCTAACACTATTTCCTGCCGATACCATTGTGACGAACCGTCCAATGCTCACAGCAATGGTTACCACTCCAAGTCCCAAGATGACGCAGAGTCCAATCTTCTCCCGAAGCTTCGGGAGCTTTAGATCCCGCACAAGAGGGAATGGAAATACGAGATCTGATGGGTTGTTAGAAGTTATACGATTGAGAAGAGTAAGAATCAGAGGGGCGTCCATACTGAGAATCTCAGTGCTAAAGTTAAGCGCCCAGTGAATGCGCATCATCGTCATTGAATCAAATGCGCGGCAGGCGTCTTCATCAGTAGACCTAGCCGTTATTTGTTAGTGACCAGCCTCACACTCCTTGATAGATTGTAGCCGGGGAAACCAAGCTTACCAATTGCTTGACACGTCCGCGCCGCACCAGAATGTGGCATCAAAGAAGGTCGCGACACAGAAGACGGCTGTGACGGCTGTGAGAACATACAATGCGACACGCATGTGTGGCTGGGTCAGAGGAACAAGCGTCCAGTAGAAAGCGATGATACTGAATTTTGGAAAATACATCCCCGTATCGAAGAAGTAGTTGGTTGCAAAGCGGAACTGCCAAAGAAGAGTTGGTCAGGCGGTCCAAGTGAGGGAGAGTGAGACATCGCCACACACCTTGAGCGTGCGAACGCTGGGATCCTCGTAATTATCCAACTCGCCGTCCAAATCGGCCATCGTATCGCAAAGGGCCAGCCCTATGGCGCAGAAGAGGCCGACCAGGAGCCACGAGTCCGCCCAGTGTAGGTGATCTTTGTTCAGCTGTAGTCGAACAAACATGCGCGCTGCCACGCAGATGGTGGCCAACGAGGCCATCACCCATTCTCCCACCTGGATCCATCGTTCGGAATTAGTCAATTATGGTAAAGGATACCTCGGAATGCGCTCGGAATGGCCGGAATGGCTTACAACAACTGGTGTCAAGGCCATTGCGTTGGCAGCATCGAAGTGGCGGGTTGACTTGGGGACGGCGACAGATCAACAAATCGCTGGAGAAAAAGGAAGAAGAGAAGGGAAAAAGAAAAGAAAGCAAAGGAGCCCACATTGGACCCTATTGTGTAAATGTAGTCCACCTTGGACCTTATTGTGTGTATGGATGGAATGGATCAAGCTGAATTGATAGCGGCAGGCCAATTAGCACATGCCCACGAGCTGTTTTCTGTCTCATCCATCGGGCAGAGCTAGCACCAATCTGACACATCCAGAAACAGATATGCTAGCAAGCTTCCTTAACCGTCAAGCAGAGGGTCTAGTGAAAAACGCCATCTGAAGCCAACGCTAGCCGGCCGGCTGGAGATTGTCTGGGTTGGAGCCTGCATTCGCCTTTAGGCTTGCAGGTGTAAGTGGCGTGCAGCCATGCCGAGCTAGCTTGGCTCCTTGCAGATCGATCCAATATCGAAGAAAAGAACGATCTCAAGATCCAGCGATAATCGGCACGCTGGCTTCGCTGCTGGATGTTGACGTTGGAACAGAGCTGGCTTGGCAGAGAGCAACTTCTCCATGTGCCCCTGAATCCCCTCTCCGTTGAACTGCTGGGGGAGAGGCTGTGGGAAATACTCGAGGACTCTAAATCATTTCTATTATTCACAGTAACTGAATCATCTCCAATTTTCTACCGCGGAGGGCTGGGCATTCCCCCCTCACACCTCGCTTCAGAACGGCTCAAACAGGGGGCTCCTGCGGCCAATTTTCCAGGACATGCAGAGGGCTGAATCGTAATCTTCACGCGAGTCAGTGTGCAGACACGAAAACAGTCCACACGGTCCGTTTTTCATCCCCTCGGGGCCCTGAACTGCTTCTTAGAAAGCCAGGGTATTACTGTTAGTGCCGAATAATGGTGGCCTCGCTTAGCTACTGTTGGGATGGAGCATGATCAGCCGCCGGTAAGTGGACAGGGGAAGATGAATTAGCTCTTACGCTTTCATTCCATTATTCCATGGCGATGGCGACAGACACCCTTCTTCAGCCTTTCCGCCAAGCCACTGATTCTGAAGAGCGGTTGTGACATGCGCCACCTACGATGTTGCTGCCCCAATGAGTTTCACCGGCTGTCACTAGATGCAGAAGTGGCCGAGGCCAAGTCAGATGTTAGAGAAGTTTGCCTTGGTGCCAATTTTATTAAGTCGAGCTGCGAAGCTAGTTGCTTCTTTTCGTGCATGGAATTCTAACGAGATTCATACAAACCAGGGTACCGTGATACCACAATCCACGAACCGCCACCACTCCAGTTGCCGAGCCTGATCCATGTCTACTCTCAGATCGCACTGCTTCCAATATATCTCAATTGCCTTCCTCATATCGGAGATATTCCCAATACTTCGGGCGTGGTCCATTTCGTCTAAAATCTCGAGAATGATCAACCTTTGCTCGTCTTTGCGAGACTCGCAGGCCACGACGAAAAGCGGCCACGGGCTGGATACGCTTTCCAGCTTTGCGTAAGCATCGAAAGCTTGATCGAGGTAGCCAACGCGTCTAGCATGATCCCCTTCCATAGGGCACACACGCTGCAGATAGAGAATTGCGGCGAGACGGTATAGCTCCGCTGTTATCAAGGTCCGGCAGCGCTCTGCTGGAGTTGTGCAAAGATTTTCATCAGGGTGCAAACGCTGATTTATAGCTTGCAACCTCCCGTCCAGCCAGATCCGGCTTTCGATACTAGGTTGCAAGCTTTGGTGGTCGGCAGAACGAGAATTTCGGGACCGAAGACCATTAATTTCGTGGATTATTTCCAAAATCTCCACTGAACACCCAAGATGTCCAATAATCTACTCCCAATGTTAGCTGGGCTGTATATTTTCGTGTAAACCAGATAGACACATACGTAGTTGTCCTCCAACTTGGAGCCCTGAATACAGACCGCCCCTACATCATAGGAGGATGTATGCGAAGGGTGGGCAAAATTGCCGAGAACTTCGTAGTACAGCAACCAGGTGAGAAGGAATGTGGAAGGGTTGCGGTGCTGGCACGCAGCTGACATTTGAACCAGGCCGCTAGAGCCATGCAAATGTATATGCCAACTGCCATCATTTTTGTCGAACACCTGAAATAAAGTCAACAATATCGAGCATCAAGTGGTTGGGATAGATACACATACGCTGTACATGGCAAGCATCAAGCAAGCAGCTAGCTGCACGTCACTAATGTGGCTGTAGGTAAGGATGTCCTGGCCCGATAACGACTCAGAAAGTAGACTCACTGCGTCTAACTTGTATTTAGCTGCTGATTCCGGGCCAAGATGGTGATAAGCCGATATTGCAAGCATTGCTTTGGATAATGCTGAAGTCGCAGTATCCCGGCGGGACAATGCCATGGGCAACATCTCATTAGAAAACCCATTGCGTGCACTCGTTGTAGAGACCATGGTGGATATTACAGACTCGTCTAACAATAGTTACTAAAAGTGCTCCTCGCTTCAAGTAAGAAGTTGGGTCCGACATACAATAGTCCAAGAGTATGGCATCTTGGCCAACGATGGGAGAATGGAGTGAGAGGGTGAGCTGCGGTCGCTCAAATAAATACCTCTCCCACATATCTTGCCCGAAGACATGCCCTCTGCTTGCAAGTATGTCTATTTCCCCGAAACTAATGAACTGTCTGCCGTAGCCCCGTTCGAGGGTAGTGTGGCTGCTGGGTGGCTCGTATGTCAAAGCATCCTGTCCACGCCCGTTTCTATTTCGGCACCCAGGCCAAGTGAGGCGCAAGCCATATCCTAGACACTTTCTTCTTGTTCTAGAACAGTTGTTGCAATTTGGTATGTTTCTATCACAACCGATCTTGCGTTCTGTTTGAGTTAGCGATATCGGAGAGAGGAGAGGGGAAGGGCGTGGCTCACTTTTACACGTCCAGCATCCGTTTTGGGCCTTCATTTCGTTTTATACGATGGCGACTTCCAGCAGAAATTCAGGATACTTTGGATATGTGTGAAATATTTGTCGAATACTTGAGCTGTTGTTTGCCGATCGCCGCCGCGAGAGTGAAGGAGTCATGCTGAGCTTACAAATGCCTCTGGTGGAGGGGTGTTAGTCACAACGCGTGTGTCCGGCCCGGCCATCCCATTGCTATTGTCACCCATATATGTCTCAAGAAGCAGTCATTTCAAATATTGCCTCATTTGCGTCATATTAAAGCTCTCTGATTGACTACTCGTGTTTGCGTACGACGAGCCTGAGATATTCTGGTTATTGTTCTTAACTCCAGCTACTCTGAAGCTGGCCAATCACTTCCTCGGCTACTTGCGGCCTACATAGACGGCAATCAAAAGCCCTCCATCATACGGAGCTAAAGTGACCCTGAAACCATTTTGAGGGTCCTCAAGGAACGCTTTCAAATCAGTGTAGCCCTTGGCCGCAGCAATGTAATTATCCGTTACGATTGTAGCTCCAATTCTGAGTCGAGAGTGCACCAACTTGAGCGCCGGAAGCGCGAGTGGTGTCCAAACTACCATTTCCTAATATTAGCGAGATCGAGTACGCATGTGCGGCCATCATTGGACTTACTGTCAAGCAACAAGAAGTCAATCTGCTCGGGTAGATCGGTCTTCAAGGTCTCTCGCAAGTCACCCTCCCTAAGCTCGATGACCGATTTGATATCAGCCCCAGCTGCCTCCCAGTTCGCACGCGCTCTCGCCGCCTTGGGAGGCTCATTTTCAGTACCGATCACTTTGCAGTCTTTGCCTTCAACCGCGGCATTTTGGCTAGCAGCAAGAGCTAAGTAGATTGTGCTCACTCCAAAGGAGGTGCCGGCTTCGACGATGTAGCGAGCTCTGGTGGACCGGAGAAGGAGATACACCAGCGCGCACTTGTCAGGGTCCAGCGCAACAAACTTATCGACAGCCGCAGAGAGCGGTTGGTTTGTGCTGACAAAGGGAGTCTCGGCAAGCGCCTGAGTGTGAAGGTCCCGAAGCACCTGGATGGTGGTAGGGCTGGCTTCCAGGCTGGCCAAGGCCTCCTCCAGAACGGCGTTGTTGGACATGATGGGCGGCGTGGACAGCTGGCTGTTTTGCACGGACAGATTTGCAATGATGCTGAGCCTGGTAAAGGCCCCTCGGGTGGAGGATGGAAGCAATCTTATACCTGGGGATCACGTCTTGGTGATTGATGATGCTTGAGATGGACGTGGGGAAGTAGTTGCGTAATAATGCACCAGATGACCGAACCGGCAGCGGGGTCCTCCGGCAGGAGGAAGGAAAATGCGATCGATGGAACAGGATAAGTCTCCTGGCATAGCATCGGTTAGCACATGAGCCAGGACAGGAAAGCCGCAGTGGGGAGATGGGGTATGTGACTCAAAGCTTACAGCCGGACCGTCGGCGTGAAACCGGCATTGGCTTCTGACCAACCTTTTCTTACAAAGGGTATGTTTAAATGGTAGATTGATAAATAGAGGTCTTTGTATGAGGTACCGGCTTCTTTTCATGCTCCCGGAAGAGATTTGGCCGGGTCGGCTTCGGTGGATTGGAGGGATCAGATGGAACTCAAACACACTGATATTCCCCGGGATGTTATAGCGTAAATGGATTTGTTTGAATGACACGCTTCCCATATGAGAGTCACAGATGTGTCATTGAGTTTGTCTTAGTAACTTTGGTAGGATGAAGAATTGGTAATCACAGAAATTGCTTCATTGAGAGGGGGGAAACAGGCGAGGGCAACCAAGCGGTGGTCATCTTCCCCCTTAAATTAGGCTGCTTGAAATCTCGTCTGGCAGCTTAATAACGACTTGAAGAAGATGCGACGCGGTGGGATCGCGAATCATCTTAATATTTTGATCAACCACCTTCCCCTGTTTCCCCAAATATCTCTTTCTCACGACTGCAAATATTCTAGCCGATTACGGGTCCAGAGACAAGACTGTGAAGGACCATTCACAAAAAGTTGTTAGTTTTGACGTCGATAGTCATATATTCTACTATTCTAGCAGCTGGTAGATGGGGTGCGGATAAATTCTCTTGTCACCTCCTTGCCGTTCTTCAGAGTAATTCCCAGATCATACCGAGTACTCCAGCCACTTGATGGTGTAGTCGTCTTTCCTTTGAAGAATTTATATCCATCCACGCTGGTGGATACCTCGGCCATCGAAATCTTTTCGACAACAATCTTGGGGGTTACTGCTCCCTGTTGCGGCATTCTATGTGCAAAACCTACCCACGGGGCTCCATCCAGGTCTTGAGCGAGGTCACTGCGCACTGCGCTGTAGAGATCAAATGTGACGTTTCCCTGTGTTCCTGTAGTGTCAAGACAAGACTGTGTTCCAGAGATAACACCGTCATTGAATGGGTAACCGCCCGTTCCCCCGTTGTCGAGAACCTCCTCGCCCTGAGTGGTGCTGATGTGGATTTTGAAAGACTCAACACCAGCCTTTGCGTCGAGCTCCGTCTCGAGTAAATACCAGTCAAAGGTTTCGCTGAAAAATCCGTACGACTGTCCGCCCTTGAGTGTCGCATGCGCAGCCTGCAGCGATGTGCGGTTCCCCTTCCGGTCCAGCACATCGATTGTAACGGAGCTAGGCGGGCTTTCATAGCCTTTTCCCTTGGTGGAGCGCAGACGGACATGCAACTCTACTTCAAACTTGCTTCCATCGCTGCTGAGTTTGAATGTGTCGAGATATGGTTTGACTTTGATTAACTGGATTGGCTCGGTGAGCGTGACGGTCGACGGGACCACGTTGATCATCTTCTCGAAGACCTCGGCGCAGGTGGACTTGAACGTGACGGCATCGGCCAGCTTGTGCATGGTGGCATTTCCGTCCGCAGCGAATACGCGCTTATCAGAGTTGGTGGTCTCATTTTTTCCAAAGACAAGCGGGTTGATCCCTTTGTTACTGAGGTATTCGTCGACAACCGCGGTATCGAACTCGGCATGGGTGTTGTCAAACTTCGGTACGTTGGACGCAGACACATCCTCAGGGCCAGTAATATCTGGAAAGTCCTCGCTATGGACACCACCAAGAGTGTGGCCGCACGCCACGAGTGCAATCATCTCCTCGGTAGTCAATCCCATGCGGTCAAAGTCGGCTTGAATGGTCTCAAGACTATCTTGTGGCTCAGGGACGCCTAAAGGACCTGCTTCGGTTGCATCAATTCTTCCGAGGCGCAGGGGGACCTCGGGGCCACCGCACGAAGCGACTGAGGCAACGAGCCCTAGAGCGATCATATCAGAAACGCTGGTGCGTGGGCTGACAAACTCCCAGATGTCGGAGAGGGTGCTGTTGAATGCTGTGCCAGCATTCTCACCACTCTCTGTTTCATACATGATTGAGGCATCAAGACCGCCTTGTCCAGTCGTGTGATCAAAAGTAGCCATATCGTGAAAGGCTGTCCGTACCCATTCTGCGGCAGTTTGCCTACCAACGGTGTTGGAACCAAAACTGCAGGGAACAACCACTGTGTCACATTCGTTAGTATAAAATGATATGGGGTATTGTTTATGGACTCACGGTCTCCGAAGCCAAACCGGCGGTAGCCCGAGTGCATGACTAACATGTCCTCGAAGTGATCGTACTTGGTCGGCCACACATAGTCTGCTTTGGCGGCATTGGCCACCGCCAAAAGCAAGGCGAGGGAGTGAAGGGACGACATTGTCTAGAGACTTCGCGACTTGAAGTTAATTCAAGACTCAAGACGCCGTTCAAACCGAGGACGTTGCCATCGGGGCTCTTCCTTTATAGATAAGAAGAGCCAAGCACTTTTGGCTCAAATTGTTCTGGTGGAGCTGGCAGGCATGTCGTCGTATTAGCGGTGTCCAATGTAGTATCGCGCATCTCTCGGCACTCGTATTTGGCATGTCAAATAGCGGATATTGCATCCAAGGGCTGGACGTGCACTCCCAATGCGTATTTGTTGATTGGACAGCTGGCGGGCAGTCGCATAGACAGGCTCTTCAACCTAGCCATGATGTTACCCTGGCCACCTTGGTCCGGTTTCGTAATCCCGTATTCTTGATTGGGCGTGATGTTTGAAAATTAAAGAAATCCACTGCATCACGGCACATTCAAACTCACGCAACAGCACCCTTATTGGCGCGGTTGCAAGATGCCAAGTTCTGGACGCTGGAAAGGGGAGCTCGATAAACTACATTTTCACCTTTTCGATTCGAATTGCCCAAGTAAGTGTTACAGACAAAAGGACCACGGTTTATAATCAAGCAGCAAATATATGATTAAATTCAAACCTTAAGGAAACGCACACGCACGGCCGAATCATCTGTGTTTCTATGCCCTCGTGCTTGGGCCCATGGCAAGAGCAAAGAGCAGATCGTGATCGAAACTTATGCGAAGAATCTGCCTCTGAATATATTCGCAGCATTGGAGAGCTGATAAACATCAAATTCGAGTCGTCGTTTCGGTTAGCGAAAGGAATGGTGTTCTCATCATAGTGACTGTCTGCAAACCAGCGAGCTATTTTGCCAACACCTTATAGACTAGTTCCCCGGGCATTTCTTTCAACAATTCAACTAAAGTCCCTGTGGTGCAGTGGTCAGCGTGCTCCGTGCTACCTTCTGGTGATGTACTCGCACTCAAGGGATATTGAGCATATAGTATCCACCCCACCTTCGTGGGGGGATATTGCATGTAGTCGGTTTTCTAAGTGTGAGTACATCACGAGAAGGCAGACATAGAGAGACCCTTGGCTAGATTCCAGGCGGGTGTGTTATTTTTCCCTCTTTCTCTTTGTTTTTCTTTTTAGCCTCCAAGGCCTCGGTTTTCAACCGTATCTTTACTGTTGCAGGGTCACTCGCCCCAGAGGCTCAACAAGTCAATGGCTTGAAGTTATTTATACTAATAGTAATTGAAAGGCCTTCGTGTATTCGATCTGTAAGCGCTGAGGTGAAATGACAAGTAGGCGAGATAGTTATTTGCTGCCTTTTCAGAAAATGCATCAAATGCTAAGCCCGATAATGAACGACTTGAGAATCTGTGGCTGCTCCATGTGGCTCAGTTCTGGCTCAATTTATCTTGTGGCTTAACTATCCTGTGGCTTGATGTTCTGTGGCTTTTGGTTTGAGTATTCTGTGGCTTGAGAGCTAATTCTGGCTGTGGCTTCAGTAACTGTGGCTTGATAACGGCTGCTATTTTTAGACAGATTAGGTACGTACCTCCAGCGTCGTCAGGTTCTGTCTTCTGCCCCAATTCCCATCTCTCCCATCTCTCTGCCTCATCTACCAGGTCACCAGCATTGGTCCTCTTCTTCATATCCGCCCATAAAGTATGTGCATATGCCAAATCCTAGCATGCTCAATCTGAACACTTCAACATCTAGCTTCTACCTATGTAACATACATACTAATCAAGGACTGCTTAAACAGTGGCACAAACATAGATTGCAACCCACACTTGATTGAGTGAGGCAGACCCATAGTTCGCCTTCGCTGTGCTCGTCTTGTCTACTCAAAGTCCCAGCCTGGACTCTGGCAAAAATCTATAAAGTCGCCTCCTCCCACCTACTTCATGTCCTACTTCTCTACCCTCTTCAGCCCAAGCAATAATCCCTTCTATTCACTACTATCCGCCCTCTCCTCTTGCCCTCGACCTGTGTCTCTAGCCTTTGAGTCACACATCGTTGCCTATTCACCACTGCCGTCGTCGTTGCCGCCATCATCATCGTCGCCGCTCCCTCTCTTCCTCCATCCACCTATAGTCCAACTTGATCCCAAGTCCACCAAGCCTCTGCTGCCCTACATTGGCAGGCCCAGCTCCCATTGATTCCCCATCCTCACCCCACTTCACGCCATTGCCTTACACCACCGAGTGCCCAACTGTGCCCCTACCATGGAGTCCATCTCCAAGGCCGAGTACAATGTCCGCAATCTGAAGACTCGCTCCGTGACCCTGTTCCCCAGCCGTGCTCAGATCTGTAGAGAACTCAAGGACATCCCACTCCACCCAGGCACCAACGAGATCACCATCATCGGTCTCTCCCCAACCGTAGATGAGCAATCTATCAAGGTCGAAGGCAGCGGCTCGGCCATCATTTCCGACATTGCTGTCGAGTCCCTGCCAAATCGAGACATCTTTGAGGATATCTATCCAGAATTCGAGCAAGACAAGACCAAGAACGAGGCAGAAGACGATGTCAGCGAGAGCGACGAGGAGCCAGAGTTCGCTGAGAGTGCTGAGCTCCAGGCTGCCAAGAACAATGTCAAAGACCTTCTAGATCTTCTCAAAGCTGCCGAGGAGTCTGAACAGGCTGCCGAGAAGCGTCAAGCCAGCCTGGACTCTACCACCGTAACCCTCAATTGGGAGTCCAAGGTCGATGTGGAGGAGACCATGGACTCGGTCAGCCGCGCCCGCGACAAGCTCGCCACAAGGCGGATCGAGGCGGCAAGAAGGCAGCGAGAGCTGTCCCAGCCCTTGGCCAAGGCCAGGCAGCAGGCCGATCGCCTAGGCAAGCTGCACCGGCGGGAAAAGGCCCGGGCTACGCAGGAGGCCAAGAGGATCCGGCTGGCCAAGACCAAGGCGAAGCTCCAAGAGTCCCGCCGGGAGGAAGAGCGCCTGAAGGAGAAGGCGCGCAAGCGCAAAGAGTACGAGAAGTTCTGGCCCAAATACTGCTACGCGGTCCGGATCCAGCTCGTCGCCAATACCTTTACTCCCACGACGTCGCGCCGGGCGTCTGTCTCGAGCGATGTCGACATGGTGGTCGAGCTTGCAGCCCCCGATGTCAGCGAGCAGCCGCGCACCATCGATCTCGTGCTCTCGTATGTGACGACGTCTGCATACTGGTCGCCCAGCTACGATCTGCAGCTCTCCACGACCAACGCTACGGGCCTGCTGTGTTTCGATGCTCAGATCCACAACACCACGTCGGAGACCTGGGACAAGTGCAAGATCACCCTCTCCACCTCTCTGGCTGCATTCTCTGTCCTTGAGGAGACGATGCCATCTCTTGTGCCCTGGCACCTCGAGCTGGCACCCAAGGAAGGGCCCGCGGCGGTGGAGGATAACGCCGTTCTCTACAGCAAGGAGGAGAAAATGCACAAGGCCAAACCCTTGTGCTCATGGGGCAAGAAGAGCCATACTTCCATTGAGAAATCCAGGAGCGAGATGTTCGGAACGTCTTCGCCGCCGACAGTGGCTGCCCTGGCTTCAATGAACCCGGCCCATTTTCAGATGGCTACTCAGCAAGCTGCTCAACAAGCGGCAATGCAGCAGCAGCAGCGTCAACGGCAGCTTCTCGCTCAGCAGCAACAGCAGCAACAGCAGCAGCAGCAACAGCAGCAACAGCAGATGCAACAGATGCCACAGAGAAACATCCAGAACTTCCTCAACCAGCCAACAAACAACGGCATGGTCCCGTCTTACGAGACCGCCTCCACAACCAGCACCGAAGACCTCCAGCACCTCGACTTCCAAGAATCCCTCGTGGAGGAGATGGGCTTCTCCACCTCGTACGACCTTCCCGGCCTCAAGACGCTGGCGCCCAAGTCCAGCTCGTCCAAGCAGCGCGTGGCCCGCCTCAGCTTCTCCAACATCCACTACTGCCACACCGTCGTGCCCAAGTACCGCTCGGCGGCGTACCTGAGCGCCAAGATGCTCAACTCGAGCAAGCTAACCCTCCTGCGCGGCCAGGTGGGAGTGACCCTCGACGGCAGCTTCATGGGCCGCACGATGCTCCCCAAGTGCGGCAGCGGCGAGAGCGTCAACCTCAGCCTAGGCGTCGACCCGGCCATCCGCGTGGGCTACTCGCAGCCCGAGATGAAGCGCGCCACGAGCGGCTTCTTCACCAAGGAGGACATCAAGCTGTACGAGCGGGCGATCCGGGTGGAGAACACGCGCACAACCGCCGACTCCCCCGTCAAGCTCATCGTGTCGGACCAGGTGCCGCTGTCGAGGGACGAGAGCCTGCGCGTCGAGCTGCTCAAGCCCGAGGGCCTGGTCGTCGGCGCCGAGAGCCAGCCGGCGGGAGAGCCTGGCAAGGACAAGGACGAGGATTGGGGTTCGGCCAAGGCGCATCTGCGCAAGACGGGCACGATCGACTGGCTGGTTGCGCTGCAGCCGGGCAAGTCTGTCAAGTTGTCGCTCGAGTATCTCGTGGCAACGCCGATTGGGAACCATGCGAAGCAGGCCTGGGCTTAGGTAGTAGGTTTTGTTCTTGGGGATATGGCGGTTGGTTTCTTCGATTTTCCACTTGTTGCATTTTGTCCAGTCCATTTTGTCAATACCAGTCACTTACTTTGTTAGCACAGATGTCATGAGACAACAGTGTCTATGATACGATGATCAAGAATGAAGTTTTCCAATAGAGAATGAAATTAAATCAAATCCACAATAAGTCGCTAGAGTATCTATCCATTACATACTTTCCTTTCGTGATGCATCCATCTCACTGGTCAGGGCTTGCCTTGACAATCACCTTGCCTTTGACGCCTCCAGCCTTGAGATGCTCAAATGCCACCTTTGCGTCCTTGAACTCAAACGTCGAGTCCACCACGATGCGCAGCTTCCCCTCGGCCTTCCACTTCAGCAGCCTCTCCAGGTCCTCGGCGCTATCCTTGGCCACAAACGTCACAAGCCGGCCCTTGACGCCCCCCAACGCCGTGGGCACCACCGCAGCCGTGATCAGGTTGAACACGCTCCTCATCGTCATCCTGCCCCCGGCGAACACGTACGGCTTCCCAGCCCCAAGGTACGTCCGGCTCGACGAGAACAAATCCCCCGGCCCGTCGCCCACATTATCGACAATCAAGTCGTACTCCTCCCCTTTACCCTTCAGGTGGGCCACCACGTCCGTCTGGCGATAGTCAATCACCGTGTCCGCGCCCAGCTCCTTCGCAAGCTCGACCCCCCTCCCCGTCGACGCCGTCGCCGTCACCCGGCAGCCCAGCAGCTTGGCCACCTGCACGCTGAAGATGCCCACCCCGCCCGTCGCGCCATTGATCAGCACCCTGTCACCCCTCCCCTCCTGCACGTGCGGTGCAATGGTCTGGAGCGCCGTCAAGGCTCCCGTGGGTAGGCCCGCCGCCTCGACGGGGTCAATCCCCTCCGGCAGGCGCACTAGACCAGCCGTGTCTGCAACGGTGAGCTGTGCGAGCGAGCCGGGGGCCTTGAACGGGTTGACGCGGCCGACGACGGTGTCGCCGGCGCGGAGGGTGGTGACGTTGGGGCCGACGGACTGGACGGTGCCGGAGAGGTCCATGCCGGCGGTCTTGGGGAAGCTAGAGATGGCGCGGGCGATGAGGCCTAGTTCCTGGACCTTAAAGTCGGCGGGGTTGAGGCTTGCGGCGATGGGCTTGATGAGGACCTGGCCCGGGGTCAGGGAGGATGGGGACGGCCTGGGGGCCGAGGGGTTGAGCTTCAGGGTGGACTGGAGAGGTCCGGGGGCTTGGTACTGCCAGGCTTGCATTGTTGTTTCGGTGGACATGGTGGAATACAGTCTCTTCCCGACGAGCTGTCTTGTGATGGATTGCATGAAGGAGAGGAAGAGAGAGAGGGGATTAGAGGGGTTGTTGTAATGGTGATGGTCGATGATGTCAACGGTATGAAACGGTGCAACAGTAAGTTTGAACGTATTGAACTATGATATGGAGGAATGTTGGGCAACAGCCGCCTTTATATACATGGAGTTCATCATACGGTCAATAACCCTGTGGACCAGCTCCATCAAGATAATGAATGGGAAAGCCACATCTTACTCTGCTTCATCGACGTTTCTGTGCCTGGTGAACATCCACGTTATGGTTAGACATAACGGACCCTCAATTGGGCGGGTCCGTACCAGATAACTCCATTTTCCGTCTGGGTACGCCTGCACTGGGGTTCATCACGCGATAGAGTAGACTTGACTCGAGAATAAACCATCTTTGCTAAATTCTAATGTCTGTATATGTATGCAGCAAGTCTATATATGCAATGCGTGCTCTCTCATCGTAAAATGCACCCAAACCATCACCACGTGAAGCTCTCCTCAAAGTACTCTATCCGCAGCGAGCTGTTAGCGGGTACGCCCATGGCCTGGACCACCGCCTGTCTGGCTCCGTCCTGCATCGCGCTCGGGCCACACGAAATGACCGCCAAGCTGCTGCCCGTCGCATTCTCGCATTCCCCCACCAGCACCCTGCGCACATCGGCTCGCCCGTGATGGTACTGCACCACCTTGTCTTCAGCCTCCTCCTCAGCTCGTCCGGCAACCGCGCGACGACTGCTGCCAGCTGAGCGGCCGCCCATGAGCGTCTGCACCTCGTTCGCGCCGCTCGACGTCAGATACACGTCCAGCCTCAGCTCGTCTCCCTCCCCGCCGAGCGCCTCCGCGAAGTCTCGACGCAACACCTCCTCTGCGAGCGCCGGCTCCCTCACCGTCCAGTGGATGTGCACAGTCTTCGGCCGCGGTGTCTCCTCCCTCAGTCGACGCAGATACGAGAGCGGCACCACTACCCCGCTGCCGCCCACGATGAACAATACATGGTCGAAGCGATGGAGGGGCTGAGTGTGTCCGTACGGGCCCTCCACTGCCACGCGAACGGTCGCGGGCTTGGGCCATGCCGCAGCCGCAGCATCCCGTAGTCGCGCCGTGAAGCTGTCGTACGGTCTAATGAGGAACGTCATGGTGTCCCCCGTTGCTGAGATACTGGGAGTCATTGTCCCGGTAGCTGATGGGGTGTTGAGTGCGTCGGGAGACTCGTCGTCGCTATTCTCAAGCAGTGGCGCCCCCTCTCCCATGTTATCGTTGTCCTTCTCGCCTCCGTCGTGTGATGTTGTCGTCGCCACGGTAAACGGGTGGCTCTCCCAGAACTGATAACTGTTCAGCACCATGAGAAAGTAGTATGTGCCTGGCTTCGCCTTGTAGGCGCTCGTAGAGCATGGCACCTCGAGGCGGACCATGTTGGTGACGTCGTTGAATGTGGCCTGGGCACGGGTATTCCAGAATCGGGCGTTAAATATCAGAATGCGGCCTGTTCGTATCACGCGATCGAGAATCCAAATGATCACTGGGACCCATACCAGGGCATCGTATTCCCCTTCGAAGATCGATACGTGACTACATATCGTAGGCGGGCATGTCAGCTTGCCGAGTGGTCATCATGGTATCACATAAGAGGGGACGAGGTATCTCCTTACCCAAGCATGGTGACCAGCACCACGATAGAGAGAACAATATGCATGAACAAGAAGAACTCGTACTGCTTCCTACGCAGCCAGTAAAACGAGAAACCCATCAGGGCACTCAAGGCTACAGTGGCCTGAATGGCAATGTCGATTAGTACATGGACATAGAACACAATCATATGGCACAGGGAAAGAGATCTTACGATTTCACCAGTCCACCAAAACAATTGCGTCCACCAAGCGAGGAAGTATCGCCATCCTCCAGCTAGTAAGTAGATGGTCAGCAGGTTAGCCAGTAAACTCTTGGAGGTTAGAGTCATACTGTAAAAGATGAGCATAGTGTAAAGGATTGAGTGGATGATGGCTTGCACAGTCGCCACACGAGCGACCCATCGATGGAAGTTGTTAAAGGTCGCAAAGTCCCATCCCGTGAGCCAGAGGACGAGATTGTTCCGCATCCCGAAAAGCCAGATTAGCGGGAAGTTGGCAAACGAGATGATTCCTGTACGGTCGGCTACCCATCTCAGCACCTGATCTCTGACCTTTGGATAGCTATTCCCTTAGTTAGCCGTCATGTCCAGGCGATGCCGATGCAGAAGTAAAAGGGAAAGGGTACGACATACTACATGTTCCCGGGGAAGAAGGTATAACCAATAACACTGAGGACGATGTTTAGCAACACAAAGAGAGCAATCGTGATGGACTCGATACGCGGCGGCACAGTTGCCCAGATGCCGTAACTTTGTGCATGCCGGACGCCAAAGGTCGCAGGAAGTCCAATGGTTCGCTTCACCAAGCGCCACGGCGCCGACTCAGCAGGCATGCTGAACCTGTCAGACTTCATGCATAGGCCGATGGCTTTGTTGATCATCCCGACAGCCACAACGCCGGCCCAGAAGAACCCCATGGCCCAGCTGTTCATCCAAAGTCAGTCTCCAGAAGTGTGGACGGGAAGGAGGAAAGAAGGGAGTGACCTACCCATACGCATGGTGATTCCCGTTGATATAATGTGACGCCTCCTATAACACAGAATCTCAGCAAGCCAGCTTCTTCGCAGAAGAAAGACATCACCCACCAGCGTATCAAACCACAACCCGAAGAAGGTCGTGTCAGGCACCACAACTATGTCCAGCTTGCCTTCTGCCCCCTCAAACCCCATCCTCCCAAACTTGGGCAAGTTCTCTACCTCCTCGTCCGTATAGCCAGCCACGCTCTCCATCCCGGGGACCTCTTCGCCCGCCAGCACCTCTCGGCACGTCTTCTTCACCTCGTCGGCAGCTTCGTCGCCCTCGCTCGGCGTGCAGTACGTCCGCATGCATAGGTAATACGAGGTCCTCAGCCTGCTGCCACCACATACCCGGCCCTGGAACCCTAACGAGGGGTCCTCGTCGGTGAATTGGACCATCCGCATGGTGGCCATGCATGCCTGGGCGCATCTCGGGTTATTCGGCCGGTCGGCGGGCGCGGTGGGCAGGGCGGCATCGGCGGGCGAGGAGAACAGAGCGATTGCGAGGATGGAGGAGACTGCAAGCCATGTTCGGAGACTCGGGGGCGGCCAGAGGCTCTGATATGTTTGTTTTCGTAACTTCATGGTGGGGAGGAAGCGTGTCCGGGGTATCTCGTCTAGGGTAGATCGATAAGACGGTGTTGCGTCGGCTTAGCGGCGGGTCGAGACATTAGTCGCGCAGCCACACGCGGTCCGTGGCATTGAAGAAGCAGAAGAACAGAGAGTCGAGATGGTGAAACCGAGCAGAAGAAAGAGGAGTGAACAGGAGAGCAAGAGGAAGCAATCACTGCTGGCGATCCAGCCCAGGATGGGAGAGGAGACGGAAGAGTAGCGTGACGCTACGAGTTAGTCCATCTCGTCTACTTAAGACGGAAAGGATTTGTGTGGCAGTTGATTGAAAAATGCCCACTTATTTGCCCATTCCGAGCTCTCCAAATCTTATCAGATGATCTGATAACCTGGCGGAAAATTGCCGCAGCCGGAGTCACGCACCCTGAGTGTTCCGGTGAGCGAAAGCCAAGACTTTAACGGTGAGCCTGACCCTTATTGGCGCTGACTAAATCAAAGGGTCAAACATTGATTTTTGTAGTCCAATACTTGAGATATTGGATGCACCGACGCAGCATCGGGAGGGAGGATTGATTTCCCCGGACAGGATCAGGAGGGACAGGATCAAGGGGGACAGGGGACTGCATCTGCATACAAGATCACACCCAAGCGGCGGAGGGTATTGTGAGATCTACGTTGTCTACCGGCATCGAGATACTAAGACACTCTAATTCATCTTTCTTTCTTTCCACATTTTACAAGTAACATCTGACCCCATGGCACATCTCACCCTGCCCCGAACACCCCGTCTTAGCTATCTTCTTTATGCAGGTACCGCCACTTCAAAATGGCTGTCTAGATCGATTTCGTATTAAGGATGCATTTCAAATGGCATGCAACATTCACGGCAACACACAGAAATGCACGGGTTTATCCTCAAGTCAATCGAATTACCGTAGAAGAAACAGGTGGCTTTTACGAAACGTTCACTGGATATATGTACCTAATCTGTGGGCGTTTCTCAATTTTATACAATGAGCCATGGATGCAGAAATAAACAAGTCACTTGCTGCAAACTGATACTAATCGCTTCCACAAGTTAAGAGGTTGACAAGCATCGATGCGCACCTCCTGAATGCAGACCAATTAGCTTGCTAACGTACTGGTCAGATTATCACTGGTTCTGTAGTTTATCCGTATCCCACGAAATACAATTCTCCTTTTGCCCTCGATGGACTGACAGGCCTCATCATTTGAATTCTGCATACAACTGTTTCTCACAAGTCATCGCACCCACATCCTAGTCTTCAGAAGCCTTCAGAAGACAAAGAGAGGAAAAGCTACAAGCGAATTAGATAGGTACGGATCCAGTGGTCATTTACTGGAACCTTTTCTAAGGTATCTTCGGGAATATAAATTCAAAGGAACGTGGCTACCCAGTCGTCGGGGTCCAAAACGTTTCCACGTACATGATGTACAATGACGCAGGTAATTTTTAAATGAAAAACATGGGGGCCATTACATCCCTACCTAGAACCCTTCTTTCTCATTTCGGTGTTGTTAGTCTTGGGAGGCTGCCGAAATCATACCCCATGTCCAATCACACAAAAAATCAATTGATGGCCGCTCTCCCAACACGACTACAAGCTCGTTCTTTTTGGTTCGATGAATGGGCGCTACAGCTCTGGGATTTCCCTTTCGATGCATTTTGAACATGAGTTCTTGGCAAAGAGCATGAAAGATTACCTAGCTACTATTAAAGATGTGAAATCGGCGAAGTACGATGCATGAGTTCAAAATTATCGCACACACATGCGTGCCTAAATTGCAACACATTAAGAGTTGAGGGTGTCTTTTTTTTTTTATATTACATGAGAGATCATAGTTATATTAGAATGAAGAAAATTTTCTCTTCCTTCTTTGGTCGTCTTTAGAAATATGAGATGTCAATTGAATTATCATCTCAGAATTCTGAATGCTATAGGGTAGCCACGCAAGGGTGAAATCCATGCAAGCAATGATCTGCGACACGCGTGATGAGGATTGGAATCAGCTGGGGATGTATGCATACCGTGATTGCGGGGAAAGATGAGGCCTCTGAGCTCATCTCGGTCGTAGAGTATAGCTTTATGAAGTCGCCTGTGCAAATAGTCACCGAATAATGATCAGCTCTCAGTGCGGTTTGCTTTGACTCACTTCATGGAGTCAGCCGGCTGCTTACTCACAGGCAAATCTTGGTAATAGCAGACAGCACAGGGTACTAACATAATCACAAGCAGACCGCCACAGTGATGGTGGCGTGACATCGCAATTGGGACTAGACTGATGGGCTGGAGAGTCATGGTAATGCGCCAAGCGAGGGGCCGGCAGGAAATAAGATTGCCAGGATCGGACGAGAAATATTTCATCTCCTCTACCCATGTCGATCAGCACCTCAAGCCCGCTAGGAGCTCCTCTTCTTGAATTTCTTCTCTCTGGCCCGCGGCGTTTGCATCTCGGCAAACCCTTAGCTTGTGAATGAGACATTCTGCGCTGGCTGGATGGGACTTTGGTCTGAGGCGAAGCATCTGCTCGCGGCCGCTTCTGTGGCCAGGTCCAGACGACCCGTAAGCCCGGCCTTCATCAATTACTCTTCTTGGATGGCGTACATGAGGCAGCCAGATGTGCTTAACATGTTGGTTCTGCTGGCCGTGCAGAAGCAACAGCACAGGCATCCTTCCATCTCAGCCGGCCCACCATTGGTCAGCACTGGTTTTTTGACATGGGAATTGCTCACTGTTGGTATGTGCAAAATGCCCGTCCTGGGTCCAAAGTCCCATTTGGTAATATCCGGTTGCTGGGGACTCGGGCTCGGTCAAGGCTCGCTGTCCCAGTCTCTCGCCTCACCCATTTCCCACCTCGTGTGCTCCCCCCTTGCTTTCAAATCGAGCCTCTTTTTTCCCTCAAAATCACCATTAGATCAATTAGCCCTTCAGCTCAATCCTGTCTAAGCATGGCACTAGGCAAATTGAGTAGCTGCTACTCTGGTTGGACCGTTGCCATGGTCCACTAGGATTGTGATGGGGACGTTTCAGATGGAGGCCACATGCCGATTGGGCTGAAAGATATTAATAGACACTCTAACATTGCGCTTTCGTCGAATAAATTACTGCCTTTCCAGGTTGTTAATCCCGCTTCACATATTAGTTCCCGCCCAGCCGGTCGACTGATCCTGCCGACCCTCTTTCTCTGTTTGCTCCTCTGACGATCGACGCAGCCTCGTACTGGGCAGGCAGACACTCATGTGGTGAAGCCTCTCGTCTGTTGGTCTCTTTGTCGCTCTCTACCAAGCCGTCCTCGCCTAATGTCATCTTAATTGCTTCTTCGCCATCGATTTATTATTTCGATCCGGTCTGTAATACGTCAAGATGAAGCTATCCACCTCTCAGGATGGGGCTGCTCCCGTCGTGACAGCGGCCCCCGACGACTTCCTGACCTACACGAATGCCAACGCTCTCTATGACAGCCACGAGATCCGTGAGTATCCGAGAAATGCCCTCGACGGTATTTTCGACTCGCTCTTGCACCTGCGCCAATCTAGCTGTAAGGACGGCCAAGCGCCGTGTGGCACTGGCTGCATGCCCGAAAACGCAGAGTGCTGTAATGGCAAATCATACTGCGACGAGGGCACCGAATGCATGGGAACGCGTTGTAGGGCGACCTCAAGCTCCAAGACGACCAGCACCACCTCTTCCAAGACTTCTTCATCAGCCAAGCCTACCTCGAGCTCGACGACCTCGTCTTCCTCCAAGCCCACATCGACCAGCACTACGTCGTCAAAGCCGACTTCGAGTTCAACAACCTCAAGCAAATCATCAAGCACTAGCTCGAAAGATACCTCGTCCTCCTCCTCATCTTCCAAAGAGGAGAGCTCCACCACTAGCTCTACCTCATCTGAAGAGTCGACCACCGCATCGTCAACAGACAGCACCACTGCATCGACAACGACCGATGGCGACAGCTCAACCACGCTATCGGATTCCATCGCCCAGATCATCCGGACTGCTGTGCCCTCTGCGGCCCAGACCGACCCGGAGTCTGCCTGCTTCCTCGCCACCCAATACACATCCTACTACACCACTCCGGACTGGTACAAGTCCATGCCGAGCAACGCCCAGAGCTACTACTCATCCTCTGCCAACATCCAGGCCTCCAGAACCTCCTTCTGCACCGCCACGGCCCTCGCAGGCTCCGACGGCAGCAACAGCAGCGACAGCAGCAAGTCGGGCGGCGCGGCCCCGGGCACCATCGCCGGCGCCATCGTCGGCTCGCTCGTCGGTCTCGCCCTGCTCGCCGTCCTCATCTTCTGGCTCATCAGGTCCGGTAAGATCAAGAGCCCCTTTGCCCGGGACCCGAGCGCCGAGGAGGACCCCGTCATGGCCTTCCGCGGACCGCTCGACGGGGCCGGCGGCGGCTCCTCAGCCCCCATGCAGCAGTCCGCCTACATGCCACTCGTTGCCGCCCCCGTCGCCGCAGCCGTGCCCGCCGCCAGCCGTCAGGTATCTCAGTCCTACCGGAGCGTCTCGCCCGAGAGCTTCGTGAGGTCGAGCCAGCAGGGCCCCATGAACTTCCCCGTCCCCCCTTCGCTGGCTGCCGCCGGCGGTGTTCCCTACCAGAAGCGCATGAGCAGCTACGACACGAGCAGCAGCGACAGGCAGTACCAGCCATGGCCGGGCAACACGCCGACGGCCTCCATGTCAGGGGACACTCTGAACAGGGGCTCTGTAGCCAGCCAGTCCGTCTTCAACCCGCCCGCTGCATACGGCTCCGCATACGGCGCCGCCTACCTTCCAAAGGACCCCGAGCCTGAGCCTGAAGTCATCCCCAGCCAGTCACCCGAGCCGGCAGACGAGATCCCACCACCATCTCCGCCGCCCGTTGTGGCCGCAGTGGCACCCCAGCTACCGGCCCTGCAACTACCGTCAGATTCAGCCGCTGAGGTACCGCCGCCGCCAGGGCCGCCGCCCGCATCTGCGGAGAGGGTGCACGAGATGGAGGCTGCCCAGCCTGCCAGTCCACCACCCGCGGTTACTAGAAAGGCAGTTCCCAGCCCGGCCCCGAGGCTGGATTAGTGGTTTTAGATAGAATATACTTAAAATATAATTACGATACGATGCTCAAACTTGATACTTGATAAAGAAGAAACGTGACGTGAGGATCAATAAGACTAGGTAGGTTGTAGATGTGGCTAATTTCGTCAAGAAGCAGCTCGGGTAGGATGAAGGCTTTTGGTCACCTGTAATGGTAAAGTCACGACTTTGTTTTCATTCCACTTTGTGCCTTCTACTTTTTGTCCAGATATCTCAAACATGGCTTCAAGGCCATTAGCCAAGCGACAAGATACCCCCCTCCAAAAAAAGATCCAACCCAGCACAATGGGAACAGATAAATATGCCCGATCACAACGTGCTTTTTTTTAAGTGTCATGTGTTCTGATTCTTTAATTTAGGCTTCACCCATTTTTTACTTTGTCACAAGCCATTTGTTTAAGAATCTGACAAAGGCTTAATCTTCTCCATTCATTGTTGTGAGCTCGGCCAAGTTAGTCTGCACCGGTTTCCCTTCACAGCTTTGTCTCTCCTTGAAACAAGGAGATTGAACACATCGGCTTTCAAGTGAATTGATGATGCTGAAAGTCTTGCAAGATGAATCTGATTATTTATGTCACCCACCCCCTGCCAATTTTTCGACACCCTCATCAATCAACCTGAAAACCAAGCGATAATCAGTCTCATATCTTTGGCCATCCTTTTTTTTTAACAAAAAAATCCCGAAACCACACAATCTACTAGACAGCAAACTCAACCTGCAATATGCCCCAATCTCATTACCGGCACAACATCCTCATCGAGGCAGACATATTTGGAGAGCAGAACGTGAGGAGACTACTCGAGGACTTGTCAACGCAGATGGATTTTCGGTGGACGTACGAACGTTATACCCGGACCTTTCGACTCTCAGCGAAGAGGGGCTTCTCTCTTGACATGTACGTTGCATAGCACGATACCCCTCTTGAACTCCATGGATGGCACCACTTTGTACTAACCAGCAGTATAGCAATCGACGTGATAATGGGGCTTCTATGACACTCACCAGTGTCATCTATGGAGAAGAGGTGGAGACTGGTTGGTGATGACCAGCCAGACAATAGTCGTGTTATTTACAGATACTAGATTGGCAGTTATACCATGGACATTAGCTTAGGATAATCAATTCTATGGTGCTGGAGAACAATAATCCCCATGATTCTGACAACGTTCTTGAAATGCTTTGGAATTCCCCTCCCTAGGATTGGCCATGCTGCAAGCCATCAAAGCATGGTTCATCTATCGAGGATATGGCTAGAATAACTGAGCGCGGAGCCTCATATTTCCCTACTACTGTGTTCGCTTGAAGAACTCTATCTTGACTGGGGCTTTATCGTCAGACTCTTCCACCATCATATTCAGATATATGGTGTGCAGTTGATGATTACCTCTACGGAATGAGAATATATCGCATCTCAGAGGCGTTATTAGATTATGAGCTGGCGATCCCACTTTCAGAAAGCATTCTCCGTTTCCTGATCAAGACTCACAATCAACCAAAGCCCTTCTGGGAAGAAGGGACAGAGCATGGCACAGGTTCAAGTCAAGCTCCAGGAAGCGAGTTATAATCAGTCACTTGTAATATTCACTGGACACATCAAGTTGGAAGAAATGTATTCGATTGCTCTACTCTGGAATAGACACATAGACACATTCGTGAAAAGCTCTAAGCTGATCGTCCCTCTCCCTAATTTCTGTTACATCTCCTCTGGAGATGTCTGGGTATATAATGACTGACTTATTCACAGAATTAATTAAAAGTTTATTCCCCTCCCCTGAGAATCTAGCTCTCCTGGATGATTACGAGGCTCGGTCCTCTCCCGCCGTGGACCCTTATCCTATTTGTGATGGATAAAGATATAAGGCAGTTAAACCTTGGAGCCACGGCGCTCGGCCTCCTCGACGATAGCGGGGTCGAGGTAACCATCCTTGGTTCCGGCCTGAGAGGCGAAGGTGGTGGTGGGCTTCCACTTGGCGGATGTGCGGGGGGTGGTCTCCTCCATCATCTTGTCGACCTGCTCGAGGGTGAGACCCTTGGTCTCGGGGATGAGGAAGTACGAGTAGACGAAGGCACTGGTGCAGAGGGCACCCCAGACGAGGAACACGGAGGACTTCATGTTGCCCTTGTTGGTGTGGACCATGTAGGGGGTGATGATGGCGATGATGGTGTTCCAGAGCCAGTTGGAGGCAGTGGAGAGAGCGACACCACGGGATCGGATGGGCAGAGGGAAGATCTCGCCAATGACGATCCACGCACCGGGTCCCCAGGTGGAGGCGAAGAAGAAGATGAAGATGGCGATGAAGGCAATCTGGGCGTTGACGGCGCCGACGTTGTCAGCCAGCATCTTCTTGCCTTCTGGGTCAGAGGGGTCGAGGTGAGTCTTGTTGAAACCGACTGACATGCCCACACCAGCGACGATGAACTGGCAGACAAGCATACCGAAGGCACCAACGATCAAGATTGTGCGGCGACCGAATCGCTCGACAGTCCAGAAGGAGAGAGGAGTAGAGAAGACGTTGATGATGGTAAAGATCATGGACATAAGGAAAGAGTTCTCGATGGCACCGGTGGACTCGAGGAAGGGGGTAGAGTAGTAGAAGATGAAGTTGACACCGGTCCTGTGTTTGTGTTAGCAATGTGCATTTTGAGACGACCGCCCTGGGTTTGCGACAGAGCGCATTTCAACCGGTGGTATTCTCAGGCGGGGGTTTTTCATCACTCACCATTGCTGCATCATCTGAAGAGAGGTACCGAGGATAGTACGGCGGAGGTTGGACTTGGGGTCCCAGAGGCTACCCTTGAAGCAGTTGGCCCAGCTGCCGAACCATGTAGTATCAGGGATAAGCGCACGCTCGTATTCCTCGTTGGCGACGATCTCAGCGAGTTCGGTCTGGACGTAGACGGAGTCGGCGGGCTGGCCACGGACACGGGACAGAGCGTCAATGGCTTGTGGGAGCTTGCCCTTCTTGACAAAGTATCGAGGAGAGTCGGGGAGCATCATAAGACCACCAGCAAGGATGATAGCCCAGGGGAACTGGATGGCGATGGGGATACGGTAGGCGCCAGTGTCGGAGCGCTCCTTGGTAGCGTAGACGACGCAGGAAGCAAGCATGATACCGATGGTAATGCAGAATTGGTAACCGGCGACGAGGGCACCACGGACTTTGCGGGGGCACTGGGGAGTTCAGTTAGCGAGTCTGTCGGAGATGGACAAACTGATGCGTCGAATGGAGGTAGACTTACGATCTCAGACATGTACAGAATGACAATGGCGGACTCGAAACCGACACCAACACCGGCAATGAGACGACCAGCAACAATGGGACCGAGAGCGTGATCGGGGCTGGTAATCATCTGGATGACAACACCAAACATGTAGATCGCACAACCAATGATGACAGTCCACTTACGGCCGATCCAGTCGGAGACATCACCGGCAGCGATGGCACCGAAGAAGGTACCGGCAGAGAGGATGGAGGTGATGAGGGTCAGGTGGTCCTCACCCAGCTCGGTGGCACCAACGCCCTCGACGGCCTCGATGAAGATCTTGGAGCCGTTGACACCGTTGATGTAACCGGAGTCGTAACCGAAGAAGATACCACCAAAGGAGGCGAAGGCGCACATGAGGTAGGCCTTCCAGGTGACGGGGGCCTCAATGGTCTCCACGTTCTCGGGAGCACGCAGCGCAGTGACTGCGGCGGAGGAGGTCTCGACGCCCTTCTCGTCGGTAGACATGATGGCGGTTTGCTGTGGATCGATGTCTCAACAGGTCTTAGATGCTGTTGATGAGGAAGAGAGAAGCTGAGGTGCTCAGGGCAATGCAAGTGAGACAGGAAAGCACACACGGTCTGGCCAGAACGCGGGGCAAGAAAGGAGGGCGAGATGCGATGGTTTTAATAGTTGGGCAGGAGCAAGGCAATGCAACGCAAGGAGCCGGACCCAGGCTGCTGCTCACGAACAACTAATTAGCAGCTTGCCTCCCAGACTCAGCAAGCTCAGCATCTGTCTACCTCGTCTAGGTAGGTCCCATAGTTCCTCTGGGATGGGAGGGCATGGGATGGGGACGCCATGGGGATGGGGCCGGGATGGGGTGAATCACTCACACGACCCCGGCCGCGGTCAGAGAATGGACCCTGCAGCGGCCGAGGTGGCGGCGAGAATGGACAAACAAAGAGCTGGTGGTGCATGGCAGTGGCATGCGGCGTGGATGGTAAATCGACTCCTCCCCCCCTTCCCCGGGGTCAACTCGACTGGAGCCCGACAGGGGGCACACATGGAGCCATGCCATTGCCAAGCTTGGGGCCAGGAGCGAGCTTGAGTCTGTCCGAGAGGCAAACGATGCCGGGTTTGCCTTTTCTCGGCCGTCATCAGTCTCGGGTGCTACGACGAGGGTAGGTAGTCCGTCCGGTCAGGCGAGTCAAGCTAGGCCAAGCATCCCCGGCGTGTCATGATGGTTTGGTTTTCTTCAACTCAGTGAATTCACTTGAGAGATGAGAGCGAGATCGATGGGTGGTCCCCTCGAAACCACGTTGCAACGAGTGTCGCGCTGTCGTCTCCTCTGGCGCAGGTCTCAGACGAGGTGTGGTGGTATCCTGATAGCACATAACCACAATGGAATCGTTCCGATCAGGTCGTGCCACCACTGCAGACCACATACGATGTGCATGGCACCCTCCTGCTGCAGTGAAGCTCCTGGTGTGTGGGTTGATCTGGGGGAGTGGCCGAGATGGATGGGGGAGTGTGGGTGTGAATCCTCCACTTTACTCTAATGCGATGGAGGGAAATGGGACGGACGCTAAGTCGAGCCTGAGCGACGTCCAGGGCCTGATTGGATCTGGCTCCGGCCGTTAGTCCCGTGATCGCTGCCTTTCAGGGCCTAGAGCCAGCGCTTGTCTCCTGTAAGGTGCCTGCTCGGTGCTGGACCTTAGGCGACAAGCTCGCTGCTGCTGCACTGACAGGGACATCTTTAGGTGCTGCCACAGGGCTGGCTCAGTGCATGATGTCACCCAATGCGCCGGGCTTCAGGCTCTTTGTCCGCATCAACACACACGATGCCCCCGATCAAGGACCATCAAATCACCTGCTTCTGTGCGCTAGCTGTCTTTGTGGGATATTCACGTCGAGGCATTCACTAGAGCCTCCGATTACCCGTCTGCTCGCATCGACAAGTCACATGGAGAACATAAACTGGCCGCGGCACACGCTCGCTTCTGCTCAGGTCGGCCGCCATTGCCCAGACTAGAAATGCTGCTGCACGAAGTAGGGCCGAAGCTGTTGGGTCTTGTCCAGACTATCGCATCGCATCAATCGGCGGTTCACCGTAAATGCGTCGATGTGCTCTGATACAGGTAAATTTAGATTTGTGGACGGCTTCTAGCGTTCCGTCGTTACGGAGAGAACACCACAACGTCCCATTTTACCCAGGCCAGGCCAGGCCAGACCAGCCCCATGGGGCCCGAGATCTGGGTTGGCATCCAGAACTGCGTGGAAGAGGAGTCAATGGGAGAGTGGAGGGGTCCACACCGTTGGGCAGCTTGTTGTGCTGTGTGATGAGAAACGCCGAGATGAGAAGGCCCGTTTGACCGTTGTTCCTATTCTCGTGTCCATCCTGATTTGGTGCTGAGGGCCGTTGAGGATTCGGATCATTCCATTTCGTTGGTTTTTTTCTCTCGACCATGGGCTCTTTCGGTTTTTCTCGGCAGGATCGAGTACGCTTAGCATCCAATAGACTGACTGCCTCTTCTCTCACCTCGCCTCACCCCATTGCCATGTCTGTTGGCCCGGCCCCTCATCTTGGTTCTCCCTGAGACGATGCTGTGTACTCAACGCCTCGCTTGCCTCAGTTAGGGACGGATAGCGAGCGCCAATGGTACATTACGGAGCTGAGTAACCGGAGTGCCGATCGCTGCAAAGACCCTTTGGCTGAGGGACTGTGATCGGCTGCCAGTCCTGATCGGGCAACCCAACGCATCTTGCCTTTGCCGATGCGTTTCAGTGCTGCGGAGGGTGTCTACAGCTGTTCCGTGTAGTCATTTCAGTCATCAGCCACCGTGTAGTCGAATCAGTCATATCAGTCATCACGGCTAACACCGCCATCAAGGAGTCAAGGAGCCCGCCATCAGAGCCAAGCCAAGCCATCCCGACTCTGCCTGCGAGTAAGAGAACAAGACTGTGGGGAAACGAAAGGCCACACGCCTCTCCCTCTGCCTCTCCCTCCTCTGCCCCAGGTCTGCCCGTACCTGTGTCCCCCGTCCTCCTGGTCGACCGGCGCCAATGGGCGAATTCTTCGGTCCTACTCCAAACGCCACCCTTCACACCTTGCAGGGGTCCCGGTGGGCCGTTTGATTTTGTAGATGGAATCCTCGATTCCTGTCTTTAATTGACCGAGAGCAGACTTTTCCTTCCCCTTTCCATCGGGGAGGGCCCGGGGCGTGAGTCGGGAGGAGAGAGGCGTGCGAGGGAGCAATGCCTTGCAGCAGTTAGCCCATCATATTTTTTCTTTAGGCCTTTTTCTGTCTATTGACTGTCTGAGGTGCTGGCGATGTTTTACGACGGCAGTGGCCGCTGATGAATCACGACAGGGGGCCTCACTGGCCGATTTTTGTCCTCCCGTCACAGACAGATGAGCATAACAGGGGCATCTGACACTGTGACTCTTCCATCGCGCGCCACGAGCCACTCGATCCTAAACTGCAACTCTCTCTTAAATTACCTTTGTGCGCGTCCGGCACTGTTGTAGAACCCCAGGGAATAAACCCCTCGTACCATCCCCGAGCGCTGCGCCCAACAAGCTGTCCGGTTAAGCTCAGAAAGAACCGTATGGGGACCCCAAATGGAGAAGCAAGCAGAACCGAGTATTTGACCGAGCTGGAGACTGGAGGAGGGGCGCGGAAATGCTCAATCAAGGGGGAGCCCAGATCACCCACAGCGCTTGTTCACTGGAGACGGAGTCGCAAACTCAAATCATAACGCCATGGGATTGAATTTTCTTTTTCTTTTTATTATATGGGGCGAGCTGCCTGTAACAGACTTGTAAGTGCTTACAGCGCATTTCCCCGGGTCAGCGTAGATACCTGGGCATGAAGGATGTGTCGCCACGTAGTACTAATTAAATCAAACTTATGCTTGAGCCACAGTGCTACAACGTCAATGGAAGGAAGCAAAATAGGCACCGTGGGAAGGCTCCTATTCCGGAGCCAGGGTCTGCATTCAGCAAAAAGTCAATGCCGTGTCACGATCAAGAGATCACAGTAGGGGGCCCGGAGTACGCGGACCAGGGACCTCGTCGTCCCATGGGCGCGCCGGACGTGCAACTGTGGCGGCTCTCGTGTGCGAGAGGAGTAACCGCGTCTCTTCTAGGTCCGGGATTGTAGCGTTACAGTACAAGTCGATCCTGAAACTGGGTGATTCAGTGAGCAACCTCGATCTAGCCTAAGGTACTTGGGGACGCAATTGTCAGCCAGCCGCGTGCCGATTTCCGCTGGTCTTGTTTGTCTGGTCTCGCTTTGTCTTAGCTGCTTTCCTTGCTTTTGACCCGATGTGCATTTTCTTTGCTTTGCTTTTGGCTTGCTCTGCATTAGCCTCTCGTTATCGCTTGGATCAGCGTGTTGGAAGCGTGTGTCATGTACGATGTGAATACTACAGCATGGTGCATGTATGTGATCAGTCAAATCAAAGCAAATTAGATCAGACCAGACCCCGGCCGCTGCCCTACTACCGGCTGGTGCTTGTCTCAACAATGCTGTCAGCAAACATTGTAGTCACGGACGGCGCCTACCGCACAGGCTTGGAGGATACGGCGTTTGGCGTCCGGCTCTGGCTGAAGCCACGTGAGTGCTAATAACGAAGAAGACCAAGATCTAAAGAGGAGCCTCCTACATCAGATGAGCAAGGCTGGATCAAGCTGAGCTTGAGCCATGCCATGTGTGCATATACCTGCAGCCATAGCATATATGCTAGAGCTATAGCTGAGGATTGTCTCTTCCCATAAAGAATCAACACGAATCAGGCATGTATCCACCTGGATGATTATCAACCCCACCGCAAACCTTCTTTCACATGCACACAATCACCAACACGCTGGCTCTGGGCTGAAGAAAGTCAAAGACAGACGCAAGTGGGAGCGGGAGGCGTTCCGTTTCGTTGTCTCGCCTCACCTCGTTTCATTCATCTCGTTAAAAAAACTGGTTGGTCAACGGGACCGAAAAAAACTGTCAGTCAGCACGCCCCATTCCCATCCCCCATCCCATCCCATGATCCATCCCCCCAGTTCCCCATCATCTGACTTTTTCCCCCCTTCGCAAAGGCCCGGAGTGCCCCCGGGACCAACAATACATTGCCCCCGCCAGAATAGTCAGTTGTCTCCTTTCTTGCCGTACCCGGACGATGCAACGTGAATTCCCAGCTCGATGCCAAGCCCGTATGTGTCCGATCGCTTGATTAATCAGGAGCCCATCGGTCTTGCTCTCGGATCAATCTTATTGCATTCGCGAACGCACCTAAACCTTCCTATTTGCTACCGGCGGCGGCTCTGCTTATGCTTTTGGCAGCCTTCTATTGGATGACTGCCCCTTGTAGACTGTGAATAAGATGAGATGAATACTCCAATAGTCTCACGTCGTAGGCCATGTCTTCCGGTCGTCGTATCACATCCCGCGTTCCTCTCGCTGGGGTTATGTTCCAATATTGCATTTCATGGCTTCATTTGGACCTACTGCTCCATCGGCCGTCGGCACTACCTCCACATTAAAAACCAACCAACTTGTCCAAGAGTTCTTCTTGTCAGCGGCATCGCTTCGAAAGATCAATGTTGTGTCTTAAGGCTTTGCATATCATGTCATTCGGAACTTTGGAAACGATCGCAGGAAACTCGACTGTGAATATTGCTCGGCATAGTATCCAGAAACCCATAACCTGATAATTCCTAGCGTGTGACGAGGTGCATCGCCGTCCTGGTTACAACTCCCATTTTATTTCTGTAATTTTTTAGCTTTGTCTCTGGAATTTATTATGGCAATATGGAAAGTGAGGGTGTACATACGTGCCCATAAGTGTCTCTAGCTGGCACTCTAATACAGTGCCTTGACTCGACTCTACTCCTAGGCGGATATAGACCGGGCTGTAACAATATCTTTTTGGGAGAAGAGTCATTGAGTCATAATGGAAAACAATCGATAACACTTGTTTACTAAGCTTTAAAGAAAGACGAGCCTGCTGCTCGAAGAAGACTTCTCTTTATAGACTGGACCATACCCTAAACCACAAATACACTGCTTAACCATCCATCCTCAGCGTCGGCACGACGAGTTCTATCGGCATGCCTAGAACTGGGTAGCCAAGTAATTCCAGAGAGAGGACAGGAAGGGGTGAGAGACAGACAAAGGATTAGTTAGATGCTGCTGCCATGGCGACAGAGTCATGAAGCGACAGAGTATATTGAAGCAAGACAAAGACATCCGCAACATTCGAAACAATTAGTATCGGAGCGTCCACGGTGGAGCAGTTGCTCGACTTTTTATTTCATTTAGGATAAAATTCCTACCGCTATGTCTATCACCTTTTTTGTGGAGGATGATCAGTTGCTCATTTTACCTTCAGCAGTGTATCCTGGGAGGAGCTCCTACCCAACCGCTCTCCTATCTCAGTTACCTTTTTTCTTATCAAATATGGCATTGTGAATGATGCCCTTCCAATGAACTCTAAATAAGAAGAAATGTACTTAAGATTTCGCGGAAGAAGGAATTCCTTCTCCAATAAGAGCCTTTATATGACTGGAGTGTTCTAAGGTTTATCGACTTTCGCAGCAGCATCTGCCCCGACGTGATCTTGGGACACGGATTGTACGCAATCGGCACAGAAGATCGGGTAGAAATGTCAAAAGTTTCCAAATTCATTTTAAAAACCCAAATGCAAAAGGGAAGAGAGGCTAGCCTCGGCGATTTGGTTATATGGCCATGCCAGCAGTAAAAGGAAGCGTAATTTGCTAATTGAGCAAGTAGATTTGGACAGGTAGGTTCAATTCTGTTTTGAGAGGGATTGTTGATCTCCTAGGCCCTTAATATCAATATTTCTCGGTTATCTGCCGTGAGAGATAGCAGAATGGCAAGCCTTTACCGATAATGCCCCTCCGGGCCGCGAACTTACAGCGAGGATCTATCTAGTCCCAGACATACCTCAATATGTTTGATTCAGACTCCTCATATGCTTACCAATACTCTCAATTTACCTCTCTCGTTACGGGCGGGTTTAGACATATTACCGTCTCGGCCGAAAGGTCCGTTAAACGTAAGATCTGCGGATTTAAGCAGTAAGACCGTTGCGATTGAACGACTCATTGAACTCTAGAGGTTATGTATTGGTGTTATTTCGGCCGTATAATCCGCTGCATGGAAGTAGATTTTACAAGAATATAAAGGCATGAAACCTCATCATGAATATCATCTGTTGTGTCCTTTCAACAACATACTCTCCACACTCTCCCAGATTACCCAAGAATAACAATGCGTGTACCATTCATCACAGCAATCGCAAGCATTAGCTATGCGACTGCTACCAATGCCATTTCTCAACCGCGTCTCATATATGAATTTCCTAACAACAACACCTTTATTGAGAACCTCACTGTTCGCCCCAACGGAGAGCTGGTGCTGACCACATTCCACGATGGACACATCTACACCATCAACCCCTCCGCACACAAGTCCGTGCCCAAGCTTGCCGTCAAGGTTCCGGAACTCACCGGTGTCACGGGAATTTCCCAAATTGCGCCGGACGTCTACGCTGTTGCTGCTGGCGTAGTCAATGTTTCTGAGTTCAAGTGGGAGGCTGGAACAGGTCGTGTTTTCAAGCTGGATCTGAGTAAGCCTTATACTACTGGTAAAGCCGTCCTCGAGCCTGTTATAGCCATGCCGGAAGCTGGGTTACTCAACGGGATGACCTCATTGCCCTCATACCCGCACATCATCCTCACTGTGGACTCGAAAACAGGTGTGCTATACCGTATCAACATGGACACCGGAGTTTCTGAAGTTGCTTTCTGGAGCGAATTGTTCACCATTTCCGAAACCCCCATCGAACCTCTAGGCGCGAACGGTGTCCATGTTTATGGCAATTACCTCTACTTCACGAATTCAGCTCGTGGAATTTTTGGGCGTGTCAAGATCGATGCATTGGGCAACCAAGTTGGCGATGTTGAGCAGGTCGCGCAGGTTTCGTCGAGTGCGCCGATCGACGATTTTGCTACAGGTCCAGATGGATCTTTCTATGTGACTTTGCACCCTGAATCACTGGTTAATATCAAACCAGAGGGAAATGTAACTGTTGTCACGGATGGTTCTTCAAGAACTAAACTCAAAGGGCCAACTGCAGTGACCTTTAGTAACGATAAAAGCAAGCTGTACATTACGACGGTTGGGGGGCAAGTCGTCGAGCTGTGTCTTGACTGAGGAGCAGTGGAATCCTAAAGGGTAAAGCTTTTGGACAGAATTAGGGCAATCTGGGCGGTATGAAGTTAATATCTACGGATCAAATAACACCAGCTTGTGCTTGGCTATGATCTATGATGATTGCATTTGGACTTACTGTCGAGTATCCTACCCATTCTTTTCAACCCGGGCTCGGCTATAGGCAAGTAATTCTTAGGGGTTTCTGAAACATAGATTATGTACTAAGGTACATTCTTCCTAGTCAGTTACTAAGAAGCGATAATCTAAGTATTTGCATTTAGTTCTTACATTCAAGATGTGGGAATAGTCTCCTAATTGACCTTCGGAGAGATGAATTCTGATCCTTGAAAGTGGAAGAAGCTATCGTGATCTAGGTACGCCTTCTTTATTACTCTGTCAAATTTGTCTCTGCAGGCAACAGACAGGTCTGGTGCCTCCCTGAGGCTACTCCTTGCTTTTCAAGTCAAGTTCATTTATGCATCAGGTCCTATACCATGAGCTCCTTGGATTACCCATCAAGTTAAATGTAGCTCAGGCTTCATAACGAAGCTTCTCGGATTCCAGACTCTATAAGCCTCCGCAGTGGGGAAGAAGCAGAGTGCCTTCACTGTCTATTTCTCCCTGCTGGTCGTCCTCTTCAGCCCAGCAAGTGCTTGGCCCGAGCGCCGAGAATACAGGCTCTGAAACCCATGAAAACGAGTGGAAGACCTCATGAGCTTGGCAGGTTGAAGGCCTACAGCGTGCAAATGGACTGGGGATGTGAAAATCCCCGTGCTGCTTTCATTCCGGAAAACCACACGCAGAGGTTGTGAGAGGTAATCGTAGCTTCTCATTCTTGACTGGTTGGAGCCTGGTTTCACGAAAGCCATCATATCCTTCCTTGGCGGCAAACTTACCCTGTCATCTAACTCGATATAGTAAGATGCTTCGTGATGAGCATCTCGCCGCATCCTGCTCTTTTAGGTACAACTTTGGCAGGCCCATTCATCTAATTACGTGCTCCTTGGAAGAAACACAAAACCCCGAAGCACGAGAGAGACCATCAAGCTTGTGCTGAGCATCTACAATAGCTTCCTTCACTATGCGGAAAATGGAATGGGTGTTCGCGCTGCTCCTTTGTGGCTGCCAGGCGCAAGATAACATCCCATCCGCGGACACTTTCTTACGTCGTCTGAACACCAAAGGTAGGTACCATTGATAGACCCAAGACAGCTATGCGGAATTTTACGGATGGCTGATGAGCAGAAAGCCACGGTCATCAATGACTACCTCTATCTGGATGGAGGGGAACTATCGCAGAAGGGGTTCACAGCTTATAGAAACTCCAATGGATGTAAGTGAGATCACCGAACGATCCTTCCATTTGCTAATAGAACCTGCACAGTTAATATCACTGCTTCTCTCGATCTTTCCAAGTCTTGGTATCCGAGAAATGTAACTTTCAACGAGACCCCCAAGCCCGACGGGATCCCGATTCTCTGGCGGCATGCCATCTTCACCGACAGCGCATCTAATTCTTTCTATATTTATGGCGGCAGAGAATCCTACCCCAATGGCCCACCGCGCGACAAGTACTGGAAGTTCATTGCAGATAATAAGGGGTCTGGTTCCTGGAGCACCGAAACCACCAGTGGCGCGTTCACGGGCCTGGTCCGTTCAGAAGCAGGGGCTTTTGCCAGCACCAGCAACGCTGGATTCTGGGTTGGGGGATACGCTTCAGGATGGACAGACAGCCAGGCGACTGGCAATTTAGCCAGCGATATTCCTGGCGTTGTGTCATTCAATTTCAGCACCAAGGCTTGGAAAAACCACACTGAGGCCCCGTATTCACCAAGTGGAAGGATGTATGGCGGCACCGCTACGTATATTTCCAACTTGGGCTCTAATGGTCTGGTTATGACGCTTGGTGGTGTTTCCAGTTCGAAGCCAAAGGCCGCCGGACATTTGGACCTTGGAAATGTGCATTTCTTCGACCCGGAGACCATGAAGTGGTATAAGCAAGCTACAACAGGTGACATCCCTTCCGGTCGCATGGATCACTGTGCAGTTGGCGTGAAGGGCAATGGGACGTTTGAGATGTGAGTACTTTGGAAAAGCACCCGCCCAAGATTTTCCTGCGTTTCAAGTATAGCGGATCTAACTCTCGTATTCAAGCTTTGTGTTTGGCGGTTATAATGTAGACCAAGACGAGACCTACAAGGACATGCACATCTTGAGCCTCCCCGGTTTTTTTTGGACGAGAGCCAGTGAAGAGGCTCGGTCTGGTCGAATGCAGGGCACATGTGTTCTTGCTGGAAAGCGGCAACTGGTGTCCATTGGCGGAACTGAGGCCATCCGCGATCCCGACGCGTGGGGACCGGCCGATCCCGAGCCCCAGGGGCTATCCATCTTCGACTTGAGCGAGTTGTCGTGGAAGGACAAGTACGATGCCAATGCTGCTGAGTACACTACCCCCAAAAGTATCAAAACATGGTATAACAACGGGTGAGTGGCCTAGAAGAGTAGACCCATACTGTCTACCTCAGAAAAGTGCTTACCGTAGTTAGGGGCCTGGACAAGGTCGTTTGGGGTGACGGTGTAAAGGGTCTTCTATACGGGAACTCAGAACTGGGTGGCACGGAGTCCAACCCTCAGCCTACCTCGGATCCGACTGCCGAGTCAGCAGACAATTCTTCCAACTCCAAGTCACCATCAACCGGAGTCATCGTCGGAGCCGTAGTTGGCTCGTTTGTTGGTGCTATCGTATTGGGCTTGCTGGGCTTCTTTTTCTTGGCGCGAAGACGCCGCAGGCATGACCCGGCAATATCTGAACTGTCGCAATATCACGAACCCCCAAGCGAATTAGAAGCCCCAAGAAGTATAACCGAGCCTCCCAAGTATATGGAAAGCTCAAGACATGATTCAGAGCCATTCAAGGACACGGGCTGTGAGCCCGACCATTTCTCGTACAGAGCAGAGCTTTCAACCGATGGTGAGCTCAGCGCTGAGTTAGGACCAGGAAGACAATGGCCCTAATGTTCGCATGAAACACCACTGGAGATCGCAGCAGGTTATATAAAGCTACACATAGAATTATCTTTCGCTTTCTAATCACTCACATAGTGTATTGTTAGAAGGGTTTTCCTAGGCTTATGCATTTTGTAGGCGTCGGTTGTAATGTTGGAACAAATGCAGACTTGGGGTGGGCAAGTGGTTTGATCAGGTATGTTTCATGTCGCTATCGTTCGTTCGTTATCTACCGATAAATACTTAGAAATATCTTTCATTCACGTAAGAGAAAGAAAATAAAGTTCAACAGCAATGGAAGATGCCAGAGCCCGAAAACTTAAATCTTTCATTCACAACTCTCTCTTCATTCCTTTGTCTTCGCATGATACCTCATCGGGTTGAATCTTCTTTTAAACCCCGTAGTGAACCTAGGGAGCCTGACGAGCGACGATCTCGTCAGCTTTTACCAAAAGAGCATCTCTACAATCCCTCGCATCCCCCTCTGACCCAATAGACAACTTCTCAAAGCCAAGTGTACATCCAGTGGCTTCTGTGCTCAATGAAGTACGACTTGCAGCACTACGTTCAATAGCTGCCCGATTTTCATTATCTGATAATTTCTTAGCCCACTCATCTCGAAGCGATTGAGATGCGTGATGAAGCCCTCGAGCCACCGACAAGTCACTCATTTCTCCCTCGCTCATCTTCTCATACATAATCCTGGCTAGGTCGACACAAATAGCATCATTGACTTCCCAAAGTGTCCCAACAACGTGTCGAAACCCTTCAAGCTGGCATGAGCACGAAGAAAGGCAGTGTTTTGGTAAATCTTCTGCTTTATCAAGGGAGGTGGCTCGTTACAATTTAACCATATAACACAGGCTTATCAGTATAGAACCATCTTCATTGTATGGATTAGGTTATGGAGAGGGCAGCCAAAGTAGTTCATTGTCTGCTAAGTATGTCAAATTTTCAAGATATATATTCTTCAATCCTTCCCTTCAGATTTGTCGAGCTTTCCACCCGTATTGCCTTAATCCTCTGAGGGTTCTGCGTCAAAATCTATGCCTGGCAATTCATGGACGCCTTGATTCACTGTCGCGCTGGCCACATCCATGCCTCGAATAGCAAGCCATTGCTCCCTAAACTTGGGCCCCCAAAGCGGCGAACAGATGTGAGGTAGGGCTATGCTCCCTATTCTAAGGTGAGTTATTAAGTCGTAGATGCGGTTCTCCTTGGTCTGGAATACAACCTCGAGCTTCACCGAGGATGAGCCATGAGTGAATTGGACTAAATGAGGGTCGATGTTCTCCTGGTTGAAGGCAAACCGAACCCGCCTGAGACTTTTGTAGCGCTCACCAAGGGAAACAACGTCGAGAAATACCTGTGCTTGGTCCAAGATTGCCTTGCCGCAGCCATGGATCACGAGGTCTTCTAGATTCTCAGGCAAACAATTCACCAGCCTTGGTGCACCTTCAACGTCGAGGGGAAGGTCCGGGCCAAAGAGTTCCTCTGGCTGCGCATCAAGCAGTCCCGTAAGTGCCTGCATTCCCGTCAGCAGTGTTTTCAAAGCTGTCATGGCTCTAAGTTCGACTCCCATGAACAGTCTCTCTGGCTGGTCAGCCCATCCATTCTTGTACCAGTCATCCTCCCAGTTGACATGGAGATATTCGAGCGTTTCTGCGTGTGGCAAAATAGCCTCCATCAGGTCGCGCGGCATCATCTCATTGTCGTACATGTGGTATACACCCCTTGTGTATTCGAATGAACGGAGATGTTTGACGGGGGAGAAAAGATGGCGGATGAGAACCTGAGATATCGCGCTTCTGCGTAGAAAAATGTGCTCTACTGCTGAAGACCCTGGCGGTAATGCATCAAAGAATGGTCCTCCCTCCTCGCTGCCATTAGCCATGACAATCTCATAAGTAGAGAGGTTCGGGAGCTGAAACAGCAAAGCAGCCTGGCGATGCCAAACAAGATATCCATATTTTGTGTCTTGCGACTCATGGTACACTTGTTCAAGGTTTGCGAGCGGACGCTTCCTGTTCTCTTGCCCACCGGCAGGAGATGGCTGGGGGTTGCGGCTTGCGAGCTGCAGGACTCGTTCCAAATGGCGCGGCTGGTATGACTCGGCGTAGCAAAGAAGCTCGACTTGTGAGCACACAATCAAAATAAGCGCATTCACTGCGTCTGGGACGCCCCTTTCCAAGTCTTCAACCAAGTTTATGCAGTGTCTCTCATACTCTTGATTAAATTCATGCACGAAGGCTTCTTGAACCAGTCTGCGATAGACGCCCATTTCATTTGGTCCTGGCTTGGCCAAAGTATCCACCTCCACATCGTGCCACGCAGGATAGTGCCCGAAGAGCAATTCCTTGACATGCCTGGCGAGATCCGGCTTTGTAATGGTTATATAGTGAAGAAACTTGAGGCTGCGGGTTCGGACGGTGAGCTTCTCATCATTATCATAGACACCATCGTCCAAATACTTGTAGTTGCGGAACGTATGAACGGAGAGCGGGAGGCCGACTTGGTAGAGTTGCTGACATGTGAGGAGAATATTGCGAATCCCTTTGGGCTCGAGGTATGAGAAGATGCGCGTCTGGATTTCCCCCGGTAGTCTCAGTAAAGGAGAGCTGAGGATCGTTTCGTTCGACATCTTTCAGCGAGGTACACTTGAGCAGTAGTTGTTTTAGTTGTTCTTGGCAAGACAATAAAGCGTTGGTGATGTATGTAATAAGGCGCCAAGTATTTACTACACCTTAACGGTCTGTCTGACTAAAGTCACATGTCTATACCCATTATTTCTGCTGATGCTGCCAATGGTAAAGCACCGCCTAAGGTGCTTACACTCCTGATCATGCAGGCATTAATTAGCTCGCTAAATTCTCCCAGCCTGGGCTGTTATGGCCTACATAATTACTCTCTTGCAGCCGCCTAAGTGTAAGAACGAATCATCTATTACCAGACCGAATGAATTAGACTGGGAACGCCCTGGGGAATTCATAAGCTTTGTATTAATCTTGAAAGTTTTTAACCGTTTTTAAAAAGTAAGATTATTTAAGTGAAGATTTAGTTTAATTATCTTCTTCTTCTTCTTCTTAAAGTCACTTAGACTTTATTTGATTTAACAAAAGATATTTCATAAATTTAGCATTAGTGACCTGTATCGGCTAACTTATAATAATAGGTGCTGGTTCAGGGTGAATCAATAGAGATGGGTGGCTAAATAGGTTATCCCTATTAATTAAGGAAACGATTATTTATTGAATTCCCGAACTTCATAGGTATAGCGCCTAGATTCTAGCAAATGTTCTTCTATACCCCGAAATGAACGAATGGTACCCAAGTGGCCCCCTGTCCTCATCGTCGCAAGGGATAATATCCCTAGGTGCAAACAAATCTTCTGCTGGGATAGTATCCTTTTTCGGGAGACCAAGTTTCAGTTTGGTCAAAGATGAGTGTATTGATGCGATGCTGCCCTTCTGATTCGCCCTTTCCCGTTCAGCGGTGCTATTTGGCGCCTCTTCAAGCCAACGATCGCGAAGTACTCGAGTAGCTTGATGGAGGGCTATGCTAATAGATCTATCTGCGATTCCATGATCTTTTAGTCCCGTATAGACAAGTTGTGCCATGTTAGCGGAGAATTCGTCGTTGACATCCCATAATGTTACAATTCCATGGCGGAAACCGGCAACCAGGAAGCCGTTGATCAAATGGGCACTTTCATTAGAAACTGCCTGACTGTCCACTTTTCCCGTCCCGCATGCTGAGAGATATGCCAAGAAAGGAGAGTATTATGGAGATTCATTTCCATCATGAATGATACTGTGAGGTTGTCCTTGTTTTCCAATAGAAGATGGCTCTTCGACGGATCCAGTTGATCCACGGCGCCATGCCCAGCGAAATGGAAAACGATACACTGCTGGAGCAGCGGTTTGATGTCGCTGGCTTCTTTTTTGGGCTCGATTACAACAAGGTCCATAAACGATAGAGCTAAAGCAGACAATCCTATCAGCTGCTGGAGAAAGTTTTATTCATGGCTAATTAAGATATCGAGATACCTTCTCGTCGGATAAAATACAACAGGTCTCAACATTCGTGATGCTAGGGGATGTAATATATATGAATTGAAATTACTACTTATTACAAAGTCTATACTAGCAAATTCATTCCAGATCATCATTCAACTCATCAAGTTCTTCTAAATAACACTAAGTACGTCCATTGCCCAGGTCTTGCGAGCATTGATAACGCGCTCAGAAACGGGAGCAGTGGGAGCCAGGAGATCAGAACCGTGGTATCCGCCAGAGGTGACATGGACCTCAACCAGACCGCCGGCCTCCCAGATGCCTTCGGCAAACGTCAGAGCGGGCTTTCGGAACAGCTCTGCGCTTCCAACGTCAATGAAGACTGGGGGAAGATTGCTCAAGTCAGTGGCCCTGGCCGGAACGAGGTATGGGTTGCTTGTAGTGGCACTGCTTGGGTTCGAGCCGAGGTAGGCCTTCCAGGCAATCGTGTCTGACTCAGAGCTCCAGACAGGGGCCGACTCGCCACTGAAGAGGCTCTTCTCCGCCTCGGGGATGGCGTTATCGAGCATGGGGTAGTGCATGAGAAGGCCATTGAGGCTCACACCCTCGGGCTTCTTGTCGCGAACCATCATACCAAGTGCGGCAGTGAGACCACCTCCGGCACTGGTGCCCCAAGCAATGGCATTGGATGCATTGAGACCTAGGGTCTCAGCGTGATCAACTGCCCAAGTAAGTCCGGCGTAGACGTCCTGGATGGCGGCCGGGGCAGGGTGGTCGGGTGCAAGCCGGTATTCAACGGAGATCAAGACGGCGTTGAGGGCCTCGATGGTGGGAAGGATGAAGTCGATTCCGAAGAAGCGGTTGCCGGCTACCAGACCGCCACCGTGAATGTAGTAGACAAACCGACGATTGGTTTGTCCACTGAGAGAGCTGGGAGTGAATACAGAGAGTGTGCTAGTGTAGTTGTCGTAGCTTGTGAAGTTATATTCCTCGTGTGAGACTGACAACCCTGATAGGACATAGTCGGCAGTATATATCTGGTTTAGTTGTGAATTGATTGTGGGAAGCACATCCTCGGTCCAGATGGCAGGGAATGGCCATGAAGTCACAGCGTCAGCTAAGTCAGGGTTGACTTTTGGCGTGGCTGCTGCGCGAGAGCGCAGGGCAGAGGCCCCGGCAGACAGCGAAAGAAAAGCGAGAGCGGCAGAGTGAGCGAACATCTTGGCTAAGATGAGTTGTTAAAGAGTGATGAGGTTGGTTGTGAGGATGAGCCAAGCTACAAACTACTCGGGTGGAAGGAATTCAACCCGTTATTTATACAACTATGAAGCTCAGAAAGTCGCGGCGTATAACTGATTGAGAGCATCCCCACCTCCAGAAACCTAGAAGTGGCAGGTCAAGCCACCGTACCTTGCCCTATACACCCTTGTGTATGGACCATGTAATTCTTGTATGATGATCAGGTGGAGTGCCTTGGTGGTTCACATGGAAATTGTTCCACCGTTTTTCCAGGAGCGGATGACCTTGACAATCAAGAAACTGGGCACAGCGGGGCACTTTGGTGCTGACGGTGAAATGTTTGGTCCGATGATAGCTTCGACACATTGGAATTTGGACCTTTGGGTGAATGTGATGTAAGAGGCGGCATCATGTGCCAATGTTGCGTACATTCGTGATGATGGTATCGAGGCATCACAGCTTGATGCCACCCATGTCCGAGCTCGGATCCCTCAACTGAATTATCAGTCATCTTCACGCGTGCTATATGTCAGTACGGCATCAATAGCAGTTAGGTGAAGATTCACCGTATACAGGGATATAATCACCGAGCACTAACGAACAGTCCAGTGACGGGAAGCCCCGATAGGAGCAGGGCCCAATCCATGGCTGGTCAAGGAACGGTCCACCAACCATGGAGACTAACAATGCCGAAGATTCGTAATAAGAGTGCCGCCATGATAACCCACCAGCTATGATGTCTCAATTCTGGGTCAGTGAGCTTTGCTAAGACCCTGCAGAATAGTGAGATGAGATTACTCGGACCAGGGTGAGGAACCGCATCGCGTGAGGTAGGCCAACCAAGGACCCCTGCTGACTTGCATAAACGTGGTGAATCGCCCGGACGCTACCGTTACATTGAGGCCGGTAATTAACTCCATTTATTTCCATTTCCAAAAGCTGAGCCTCCTTCAAGCCATGCATCGTCATTTACTTGTGGTTTCCACTAGCCGGCATATCCGTACATAGTATTTTGAGCCAGTTGATTTCCATCTTTCCCACTCAGCTAGGCAAGCCGACAATGAACGGCTTTTCCACTAATCATTGCAGAGAGAGAAGGATGGGGGAGGATTACCAAAAGGTTGAAACAGACTGTCTCCACACGAGCTCTGATGAAACAGCCTCCTCTATGAAGGACTGTTGTACAAGTACAGAGAAAGCCTTAATTAACCTGACGAGCAGACACGCTGATTCTGACTTGAGACCCATACGTATAGCCGCATCGCTGGCGTCATGTCCACCGCAATATCTAATCAAGCATGTTCGGTTGCGGGGCATGTGGTACATAATTTCCAGGCTTGGAATCATCCACGTGGCATCCTGCAGGTTCAACTTGTCATTTCTTTATCGCTGCTAGAGATTGGATAGTGAATATCTATCGCCGACCCCAAGTCATATAATTCCCAACGTATGAGAAAAGGGCTTTTGAGACTGATCAAGTTCCCAAACCGTTCCAACCCAGGTTGGGAGAGTGAACGGCTGCTTGGCACTTCTTCTATCTCCAATAGTTGTGAGATTAGTCTGGCATCATGAAAGATGAGACAAAAAGGGAAACCTCATTCTTGAAGAAACTAAAGCTTTTACTGATGTAATCGGTCACCGCACCCCCCCCCCCCAGTCAAGCGCGTCAAGACCGCAAACGCAAACGGTACCATGGCAATTGATCCACTGCATATTGAATGGGGTCTATTAATGATCTGAGAGGGACCGTTATTAATCAATAAAAAAGATTGTAACCAACGGGAGGTTCTTGGTCCAGGAACATGAGAATATTCATTCCCCACCAAACTGGAAGAGAACACCGAGCCTACCGGGAGAAGCTCTTCTAGGGCAAGCCGTGGCTGAGTTGAGAACCCCATTCTCTAACAGATTAGTTGACATGGATTGTTCAAGTCGGCAAGACCGGGTATCCATGAATAATTTCAACGCATCGGATATACTGATTATTGCGATTAGTGCGGTAGATCATGACAAGGAAAGCAAGGTCCTCGCGGCATACTTCCCTGCATCATTGGGCGATGGGCATTGGTTCGTATACGGTCTGAAAAATACTAGAGCGTCAAGTCAGAGCTCGAAGTGGCGTGCTCTAGAATCTGTACATCATCCTAGTCATATCGCGACCCTGGAGCTCCGGAAATGTGATTAATAATGGGCTCACTTTTGCAACCCTGAACGTAGGGAGCATGCTCATCGGTTGATCAGGATGTCTAGTGCCAATCAGAAGACAGGCAAACAGGTAGTGCAAATGCGCTCACGGGAATCACTAAATTAGCTACCCTATCATAGGTGTGGTTGATGTCTCACGCTGCTGGGTAGTTACTATTGCTCACAACTATGTTCACGCTGTGAAGAAGCAGAGATAGTGACTTATTAGACATACCTGGCGAAACTGGTATCAATTGGATCTCCTTTTCCCATGATATTGAGCCCACGGATGGAGACGCATAGCAAGTATGGAAAACGCGATCTTCATGAATCGTGATCAAGACCACCACCTACAACAGAAGGATATAGAATCTCCTAGCTGTATTCAATTCTGACGAGTTCTTATATCTCTGTGACCATTTGCCGGGGTCATAGTTTCATGGCTGTGCTGGAGTAAAGTAAAGATAGAATCCAGCTCTCAAAAACAATTGACCCTGTTGGCCTGGGGTAAGTAAGACACCGACAACCTCAGGAAACTTGCAACTTGGCCCTACGAGAACCCAGTGGTATATGTGAAGACCCTTTAATTTCAAGTTTATAAATCTTAGTGACTACCATTATTTGCAAGCAACTATCTACTGAAGCTTATCAAGTTTTTTGTAGTACATGAGAATACAAAGTTTACCGACGGTCATTGGCATCAAACTTCTCATTCCACCAAATTCGGACATGCTTTTGAGCACCCAGTTCAGAGGTCTTCGCAATTTCTTCTTCTGTCAGCTTAAACTTTGGCAGGTTCGTGAGATATCCCTCAAGCCTAGATGTCTTTGAGCTGGTGGTAACAACGACGACGCCCTGATCCAAAATCCAACGGAGGCCGATATCTGACTCAGTCACGCCATATTTTTTGGCCAGCTCTTTCCAGTATGGCTCGACCGGTCCGCCCTTGGCGGTGGTGATTGGGGTAAGAGGGCTGTAGGACTCAACCGTAATGTTGTTCTTCTTCAAGAAGGGAACAAGGTCTCCGTGCTGTAGGTATGGGTGGTACTCGATCTGGTTGACAGCTGGGGGGATCTTGGCAGTTTTGAGGATAGTTTCAATGTGCTCCTGGAGGAAATTGGAAACACCGATAGACTTAGCGCGACCAGATTCCTTGATCGTTTCCAGATGTGCCCATCTCTCCTGCAACTCCGCTTCGGTGTCGGCAAACCAAGGTCCGTGAAGCAAATACAGGTCTACATATTTGAGACCAAGTTTCTTTAACGAAATATCAAATGCCTCCAGGGCATTCTTTTTCTGATTTGCATTGATCTTGGTGGTAACAAACAGTTCCTCCCGAGGAACTCCGGCAGCCTTGATGCCGGCACCAAGCTCCTGCTCGTTTCCATAGACTAATGACTCGTCAGATGAATTCTTTTCAAGGTAGTTCGTTCCGCGCACCTTCTGCTCCGTCGAGATGTCGATATCCAGTGAGGATAGCTTGCTTGGTAAGCTCGATCAGACTCTCGTCAATGCCTGAGTTAGGATCATTCTTGTAGTTTGCGGTGCCCAAGCCATATCCAACCTAGATAGGCACCCATCAGCTAAGTCCTAGGCCACTAGGTATTCTCTTGATACTTGAGCATCAACTTGGACAAAGAATTTCTGCAGAGGACTTACAATAGGGATCTCCTTGCCATCATTGAGTTTGACCTTAGGAATATCGAGTGAAGCGCCCGCCATTGTGAAGTTAGTGCAATTAAATCGAAGTTCTAGTTAACCTTAACTGTGTCTCTTCAAGCGAAATGTACTGATTCAAGAAGCCAACGTTTTTCTGCCTAGCATTATCCGAGAGAACTGGGGAGAAGCGGGTGGCATGTGAAGCTATTTATTAGTCGAACATGTGGGGATTTGCGTTGTTTTTCTAACGGGCCATCTGTGACATACCATCGGAACGCTGTCTTTCATGTGTCGACATTCAATCTAGGCTTAACGATCCATAATCGATTCCGGCTGGCCTTCTGTCCTCGGCGGACCCCTTAGACCTGTTGCCGAATGCTCATGATATCTGCAGATATCTCCTCCTCTTTCGATTCCAACCAAAACCTGGCTAAACACCAAAACATGAAATCTTGTCGAGCTGTCGTAACGGAGCTTCGGAATGAACCCGGAATAGGCCTAGGCTTGGCCTCGTATCGAGGCATGACGTGATTAGTCTCCATCTACTCCGTGAACTGGCCAGTCGAAAGGAAGCTATCCTCCCCATTGGCCAAATCGCGCAAACATTGCGGTTGATGTCGTCTATTCTTCCGTTGAAGCAATAGGCTAAGGTTTTCCTGGCTACAGGCAAGCTGGGTTGAGAGTGTTGATAGAGCATACACGGAGGTGAAGATGTCACTACTTGTCACAAATCAATATCACCTAAACAGAATAATGGGGCGTTCTTCATTTACAATCTCTCATCTGAGTCCCCTAAAGAAATAGCCGGTTGACCTTAACTCCCAAACTATCAACCAAGTATTGTCTCAAGCCTCTTCTCTATCATAATATCCATCCAATGCACGCTATCCGATAACATATTGCCATCAAACTCGAACCCAGAGTTGGAATCTACTAAGGCGTCCATTCGTGTCCAAGACTCCTCAATCATGATGGCGGCATGTTTCACGGGACGGAGCCCAACGAAGCCGTGCAGCAAAACCATCCGTTCGCGCACAAATGCTCTCCATTCCATCACTTCCTGGTCCAGGGTCGCTTTCTCTGGCGAGCCGACACGTCCCAGCACGCTCCCTGCCGCGACTAGCGCCAGGCCTTGGACCGGGAGGGTGCTTGAGTCACTCAAGATGTTCTTGAGTATGTCTAGAATTCCAAAAGCAAGGCTCAATATTAACGGGTTGTGATAGTCTCCACCCGGAGCTGCCGATTCGCAACCGGGAACGGTAAGACCAGAGTGGTTCTCCACGATTTCTGGAAAGGCTCGGTACAGCTCGATGAAGGCAACCAGACGATAGCAGCGTGCGAGCCCCCAGAAATGTTTCGGGGGAGCACGGGGGTCCCCAGTGTCCTCGATCAAGCTGACAAAGGGCACCCGCCAACCGAGAATGGCCTGCTCCAAAGCACGAGCATCCTCTACAAGCTGAAAGTAGAGTGCATCACGGTATGTCTCGCTGTTTCTGAAGAGAGAAATATTTCTTAGAGCTCTCTTCTTGCGCATTAGTGACCCAACCTTAGCCAGATGTATGAATATGGGGGTGGCCACACCAGTCCATGGACTAGGGGTTATGGTTCCGGTCCAACGTTGGTTAGCAAGGCAGTCTAGGTAGGCAAGATCTTCTGTTCGCTGATCAACCACAAAAGAACTCAGTGCTTCCCAATAAACCAAAGAGGAAACAATGAACCTTTGTATATCAGTCATCGCGGATGCCGTGTTCGCAGTATTTAATCCGTTCACGGACACCCATGACTTGAAGAGGACTCTAGATCCAATGAGATGCGAGTACCCTGGAGAAGAGGCATCATTCCATGCCTTAAGTGCATAATGGTGAGTAGATAAACGTAGGAAGTGCATCTTTCTATCGGATACTTACTGAAGTCATGCCCAGAAGAATAATTCCGAGAAGTAGCTCATCTTTGACCAAAGTAGTCCGAGCTGGACCGGAAAGTTCTGTTCTTTCATGCCCCTGATGAGTGGGTTGAGACGGGAGAATGCAGGTAGTACTTAGATCAGTGGAGAGCTGTGAGAGTGCACGAGCCTGATATTCAAACGAAATAGTGGTGTTGTTATCATATTGGTGGAGGTGGGCAGCGGACATGCTGAGAACACAATAAAACACGAGTGGGGACTCATTGATAAGTTTGTATATCTGGTTCCGAAAGGGGTTGTTTTCTGAGTCGAAAGAAGAGTTGATACGGCAGATCAGAGAAAAATAGTGGCTCAGCAGAACAGATGACTCTTCCGTTGGGATGTACAATGATAGCAGAGCATCTTGTGGAAGGGAGATGTCAGATCCAGATATACTGATGTACTCATCTAGATTACTCTGTTCTACGGAATGATCATCGTCACCTAGCTGCTTTGGGGCAGGGCTGTTAGGTGCCGATAGGATGAAAACCTCGGTCTGCGGCGGCGAAGCCACGGAAGTCCCTATGGCAGACGATCCTTGATCCCCTGAGCTGTTTGAGGCCGGTGAGCCTTCTCCTGTGGTGACAGCAGCAAATGATGTAGCAATTTGGCGTGTTAAACTCATAGGTGAGAAAGTCCCAGCTCTTTCGCTAAATAATGATGATGATGGGGACAAGGCTTGTTGGTCGGCATCAACATCGGCGCCGACACCAGCGTCATCTTCAGCGTTATGGTCCTCGGATGGGACCGAAAGCTTCTCGTGCTTTGTCGACCATTTCACTGGGCGCAAATATCCAGGACAGGTCAGCCCTGTTTTTAGGCATCGGCGACAGCTCGGCACAGTTTCGTCGCACTTCACCCGCTACAATAACAATGATACAGTCAGCCGTTATGCTTAATGTGACTGGGAATAACTGACATACCCGGGTCTTGCAATTCAAGCAGCCACCTGAGTAACACTTCCATCAGTCACTGTAATTAGTGGGGAATGAGGAAGTAAGACAGGAATCATTACTTCTGGACTTGTGTCTTCTGCGAGGATTTGGCGTGGAGGTGCTCATTGCTCCACACTCAATGTAGCTGGCTGTTGATAGCTAAAAGGTATACGAAATTCTGGATGAGAACAGAGCCCCCGCCGGCTGGAGCGAACCTGTAGTTCACCTTCCAGCAATATCGGTTCAACGATACCGATCCCTTTAGCCTTTACGGGGGAGCTTTATGCGGGTGGAGGACAGTGGCACACGTCGTTGTCTTGCAGATCGTTCGGAACTAAGGATTCGTTTCCGAAGCCATGTGGATGCGGTGTCTGAACGGAAATCCGGGGATGCAACAGCGCTGGGTAGGCGAACAAGAATTGGGATTTTGGATGCCTAGTTCTAGATGGAAGAGAAAAACTCCGCTCGTCTGGATGGAATGGATGGAAGAATCTCGATGTTCGGGATCTCGGAGTGATATGAAATGTTGATGGAGACAAGAGGGATGTCATGCCAGATAAGAGTGGAGGCTGGATCAGCCCGTTGTCTTTGCGGGAGTTCTTAGGATATTTGCATCTGCCAGCTTAGTTAGTCCTTCTTATCGAGTCAGAGGCTAGGATTTCTAAAGGTAATCCATATCTGGCCTCCACCCGTATCTAAAGATGATGAGCCATTATCCATTCCAAAGCAGATTGGTCTGGGAGCTAAGGTTTGCACTAATCAACCCCTTGGCCAGTGGCCTGAATCATATTGGTCAACAACACCCACAGCACCTTGCCCAGGGCTCTCTCTTTCTCAGTTGTAAATAGCTATCGTCACAGGCTATGCCGGAGCTACAATCTCTCCGTCTTTTGCCGCGTCTGTGCTCTTTGAAAGCGCGTATATGGCTGCCTCAGGGGTCTCAACCAGCGGGCCAAAGTATTGCTTCCGCGCAAACGCAAACCAATACAACCCCCCCAACATAATCATGCCCCCCAAGACCACTGAAGCATAGTTCATGTTCTGAGATGTTACAGGCTGATATGGCGGGAAAAGCAAGAAGATGCAGGTAAAGCCCAAATATAAAATCGCAACAATATTGACCGCCACTCCAGCCTTGCCTAGTCTCCATGGTCCCCAGGTCAGGGTATCTGGTACGGCAATCCTTCGCCAGAGCACGAGGCAAATGGGCATCAGGTAGGATGTTTGGAGACCAACAACAGCCAGTGACAATATGGCGTTGAAAGCAGTTGTGGAACCGATATTGATCAGGCCCAGGAGCATCAATAGCAGCGTCATGATGAGGATCGCCACGGTCGGCACATTGCGCTTCTCGTCGATACGTGAGATAACCCTTGACCATGGGAGAGCTATCATAAACAATAGATATCAGCTCCATTCTTCCATTGATCTGCGGTATTGCCATTTCTCACCTTGATCTCTAGCGAATGCCCACAGCATTCGACTAGCTGATGTGTGCAACGCAATCGTCGAGCACATAGCCATGAACGAGATGGACACCACCATAACTGACGCTGCTGCCTTGCTTCCAGTGACGGTGTAGAAGATCTGGATAATGGGAAAGCCTGTGTTAGTATTGAGGGCTGAATCGATGTCACCCATGCAGAAGAGCAGGGCAATGAGGAACCCGAACCCCATAATACCGTTGGCCACCACGGATACAACCATGGCAAACGGAATACCCATTGCAGCATTTTCCATCTCTTCACCTAGGTGAGTGGCACCATCATATCCCACCAGCACATAGGCGGAACTCAACAGTCCAATGCACCAAGCCACACCATCGCTCTCCCACCCCGAGTTATTCTGGAAAGACACGAAGACGAACTCGGCCGAATTCTTGGTCGGCGATAGAACGCACATGACAATGATTAAAGTAGCAAAGAGGATGACATGGAGAGCCATACTGAGCTTTTGTATCAGTGGGAGCACGCCATTGCAGAAGACACAGACAACAGTTGAGAGGATTAGGATGGCCCAGTAGATCAGTGTTCCATGCCATCTCTCAAATACGTAGCCCTGTTCAGAAGAGTTGAGGACTAAAAGGCCTTGAATTAGAGTCCCAGAAAGAAACGGCGCACTGCCTGTGACAGCAATCCATCCAAGGAGACTGCATGTTCCCCGCCCCCCGGGTTATTGTTAACAATACATCGCTTTCAGGGATCTTTGCTTGAGTGTATTTACCTTATGTAGCCACCGAGCCATCCGACACCCTTTCGTATAGATCTCGGACTCAAATGGGCGACGAAATGATACTGTCCGCCAGCAGTGGGTTGTCTACAAAGATCGCACAGAACGAAATTAGCGATCAACTGTGGAAGCTTGTTATGGTTCATGTGTAGATCTCAACTTACACTGAGGCAAGCTCTGACAGAGACATAGCTGAGCAAGTCGAGCCAATGACAGCTACGATCATGCCGTACACCAATGATACGGGACCTCCGCTTACCAGCCCTGCTGCCATGACGCTTTGAAAGATCAGCATTCGACAGAGAAAGGGCTCTTTGTCTAGAGTTAGCCGTACCTAGTAAGGGCTTCCCAAGTAGCCATCAGACTCACACAGAGTGCCAACATGGAACTCCGCGCAAAGTTACGCTTCTTGTGTCAGTAACAAAGTTTTTTTCTTTCTATATTGGAATCCGCTTGCATACTTACCTTGAGGTTTGGCTCATCGTCTCTGTTTGGGGACAACACATCCTGCACTTCTGTGGCGGACTTCTTCACTTCTTCAGAAGACATATTGATCCGCCTGAAAGTACGTTGAGGATAAAAACTGTGTAAACTTCAAGTTGATTGAAGGCGGTGAGTGCTTCTTTGCAGCACATAGTTAATCGACTTGTGATATCTAGGCATGAGACGCCTAGTTATATCGTGACGGGCGACGTTTTACAAACTACGATAGTCAAGACAGTAACTAGGCGTATGCTTTGAGAGTTATCCAGCTAACCCAAAACTGGTCCGAAAGTGCGACTTCAAAAGATTAGATAGGACCTCAGATTGGAACAACCTTGGAGGTTCACTACGCCCAGAACAAGGCAAAAAGTGCAGAGAATAAGTGGGTAACAGACCCATTTCCCAATCTTGAGCAGGGCTTATCATCCTGAGTGGCGTTGATACTTGAGGCGTATCGTGTTGGCTTCAACCACGGCCTGCAATCCAGCCAAGCTCCATCGAGACGAGGTCATCATGCTCTTTTTGAAGCGGGGAAATATTAGCCGCCAAGTCATGCAGACGGACAGCCAGTAATGTGAACTGTGTTGCAAAGCAACCCAGATCGGATCAGGACCGGCAGAGATTTCCCCATGGGGTGATATCACCACTAAGATCGAGAGGCCATACCCGAACAGGCCAAGAAGTGCGAGATAGCCAAGGGCTCGAATGCATGGCTGAGTGTTCCCTTCAATCAATGCTCGGAACACATGAAAGATATCATTCCGAATGATATCAAATTCGTTCAGATAAATATGGCTTCGATCAGCAAACCATATTGCTGGTTGTGACACAAACGCATCAATCCTCCATCCCAACCATACAGATCTCCATTCTATTTATTGTTATTTCGATACAGCTATTTTCAAAATGTTCAGCTTCTTGGGGAACAAGTCTGGCCCTTCTGAGGTAGCCAAGAGCGTACCACGTGCTCTCCTATCGTCGTGGTATCGCTCTGCCCCCTTATATGAATTAGAGAGGCGGGCCATCTTCTCACAGAGATGGATTCTTACAACCCACCGATTCTTACAACCCACCGCTCTCGATTTTCACAACCGGGAGACTTTGTCCGTTATGAGGTCGCAGGGTTTCCATTCTTTCTATGCCTTGACCGCCAAGGAGTTCTGAATGGTTTCCATAATATATGCCGTCATGGAGCGTTCCCCGTCGTGACAAAGTCAGAGGGCACTGCCAGTGTTTTATCTTGCAAATATCATGGTGAGGGCCTTCCTCTCGTTTGCTTTTTTTTTTTTTTTTTTTTTTTTTTTTNTTTTGATAATTTCTTCACATCAGAAAATCTACAAACTAAATATCAGGCTGGTCGTATGGTTTGTCTGGGAAACTTGCCAAGGCGCCCTGTTTTGAGACAATGCCAGACTTCGACAAGGAAGGCAACTCACTATTCAAGATTCACGTTCATGTTGACTCTCGCGGGTTTGTCTGGGTGAATCTTGATGCTGAGGATAAACCATCCGTCCCTTGGGCCCAAGATTTCGATGGAACAGACAGACAGCCAAGGCTGGATATATTCAATATGGACGATTTCAAATTCGATCACGCATGGGACATGAAGGGCGACTACAACTGGAAGACGCTGATAGACAATTATAACGAGGTAATCAATTTTCTAGAGGTCTGATATGCCGGGAGATGAAATTCTATGGCTGACCATAATAAGTGCTACTACTGCAGTGTCGTGTATCCTGGTATTGCGGTAATGACTGACCTTAAGATATATAATGTCGAGATGGTGGGTGGCTAAGTACGGTATTTTGCTAAAGATAAGCCCGGGATGGACTCTGGTTTGGAAGTTGTACTTATATTTATGTTTCCAAACGCCTCTATTATAATGCCGTGGGTCTTTCCAAATTAATTTGTGCAACTTCGGTTTATGCTGACTCTATATGGGCAGAACTAAGTACTTCTACCTGATGAGGGTAGTCCCCGTCTTACTAAACGAAACCTTAATGTAGTATGAAGTATACTGTTATAAGGATGCTACAGATGAGGAGTTTGAGGATGTAGATAAGTTTTTTAAACAGGTAGAGTCTGAGGATAAGGTACTCTGTAATGTGGTGCAAAAGAACCTCAACAGTGGGATGTATATTACCGGCGATCTGTATTCTTTTAATGAGAAGGGTGTGTTGTATTTCCAGCAGTATCTGAAGAAAATACTTATTGCCTATCATGAAAAAGAGGAGCGGGAAGGTGGTAAGATTTGGCCAGCAAGGTAAAGAGTTATTCGCAATGGGTTGGATGAAGAGGTTAATTTTTGTGAGGGACTTTCTTGTGGCGTAGATGGGAAGAAGATTGAATGGTAGAAGAGGTTTACTATAGTGACCAAGCTTTGTCAATGACACCAAATTTATTCCTGTCTATTGATAGCTACTAGCAACAACTAAGAGGTGTGAGATCAACCTTCAACAGGCCATTTCCTTCAGTTGCCCCTTTTCTATTGCGATACCATGATTAACACGTAGAAACCCGACCGGGAAGGGATGTTTTTACGCGAATTCAACCTACGCCTGCTATCCTAGGCCTATGCTAGAAATCTGGCTGGAAGATCGCACGGATTGAATGTATGTAAATTACATTGTAGCCACGCATTCACTTTGGACATGAAACAAAACGTGATACTGAATGCATAAAGCAGTATTGTCACCACTTGGGTATCTATTACTTGATCTATCCCGACTACTACATTCATGCTTGCTCTGTGCTCTTTCTCTTATTCCTGCCAATGCCCACCATGTGGCCCAACTCTTCCCAAAAGCCGGTGATGGGCTCGTTGAAGGCGGCCTCGTAGGCGTCAATGGCAGGTCTCTCCCAAACCAAGTCGACATCCTTGGGCCTGATGTACTTGGTTCTCTTGATGAGCTTCCAGCCGATGAACAGAATAGGTGCCAACAGTTGCATGGTGTAGTTTTGGAACAGGCCGGCAACGGTGAAGGGCATGAAAGCGCTATATCCGTAGAAGATGGCAATGAGGAACTGGAAAACTAGGGCGATGTAGGCGCCGTATGGCTGGAACCAGCCATAATAAGGCCGAGTGCGTCTGTCAACGCCCTGCGCCTGGCAAGCGTAGTAGTAGTTGATGAAGGTGATGGACATGATCATGAAGGTAATAAGGCCGGCACCTGTGACGATGGAGACAAGCCAGTTTAAAACCTCGGAGGAACCTGCGCTAAGCTGCAGGAAGGAGAGGAAGGGGAAGAGCATAACAATGCAGAAGCAGTAGATAGGGGTACCACTCTTGTTGACGTAGCGAAGGAATCTGGGGGCGCGTCCCTCGAGAGCGAGGCCGTAGAGGGCACGGGTGGAGCAGTACACGAAGGTGTTGCCAGCGGAGAAAATAGACGTGAAGATCAGAAAGTTGACGATGTGTGGCAAGACACCAATACCCATGTTAGCCATGGCAATAACATAAGGCGAAGCGGCCGCACTACCGGTACCTCCCTTGCCAAAGTAGATCTCAACGAGAGCAGGGTCATTATAGGGAATGACGACAGAGACGGCAAGCGCTCCGACAATGAAGAACAGACCAAATCGGAAGTAGACGGTCTTGAACGCATTCCTGATGTAAATGCTAGGGCGCTTAGCCTCAGCAGCAACCATGGAGATATACTCGGGGCCGACAACAGTAAAGGAGGCGCTCCACATGGCAGCAAGAAAGCCTTCAAACCGGCCAAGGCCACCTTCGTGTATAAACGTTGCAAACGCGCCAGGGTTCGCCCAATAGCGGAATCCGTAGGCATCACGCTGAGGGTTGCCGCCGACCATGGTTATGAATGTAAAGGCAAAGAGGAGGAAGATGAGAATAACCTTGCCGCCAGAAAGCCAGAATTCAGCTTCACCATAGGTGCCCACTGCAAGCACATTGAGAAGACTAGAGACAGACGTCTACGTTTAGCACTTGGGTCATGGAGGATGCGGTGGAGAGAAGAGGAAGTCAGCAAAAAGCTCTTACCCATAGCACACAATCACAGCAGCGCAAACGCCGGCAGTCGGGCCGGCGTTTGTGATATTCTCGTTCCAAAAAGACAACACGAAGGTCAAAGCAGTAATTTCAAAAGGAATAAGCAAGGCCTCGTAGAGGAAAAAGTTCCAGCCAGCAACGAAGCCAAGAGCGTCATCGACCCAGTAGCCAGCAAGACGAACGAAACCGCCGGCCACGGGCATATACGTGCCAATCTCGGCCATGGAGTTGTTGACGAGACCCAGGATGATGGAGTATATCAGGTAAGCGAGGAACAGACTACCGGGGCCACCTTTGGCAAGACCGCCACCGATACTGATGAATAGAGCTGTGCCGACGGATCCACCGGCGGCGATGAGCTGGATTTGGCGGTTGCCGAGACGGCGATGGAGACCTTCGGTCATGACAGTGCTGTCAGCGTTGTTGACATCGGCGGAGCTACTGTCCAACTCCTGTTCGAGCTTGCCCGCTCGCTTCTCATCGTCTGAAGCCATCTTGGAGGAGGAAGAGGGACGTCCCTGGAGCAATTGGTTTTAAAAATGAAGAGCCAATGGCTTTGCTCCCAACATGAAGAGTAGGGGAAAAGAAAAGAGAGGGAGGGGGGTCCAAGGATGAGGATGCTCTCTAGTGGCTAAACAATAAGGGCACTACGAGGTCTTTATAGACCCCGAAGATCAAGCCTCAAAGAAGCATAGGCATTTTAGGAAGTGACATGGTATGCCTAGTCACCCACCCACCGGGGATGCCGCAGCTAGCTAGACAAACGGCGGCTCATCATGAGCCTATCTGGGAGTGACTTAGAGGAAGAATGGTCCGTGAATTCTCAACTCCCCAAAGCTAGCTGCTTCGTATTGATGTCAGTCTGGTTATTGGCTGATTCAGAGTTGTGACTGGCACGGAGTCCGGAAAAAACGCCGTTAGCTTAGCCTGTAGCTCACGGAGAGGCTGAACAAAACAGGATTAGAGAACATTGGCATGGAAGCTGGCGTAGAACATCTGGACGGAAGATGGAGCATTACTCCAGAGACAGATAAGCAAGGATGCCAGGGGTGTGGCAAGGGCCACACAAGCTAAGTCTCAAAGATAAGAGTAGCCTAAGAATAAGAATCTTGAATGGTGTGATGAAGTCATTGCTGCTCCAAAGCTTTGGAGTCTTCCGAGAGAGTGATAGTAGCCTCCAGACAATGAAGAAGGGTGAAAGAGAACTAGATGAGTTGCAGGTCTTGCTTGATGTGCATCAGCATACGCAATACTCAATTGACGCAGGTTCATGGCGGTTCTAGACCTCTTCAATGCCAAGGCACCTCGGTCCTGCAAGGAGCAATCATTTCTGGGGAAAGGGGCTGACGACGACACCGGGGCCGAGATGAGAACGAGCTATCGTGTCAGCGCTGATATGGCTCAACGCTCTGTTTGGCTGGTTGACCTCAGCTCGTGGGGTCTCGGACGCATTGGTACTAGCAGTATCTACAAGCTAGACAATTAGGCTCATGGGGCGATTGTTTGACCAGTGAGGCCTCTGAGGTGTTATTCTGCGACTCGACCAACAGAGTGCGGAGCTAGCCGGAACTTCTCAGTACTTATTTCTCTCATTATTTGTCACGAGAAGATATGTATACTCAAGTAGTCCCGATGAGCATCATTAATTAAGAAGCCATTGGGGCAATCCCGAAACTCGAACATGCGTGACATGGCCTGTCGATCCTTGTCCAATAAGATTGGTATCAACTCACAGCCCCCTTTGGCTCTCACAATTTGTCTTCTTTTGGCCAAGTCTGTTATCTGTGTGGCCGTCCAAGATAACAGCTCTCCATTGGTGGAAGGAGTCAGCGATCAATATTCCATTCAGTGTTCATCTCACAGAATTGCCATAAGCCCGAGCTCATCGTCCTCCTCGCGTTTTTCTACAAACAGAATGGTCGAGCCCAACATCAAGTATTCATATGGAGAGGTATATCCTACTTGGCTTGCCAGCTGACGATAGAGCCCAAAGCACACTCGGGTCTTTCTCTTCGCGGCTGCCTTTCAAGAGTCAAGGGTGTTCAACGAACCGATTCCCAAGCTTTTCAGCTCCGCTCAGATCAATGTCAAAGATATTTGATATTACGATGTGATTCATGTTATTATGGAAGCCTTGGCTCGGTTCCAACATTTCCTCTGCCATCTTCTTGCACCTTATCCTCCAGAAGTGGCTCTGGAGCTTGAAATGTAAGAATTCCGATAGAGTGTTCCCTGAAGACGTTGCCTCACTTATGGGTGAGTTGCGCCATAATTGCATAGGCAAGAGGACCCTGGCTTTCTTGAATAGCCATTATTATCCAAATCCAAAGTATTTTGATCAGAAAATGTATCCAATACTGTGGTTTTCTCAGTACCCAGTATCGCGAGAATGAGGCTTCATAACTCGAATAAGCGTAAATTTGGCGTCACGTTCCGAGTAAAACGTATCAACACTCTAAGCACCAACACTTTAAAAATATGTGACCTATTGACCACCGGAACCACCATAAACGGTTGTTTCCCTTACTTCACCAAGCCTTGTTCGTCCAAAGGTAGTGAAGCGGGGAGAGAGGAAGCTGTACACTCACACAACACCCACAACCACAACAACAATGGTACGTGGCACACAGCGGATATCGCGTTAGTTGACAGCTTCATCACCCGCATTTTTATTCATCGTACGAAGACCTTCCTCGTCTCGAGCGATTGAACGGATCGACAGGATGGGGATCTCTCGCGAAGGAAGCATTTGGAACGCTCGTCGCAGCGCCTCTTGAGGCCACAGCCGGCTTCAATGAATAGAGGCAACGCGAATAGTCGGTCAATTCACTCGTCAGTCACAAGCTAGGGTCTTAGTTGGATCAAGGTAAAAGCGTGTGTTTTCTGCCTAGGCTACGAAAAGCGGCTCCTTTTATCTTGATTGTTCAACGGCATGACCCGCGAAAACCGGACCTTCTATCCCTGCCTCAGTAGAATGTAGTTTGTCGCCAACTCCTCAAAGTCCACGACGATTTGTCACACCCGTTTATTTTTGTTTTCCGCCAAAGTCATCTCAAGGATTCGGTTCACATTGAACTCAAAGGCAAATAGCTTTCATGCTTGAAATACTTATAATAATATTGTCAGCCTTCAGACTATAGTGAAGCTCAAGCTATGACATGCCGTATCTAAGCCGAATTTCTAAGATGGTGGGTGTGATCAAGTGGCCATGATGCCTTGAACAGGCTAGTAAGCACCTCAGGGTCGAGCCGCATGAGCATCTCACATACAACATCTCGAGGCAGCCAAGAAAAATATCAGTTTGTTCAAGACAGAGAGGCTGAATGGCAGAAATTTCACGCCTTGGTAGTTAGGACGGACACCCATCTCACATGCCAATGGTTCCAATTCGTTAAATTAGCTGACCCGGAAAGATATGCCATATGGATATAAAAAACCAACTCGTATCACAACATCTACACGCTGGGGAGGTAGTGGCTATGCTTCCCCTCGCCTTCAACATCAGCATGATAACCAATTACTCGGCCATTTTACGTCAAATAAACAACTTGGTATCAAATAGATTGACACATCCATAGATACATCATATTCTGTACCAACTATATTTATTCCAGTAATTAATTTAATGATGAAGGAGTTATATGAAAGGCGCGAGCGTTATGCCGAAGACTTGACCCGGAAAAATACATGCTACGCCTTGGTCTCTACGGAGCGAAATGTTAGTGGCCATGCGGCAATTCTTTATCCGTCCTCTGAAGGTAATAACAAGCCCAATCGATAAGTGCTTGCCCAGGTCATATTTTTCGTTCTCTACATACGCGATACTGCCAAAATTCCAAGAATTTGAGATCGATAGTCGAGTTGAAATTAAAGCCAGTTACGATACAGGGAGGCAACCCATCTTTGAATTTCGTGTTTCAAGCTTCGTCTCATGAAAAACTATCCGACTGTGTACGTCAAATTAGAAGTGAATTGTACATTGTGCAAGAGAGAGAAGCTAAGCATACAATTGAAAAGCATGTGGGTTTTGCCGTAGCTACAGACAGACCTTGAAGAGATCCACGGATGGGCTCTGTCACTGTAGAATAGCGGTGTAGCAAACCTCATCGGGCATGCAGTCTATCTCTTCATCCCACTCGGCCGCTGGAAGTTATTGACAAGACGTCTGCAGAGGCGCATATTAGTCTCAAAGCCTGGTAATTCAACATGGGCAATAACCATGCGAACTCATGCATCATATCATGCACAGTTCATGGTGGCAGGGAGGATGCAGTATCTCGACCCACTGATCTGGGGGAAATGCGCTGTTGGAGCAACGCTACAGGCTGCAGCAAATCCCCCAGTTTAGCTGATGTGCCTATCAAAGTGCTGCTCTCGATCGATCGGGAAGCGACCCTGATGATTCATTCCATCGCGCTTTGCGCTAGAAGCTGTCTGCTCCTTTTTTTTTTTTTTTTTTTACCTCTCGCGTTCCACACGGATTTGATGCCTCTCAAGTCGTGCCGTCACCATCATCGCTTGGGCACCTCAGAGCCAGGTCACGTCACAAAACATCCAATACGACGCCCGAGCACATCCAGGGAGCAGAATGAAGCGGCTAAAGTCAGCTAGGCCAGGTTCCTATTATTAATTAAAAACATGACCATGACATCGCCTGGCTGGCTCTAGCGCGTCAAATCGCTCAGATCCGCCAGGACCCTCCTCCCCACCACTTTCGCGTTGACGTGCTTTTGGCTTCTCCAACTCCGATATCCTCCAGCTGAGCGTCAGTTCCTCAAGAGCCGGTCCTCCCGTCCTTGTCATGTTCTGCTTGTGCTGATCCGTCCCCGGCACACAGTCCCAGATCGCGGCATCACATCCCTGCCCCTGACCTCCTCTGCAACACCACGACAGCCGCAAATAGGGGGAACACAGCACATCAAGATGGCCTCTCCCATTGCGCCGCCGCCGCCGCCGCTGTCGACGGTCCTGCCGCCTCTGATCCTCGGCACGGCCACCTTCAACACGCAGTACCACCCCGATCCCACGCACATGCCCTACGTCTCCATCGTGCGCGAGGCCCTGCTCACCCACGGCATCACGGCCTTCGACACATCGCCCTACTACGGCCCCTCCGAGCACCTCCTCGGCAATGCCCTCGAGACCGTCGAGACCCCGCGCTCCTCCTACCTGCTCCTCACCAAGGCCGGCCGCATCGACGCCCGCACCTTCGACTACTCGCCCGTCGCCATCCGCGCCTCCGTCTACCGCAGCCTGCACCGCCTGCGCACCCCCTACCTCGACCTCGTCTACGCCCACGACGCCGAGTTCGTCACCCCGCAGCAGGTCCTCGCCGCCGTCACCGAGCTCCGCCGCCTGCGCGACGAGGACGGCATCCTCCGCTACGTCGGCATCAGCGGCTACCCCGTCGACGTGCTCGCCTCCCTTGCCGAGATGATCTACCGCGAGACGGGCGAGGCCCTCGACGCCGTCCAGTCCTACAGCAACTTCTGCGTCCAGAACACCCGCCTCGGCGACCCCAAGCTCCTCCAGCGCTTCGCCGACGCCGGTGTCGACGTCATCACCAACGCCAGCATGCTCAGCATGGGGCTCCTCACTACGCGCGGCGTCGATCGCGGCCCCATGGCCTCGTGGCATCCGGCGCCTCCGGAGCTTCGCCGCGCGTGCAATGGTTTGGCGCAGATCGCCCAGTCGGAGGGAGAGCATCTCGAGGAGGTGGCCATCCGGTGGTCGATGGACCACTGGGCCAGGATAGGCGCCGAGTTCGGCTCGACGGCCATCTCGCACAAGGGGGAGAGCGGAATCCGGGGCCCTGCTCGGATGGGCATCAGCGTCATGGGCGTGTCCAGCGTTGCGGAGCTGGACGAGACCTATGACATCTGGAGAAGTGTGATAAACGAGGAGAGCGATGGCCGTGAGGTCCACCGCCGCAGGAAGATTGCCGCTCTGGTCAAGGATCGGATGTGGCCTAGTCTCGGAGGCTGGAAGAACTACTCGTGGCCCAGCGGGCGCAAGGAGTACTACCAGAGAGAGAGAGAATCTCTTGATAGGGAGACCCAGACTGAGTCTCGTGCTGGGGAGCCTCGCCGGGCGGAGATCCGCTACAAGGAGACTCATACGACGCGGGTCTCAGGACGAGGCCCCGAGGAGGACGACAGGAAGTACAGAGATGCCGATGATGCGGACGCGGACGAGAGACAGGGAGCAAGGGCCCCGAAAAAGGATGTGACAGGCACACCCAAACTCTAGTAAATTAATCTGCCCAGTACGAATTACGGATACATAGAGATATTACACTACATGGTATACCATTTCTTCCCTCCAAGCCGCGGTTTCATCACCGACGTTGCAGGCTGTGTTGTGATATCCATCGGGTTTGTGTTATCCATCCATCAATGGCCTGGCTCGCCTGCTTTTATTGGCCCGGCATTGACAATCGAAATAGAGTAGGGACGCTAGCGGATGGCTTTGCATCGTATCTCGGGTCGCATCTCGCAGATCGTCGCCCGCCGTCAGTGTGGTGGATTAAGCACCGGAGAACTGATTGGCTCACTCCCACATTAACAATGAATTCCTAGACCTCTGGACACCGTATCTCGTGTTGGTTATTTAGAGGCTCCACTGGGTTCTTGTCAATCAACGCTGCCTCAAACGTCCATCAGCATCAGAGTCGATTGCATAGTCGCAGCAGCATGATTGTCCCTTGGCGTAGACGCGTCTACTTCACTGCCCGTGTAACTTACAGATATTTAAAGAGGCGTCTATCGCCAGCTTCATAGAGATAACTGATACATTTATCAAACCCTACTACACAAGTGAGGCTCCAAGTGAGACATACAAACCCCAGAGCACCAGTTGAACACTTCGAAATAGCCTTCTCCTCCACCTCCTTCGTTCTCTCCACCACTTAACTACACCATGGTCCGTGTGCTGTCTGCATTGGCTCTGGCCCCGACCTTGGGAGTAGCAGAACTAGTCTGCGGTCCTTCTGGCCCAGTCCTCCCTCGGCCAGTCATCTCCTCCCTTTCTTCGTCACCAATCCTCCAGCAAGCTGCCACGAACCTCACGTCGTCGCTGAACGCGGCCATTAACGGCACCATTACTGCAGGCTGGGAGACCAAAAACGCGTCCTTCTCGATTGGTCTCATATCTGCCAACCAGAGCGATGCAAAGGTCCCCATCTGGGAGTTCCATCACCGTGCCGAAGCCAACACCCGCGGCACCCTCGAGGTGGGCAGAGACTCGCAGTATCTTGTTGGATCAATCAGCAAGGCCATCTCCGATTATATCCTGCTACGAAGCGGCATTGATATTGATACCCCTGTCACTGAGTTCCTGCCCAAGTTGACAGAGACAGCAAGTATCATTCAATGGAATCAGATCACACTGCGAATGCTTGGGTCGCATCTTGCAGGTGTTCCGGCCAACTGTAAGTGAGGTTATTCCTGGATTCATTTCATCATCTTTCTTTTACATTTTCACATGAAACTAAACGGCCTCTCCCTCAGACGGCTTCTCCGAGTACTACTATTTGAAGAAACTGTTCATTTCCTCGGGCCTGCCAGACATCGATGACTCTGAGTATCCCCCTTGTAGTGTGGGTGGTTTGAATGGGCCTTGCTCACAAGATGGTACGAATCCTCCCCTATCCCCAATTTCTGGCGACGAGCTTCCTTCCAGAAAGACATTCAGTATCCTCTAACTCTCCCATGCAGATTTCCTGAACGGGATGCGAACTCAGTATCCTGTAGCCGCCACCAACGAGCGCCCCTCCTACTCCAACATTGCCTTTACTCTCATGTTCATGGCCGTCGAGGCACAAACAGGGAAGAACTACACTCAGCTCGTAGATGAATTCATTGGCAAGGAGCTTGGTATGACGAGCACGTTTCCTTCACCTGGCGAGGACGACAAGGCCGTCATCCCTCCAGGAGAGAGCACATGGGGAGGCAATTATGGCTTCGACGCACCGTGAGTATACGTTATCTCCGCCCGTTTATATCCAATTCGTCTAACAACAACCCGCAGCGCTGGCGGCCTGGTCTCTACCATTTCCGACCTTGGCCAGTTCTGCCACCGTATCCTCACCCGCACTCTGCCCATCACCGGCACCCAGACTCGCGGCTGGCTCAAGCCCGCCTCTGTGGCCGGTAATCCCAGCACACAGGTCGGCATGCCCTGGGAGATCTACCAAACCTCCGATCTGACCCCTGACCACCCTCATCCCGTCTCCGTCTATGGAAAAGGCGGCGGCGCCATGTCCTACCGCAGCCAGCTGTCCATCATAGACGAGTACGGCATCGGCCTCGTCGTCTTGACTGCCGGCCCGATGAACTCCATCACCCTGATCAACAACGCCGCCCTCTCCGTCCTCGTCCCCGCCATCGACGAAGCCGCCAGAGCATACGCGCAAGACAACTACGCAACCACCTTCAAGACCGCCGCCGGCCACGACGGCAACGAGTCGCTCTCCGTCTCCTTCTCGCTGGACCAGGACTCCCTCCTCGTCAGCAACATCACGCGCGGCGAGACCGACGTCCTCGCCGGCCTCGTCAACCTCTGGTCCGTCACCGTCGGTGGGTACGTCGCCCCCGTGTCCTCGCCCTTCCGCCTGTTCCCCACGGAACTAAACACACACACCACGTTGGGGGACGGCACGCCCGTCACGGTCGAGACGTGGCGGCTTCAGCCGACCCTGAGCTTCCGGACGGACTCGCAGCTGCCCGGCGTGGGGCTGGATGCCCGCACGTGCTTCCAGTGGACGGTCGGGGACTGGGTGCATTACGGGGGGGAGCCTACCGACCGGGTGCTTTTCTACAGAGATGGGGAGGATAGGATTGTTGGGTTTGAGGCGCCGTTTATGAGGTCTGGGGTCTTACGGCCAAACTGATACATGCTGGCTGTAGTTGACTTCAGCTGGGTCGAGTGATGGATACTTGTTGATAGACTGTGTTTCATCTTATCATCGTCCAATTCCCCTCCAGAGATAGGATAATATACAAATATTCAGAGAATCGTTTCCCGGAATAGAAGCTATGTACAGTAGATCACTGCCACCAGTAGAGCAGAAAGTCCTTGACTCTCTTCACGCAATCCTCACCGACTTAACTCCTCCTCCTACCGCTCTTGGCCCATCCCGCCTTTGACAAGATATACAGCTCCCCCTCCTGCCCATTGTCGCTCGCAACAATCAGCCGCGTCTGGTCCCTGTCCCACGTGATACCGCTCGGCCGGAAGCACTTTGAGCTGTCGCACCCCTCCTGCGGATCCCACAGCAGGTCGACGTACCCCTCCTTGCTGTGCCTGTCGGCCACGGGCTCGTACCCGCCCTCGCCGCCGGTGGTGAACGGGATGGTGACGACCTTGTAGCCCGTGGGGACGTTGCGGTTCCACGAGCCGTGCAGGGTGACGTAGAGGTTCTCCCCCGCGGAGTCGAACTTGGCGTCGATGGGGGCAGAGTGCGCCTGGATGGAGAGGCGGGGTCCCGTGGAGCGCTCCTGGCACGTCTGGTCGGTCCAGGTGCTGTTGGGCTCGGGGATGAACTGGTCGCCGGCGGCGAAGTTGCCGTCGGGGAACTCGTCGCCGCCCCAGGCTGTGAAGCAGGTTGGGTAGCCGTACCAGTTCTCGTTGGAGACGGATGGGTCGCCCACTAGATGAGAGAGGTTAGCAAGATGGGCTTGTTTGGATAGAGTGGCGGCGATACTTACGGTAGTTGAGCTCCTCGGCTGGGTTGTTCTCGTGGATGTCTGTGGCCTTGCCGTCGATGACGCGGGCAAACTCATCAGCGCTATTCTCGACGCCCCAGACCCTATTTCAATCAGTTAGCAGTCGTAGTTATCAATCGAAGTGATGGTTAGACGTACATGTTGTTGGGATCGACGGCGATAGCGACCTCATTCCGCAGTCCGTAACCAAGGAATGTGCCTTGAGTGTTGTAGGTATAACCACCCTCAGGGGCCTGGGATAAGTCAAACACCTTGACGATGGCTCTTCCAGTATTCTTGTCAAATGCGGGCATGTCCAGATTGGTGTGGCTGCCCAGGCTGACCACCAGCAAGTTAGGTGTCTTTGGAGGGACCACCAGCGTGCGCGTCGAGTGCGTCCCGCGGTACATATCCTTGACGACGACAACCTTGTTGGATACGGACTGAGTCTCGGCGTCGTAGTCATACTTCCAGACTGTATCGATCGACGAGACCAGCAGGGTTTTGCGGTCCGGCGTGAGAGCGATGCCGTGTGTCAATACGCGCTCTGAGATGAGCGTCTTAGAGCCTGCAAGGCAGCCGTTACTCCCAAATGAATGTACGGAGACACCCTTTGAAACTTCGACCACAAGGAGATTGCCCAGGGAGTCGACAGCCATAGCTCGGGGGTTGGTCAGGCTGCCGGCAAGCTTCACAAACGACCACCCATCAGCGGCCACGAGGGGGAAACGGGCATTCAGACTACACGAGGTGGGGATGGGAAGTTCTCCAGTAGGAGCAGGTACATCTGAAGTAGGTGTTGGTATGGTTGTGCTCGAGGCGCTTGTGGGAGTTGGAGTGCCCGTGGGCTGTGGCTCGCCAGGAATCCAACTTTCAAAGTCGCTGGACCGGGCTTTGGTGAAGTCGAGGCCAAAGGGACTTGCCTCATCGTGCGCAGAGAAGGACGAGTTGGGGTCGCTGGGGGTGTTCACTGCTTTGCTCGAGTACGCATAGGCGATGACGTTCTGGGCGTTGGGATCCAGCTTGTTGTTGTCGGGCTTCAGCTCGTCCCATTGAGAGCAACCCTTGCAGTGAATTGTAGCTACCCAATGTGTCGCGTTGACAGTCGATCCGTCAAGGACTGCGAGGGTAGCCCCGTCCCATGCGGCCGGCAGAGAGTACGAGCTGTCATGTTGGTGTCAATACATCAGAGTCTCGAGGTTTGCCGACGTTACGACTTACACAGCAGCCCGGCTCGAGACCACCACCTCATCACCATTGGGCCAGGCAATGGTGAGAGGATTATTTGTCATGCCGCTGCTCCACGACAGACCAGCCCAGCCGATCTCAGTCGGGGCAGTGATTTGAAGAATGACATCGAAAGGAGCCTCGGTGGCCTCGGGGATGGCAACGCCATAGACGATGCCATTTGCGAGAGTGTAGGATGCAAAACAACGACTGAGACCGTCACAATACGTGCCAGCCGTTTGTGCCGAGGCTATTTAACGTGTGTTAGTTCATCCACGGTACCATCAAGGGAGTTGGGTGGTTTATGACGAACCAAGCGAAAGGAGAGCTAAAGCTCCTGCTACAGAAAATAATCGTTGCATTTTGGAAGAGCTACCACCTGGGTTCATACATCAAAGTGCCTCTTATGATGAGTCTCTGGGCGGGGAAGAATCACAAGCCGCGGAGGGCAGGCACTTTATGTGTCCTCATCGTCTGTCCAACCCTTGCCCACCAAACATATCCGCCTTGTGTCTTGCTAGAGGGGCATGCCATGACATCGACACCCTTTCCTCAAATGATCCAATCAATGTTTGCCTATTACTGAGCCCGTCACACCCACACCCACAGCCGAATCAGAAATGAGCAAAGTTTCATCCGTCCTGCCTATAAAGGCAAAGTTGGACGGTAGCATAGCACGGCGCACCAGGGGAGGTGTCCCAGACAGAGAGATCGACGGCTTGGACTCTGCCAACGGAGGCTGGTTCCCAAGGGGCACGGAACCCAACCCCGGTTGAAGGGGCTTGCTGGTCGGACTGGCGCCGTGATGGAATGGAACATGAAACACCAGTATATTCACTTCAGGCTGAGCTTGACAACAAGACCGGAATGTGTCTCGGCCGCGTATCACATAAGACCTCAGAAGAACGAGAGTCTGGCTTGATGATCTGTCACCCGTGGACTAACTCCGATATGCCGAAGAGAGGTGAACAACTATGGCGTGTTGAGATATTGGCCGGTGTGTTGACCATCTTGGATGACGGACCGAGGGCCATGGCCAGGCGCATATCTCGAACAACCTTGTTCATGATAAGGTTAATAAAGCAGAACCCCAGGGGATCCAGTCCGAATTTCACCGTGACGGTTGCCAAGCGTGGCTTCCACTATTCCAATACCACTCCAACGTGTCCCATATGCACTGAAACAGGAACATCGGGCGCTGTCTGTGTTTGTCATGCTGAGCGAGAAACAGATCGCCGCGGATCAAGACCAGAAAACGAACCCCTTGCCAGAGGCGCCGTGGGGAGGCCGCCCAGGGCCTGAATCTCCTTCCGTCTTGGATGGGGTTTTGGATCGTGGGGAGCCAAGATGCAGGTCACTGATCTGTAACAGGACAATAGAATCAGTATCAGTTGCCGGATTGGGCGCGGAGTCTGGCCGATGAAACAGCACCTCCACGATCTTGGCGTTTTGTATTATTAATGGACGCTTGCTGATCGGGTTTGGGCCTCTTGCAGCATCTAGCAGAGAGAGTGCATAATCCTCCGGTCTTTCTTACGGGCATGTCGTCATCGGGTCTGGGCTGTAGAATCGAAGGAGAATGTGTGCTGCAGTATGTAACCTCTTCCGCGATACAAGAGATACGTGGCTAAAAGGGGTGAACCGCCAAGGACAGGTATCAACTTGCAAGACGATGGTTTCGGTGAGCTAAAGCACAGAGCATCCCAATATAAAGATAGACGCAAACAATAGCCAGAATAAAAATATCCAGATATCAAGTACGTAAGGTGTGAATACCAACATCATCCAACGAAACGTCCATATCGTGTGGGATCATAGGTCTAGGGTAGCCCCACGTCATTTCACGATTTCCCCAGATTCCGACGATTTTTCGCCTCGCCTTTCCGAAGCAACCCGCTGCTCCATTCTCCCACCAATCTTTCTCCCCTCGTTGACACGCACCGCCAATCCTCCCCTCCCACACCGTCTCCATGGCAGGCGGCCGCAAGTCCAAACCTCCCCCGCCTCCTCCCCGCCCTTCGACGACCCTCGTGCTCGACAATGGCGCCGACACCCTCAAGGCCGGCCTCGTGACCGGTGGCCGCATCAACGAGCCAGAGATCATCCCCAACTGCATAGCCCGCGACCGCCTCAAGAAGGTCTACGTCGCCTCCGAGCTTAGCCAGTGCCGCGACTTCAGCGAGATCCAGTTCCGCCGACCCGTCGATCGAGGCTTCATTGTCAACTGGGAAGCCCAGAAGGAAATCTGGGATCGGGTGATCCTCGACGATAAGTCTTCCCTGAAATGCGACCCTGCCGAGACTCGCCTTTTGCTCGCCGAGCACCCCAACGGCTTGCCCGTCTTGCAGTCAAACTGTGATCAGATTGTGTTCGAGGAATACGGCTTCGCAAGCTACTATCGTGGAATAGGTATGGCACTACTGCGGCTGAAGCATCTCTTGCCTGGTAGATGGCAAGGTCACTGACAATTTGAGCAGGTTCTACTTTCAACGCTTACCACGATATCCAGGGTCTGTTTCGAACCGCTAAAGATGCCCCAACGGTAGCCAACACCCCCGCCGAGATCCTCCTCGTGGTGGACTCTGGCTACTCGCATACCACCGTCACTCCAGTTCTACGGGGACGTCCCCTCCACTCTGCGATCCGAAGACTAGACGTGGGCGGCAAGCTTCTCACCAACTACATGACACGATTACTCTCTCTACGCCACTTCGATATGCGAAACGATACCTACATTGTCAACGAGCTGAAGGAGGCAGCATGCTACGTATCTACAGATTTCAAGGGCGACCTCGAGAAATCCTGGAAGGGGACCCGCGGCGAGAAGCGCGAACCCTTTGTAGCGGGCGTCACTGCCAAGGACTACGTCCTCCCCGACTTCGGCTCCCGCGCCAAGGGAGAGCTGCGCGACTACGACCCTGCGCGACACTCGAAATCGAGACGGATGGCGGCCGGTCCGCAGCCGGACGAAGACATCCTCACGCTACGAAACGAACGATTCGCCGTCCCCGAACTGATATTCAACCCTGCCGACATGGGCATGCGCCAGCCTGGCCTCGCCGATTTGATCCAGGAGTCCCTGCACGCCCTCCCCATCGGGCTGTGGCCAGGTCTTCTCGCCAACATCACTGTCGTCGGAGGCAACGTCCACCTGGAAGGCTTCATCCAGCGACTGCAGAAAGAGGTTGTCCAGCGGTTCCCCGATGACTGTGTCGTCCGTGTCGCAAGGCCAGCCGACCCGATCACTAGCACATGGCAGGGCGGCGCCAACCTGGCGAACCACCGCAATATCGAGAAGCTCGAAGTAACGAAGAAGGAATACGAAGAGTATGGTGCGGGATGGGTCGCTCGGAAGTTTGCAAAAGGTCTTGGCTCGGAATGAGTTTTGGCGCTGGACGTTTGCCAATGTTGGGTTTCCCATCCAAGATAAGCAGACCCTTGACCTAATGCAATACACGCGCGCTGCATAACGCCTGGATTTACCGGGAGATCCTACGATTTGTAGTTGGAAGTTGTGAGATTCTTCCAGGTTTCCACAGTTTGGATGCACGATTGATGGACACCAAGAGTAGGACTGGTCAGGAAGCGCACAAGGAGTTTCAACCAGAACCACCTTGGGGTTCGCTGCATCGGGCGTCCTTTTGATTGTCCGGAAAATATCCAGTAAACAGACACTGGATATGATGGGCTTCGATGCCGGGGTTTAAAAAGGCTCCGAGGGAACAAGATACCGGACACATGTTACGAGGACGCTGGATAGCCCATCGGTATGTTTATTTGTGCCAGGATCTGTTGGAATTACGCGAAGGCCCGGTGCGGCATCCGTTATGACCATATAACAGCCAGGCATATATCCCGGCCTGTATGAGGCGTCTATCGCTCAGTCAGAGTTCCATTCTTGTTTTGAGGCGATTGAACTTGATTGTGTGTCTTGTTTTTTGAACCTCGCACGGATCTCGGGCCGAGAAGCAAGCAAGGAAGGGCCTGGTTAAGCCACGGTCGTTGAGGTAGATGGACGAGTTGTATGGATGCTCATCTTTTAGGGACGTATTGTGATGCTGGCCTCTGAAGATTCGCGGACAGCATCTCGGATATGCACAACTAAATATCAATGGAAATGCATTTATGCGAAAGCTGATCGTGATCGTCTACCACGGTGATCTACTTCGATACCCACCGTGGGCAAATATTGTTGTCAGTGTGCAGACGCTGTTTTCATCCAGGAAGGAATGTCTTTGCCTCCATATTAGGTAGTCACAGGGAGATAGACATAGAACCGGGTACAGAACCATGGTGAGAGGCGGGTGTCGCCATCAAAGACAAGGACGCGGTGCTCCAAATAATTTTGCAAGGGGGTTCATCCTCCGTGATGTGAGGCGAGACTTTGTTTCCATTGATTGTCTGGTCAGGTTTTGTTTTTCTCTTTTTCTGATATTGAAGAGTTGCGATCGTGTTTCCCATGTCCGTCCATAATAATAATCCCAAGAAATCCATGCCGTGGGAGGAGAGTTCTCTCCATCAACGCCTGTTGTTCCCACATACGCTTGCCATGTCCCGTGTAAAGTCTTTAAATAGGGACAACTTGTGATGGCTTTCTTTGCAAAAGAAGAAGTACAAAAGTCAAAGAATGAGAAGAGAGAAGGAAAAGATGCGCCCGCTGATGCTTTCTCCAGCCATGGGCCAAATGCTTGTCTGTTCCCAGTCAAGACGATTGATGGCTTGGAGAGTTGAGATTGTTACGTCTCGATTGAAAGGCATCGTATAATCCACACGCAGATACAATTTAGTCCAGCCTTTTCTATCCAGGTGTTGACGAGCTAGATACCAGTCCCTCTGTCGGATTTCCACCGAGCAAAGGGAAAGGATCGAGCCGTCTTGCGATGATGTTGAACTCGCGGTTAGCGGCGTTTCAGTCCCCGTCCGCGCGAGACGCACCCTATTCGAGCCATGTGAGTATGATGATTTACGAGTTAAACACTTTTCTACGGGATGTCTTACAGTCACACTAAAGGGAGAAGGTTAGTTCAAGTGTCTGAAGAACATAGACGAGGACGACTTACAAATTTCGTGCATGAGCCTTCGTTGTGAACGAGGCAGTAACCACTACAGCACTTCCGGCACGATTTCTGAGTTTTCGAAATACAAGAGTCACACTGTCCAAGGCGGTTAGCTCTTCTGTCACTTTCCAACCAAGGAACAAGGGGTTCATGGCATACGTTCATGCCGCATTCCCAGCAGCTTCTGGACACTCGTGCCTATATAGACAGTTAGCCAACTTCACTCTCAGAAAAAGCCACACATCTGCCAGTCGCGACATGACTCCGGCAACTTATAAGGAGGTTTCAACAAACGATGCGTACATTCTGTAAGGCGAGCCACTGGGCAGTGGTTCGTCGCGCAAACAAATCATGCTCGCTTCATTTACGTGGACCTCTGGGTCGCCGAAGCCTCGCCTGGCCTTAACCCCCCTTCAACCATTTCTAAAGGTGCATTCCCGGCAGAGACCATTGCGTACCTTGGCTTTGGCGTTGAGGAACTCGGGCTCGATCTCGAAGGAAGCCACGCTCCCGTCCTCGTCGAGGATGACGACGCTGTCGGCCGCGCCGGGCCGGTTGTGGCCGGGGACGGTGTAGC